CCCCCCCTCTCTCTCTCTCTCTTCCCCCAACCGACGGCGGCATGTCTTTTCTTTTCAAAAGTCGAAACAGTGACACAGTGTAACACAGCGTAAAAGCTGCCAGTCCAATCCAGTCCCGTCCCGTCCAGCCTAGAAGTCTCGACGCTTGAGCTTTGCTTACGAGAGCTGAGGGCCAAGCCAAGCCGAGTCAAGTCAATCAGGGACGACGACGACGATGACGATTTGAGTGGGCTTCTTCTTCTTCTTCTTCTTCTGAGTTCCTGATCAGGTGGTCGATATATGCCAGATCAGGCTGGTAGGTAGGTGGGTGACGCTCCTTCCTCCTCTTTCCTCTTCCTTCCTTCTTTCCTCCTCCTCTTTCCTTCTCCCTTTGGGCTTGATTGATGGATTGATGGATCGATGTTGATAAATGGTGGTAAAAAGGGGCGAAGAGGTTGCGATCTTCTCTGAGATACATCTGGCACAAAAAAAGGAGAGAGAGAGAAAGAGGCTGACTGGCTGGCGGAGTGAGAGACTGCACTACACTTGGTATGCACTTTGGGGTAGATAGGCATTTCTTTTGAAAATCCAGCAAGAAATGTCTTTTTGTTTTTTTTTCCTCCCTCTCAAATGATTTTTGGTTCTGATGATAACAAGAGAAACATCCCTTTTCCCCTTTCCATCGTCGTGGTGGTGATGGTGGTGATGGTGGTGGTGCCAGCATTATTCTCCATCATCATCAAATCAGGATTTTGGCCAGCAAAATAAAAGCCGAAGGGGATAATTTGTATTGTATTTGGTCCTGTCTTGTCTTGATCAAATTTCGTCGAGTCGAGTCGAGTCGAGTACATGTACATGTACATGTACCTAGGTAGGCAGAGTTCGCTACTTGTTGTCTTTTTGATGTTGTGTGATAAGATGTCGTCTAGAGGTAGTCGTCTGCTGATGCATACTTGCAAGCATTAATCATTTCTCACGTCAGCTTCTCCTTTTTCTTTCATCTTCATCTTCCTTTTCTCTCCTCCTTGGGCATTGAGATAGTAAGGTAGGTAGGTACTTACAGCTACATGTACTGTTCGTCGTCCATTGGAAATCATCATCATTTTCTTCTCGCGATGCTGTTCGGCATCATAGAGGGTATTCATGACTACGGACCAGATGATGACTGCGATTGAAGCTGCGACTGTGAGGAGGTCGGAATTCTCCATTTTGTGAAGGAAAAAAAAAAGGAAAAGAAAAGAAAAAGTCAAGCGAAAGAAGATGTAGGGGGTATGCAACAATTGTGTGAGAGAGTTTGTGGCGAGATGAGTAGAGTATGTATACAGTGAGATGAAGAAGTGAGATGATGATAATGATGAGTGAGACGGACTTTTGTGTAGCATGTCACACTAAGGTATAGGTAACGAGAGAAAGAGAGAGAAAGATATATATAGGTATATATCTACTTATACAACGGATAATACGTATACCATGACAGGATGTGGTAATATTGATTGTTCCTAATTCGTGGACCGTGGCGTGTTGCAGAAAATCGCATGATGTTGCGACTTGAGTTTGCAGGGGGCGCGCCCTTAAACGCAAAACGGGGGAAGATCATACGATGATTTTGATCTGCCTCTCACAAAACAGAAAAGAAAAAAAAACAACACCAACAACAACAACAATAACAATATATGGGCCCGCTTGGGCCGGTCTGGAATCATTTTATCCAGGCTGTGATTTGCTACAATTACTATTTGCTACTGTTGCTCTCTTAGCTAGGCGCGCCCTCTCAATGCCAAACCTCACGCCCTCACACGTAATCGAAGCTGCGCCCTTCTTCTCATCCCTCTGCAAGAAATGAATAATCAATACATCTATGTTCAATACTACGACCTCACTACTCGACAGGCAAAAGGACATAGTTACAAAGGAGTGAGATCCGTAACATCTCAGTCTTATCTCCGGTAGTCGCTAGGCATTATGAATTGCACCAATCTCTAGCTGAAGCTACCTCCTACAGTCCGCCGCAAACGAGGTTGGGATTGCTTCCAGCTAAGCGCCGCTGTAATATACCGAGCAACCCAACTTGGTGCCTGCCTCAAAGTTGTAGTCTTCTCTGCGTGTGACTTTATAGAGAGAGAGTTGGCGATGTACTCAGTAGCCAATTGGATCTCCATCGAAGATAACATCGTCGTCGTCGCTGTGACAAGGCATAAGTAGTCGGCAATGCAGCCATCCAATCCGAGTGACTAACGCTTACCTACCTACCACAAGAACAGCCCTCTCCCTCTCATCACACTTAGGAGCTTTCTCAAGACCGGTTCCCTCGAGTTATCTACTCCTACAGTCTTCAATGCCTATAAGAAGACCCCTTTCAGATCCGCAATCATTCTACTATACTCCCCTTCCATCGAATGCTTCTACTGCTTGTCTACATTCATTGTAAATTTCCTCAAATCGAACTCGCCTAGCTATCTCCTAGAATGCAAGATGAAGCTAACATGTCCTACAGGCCTGCCCGTTGGTAGCACGGTATCAGCCAATTTTCTATGCATACGCGCGCGTGTATGTATATGTATGTATGTGTGTATTGTATATATCTCTCCCTATCTTCTTCCTAGGCATCTTGGTCTCCTTCTCGGTCTCCTTCTCGTTCTCCTCCTCGTTCTCCTTCTCGTTCTCCTTCTCGTTCTCCTTCTCCTTCTCCCTCTCCGTCTCCTGTCTCTCGTCTCCCGTCTCTCGTCTCCCCGCGTCTCTCGTCTCCCCGCGTCTCTCGTCTCCCGTCTCCCCGCGTCTCTCGTCTCTCGTCTCCCTACGTCTCTCTTGTTTTTTTTCTCTCTCTTCTCTTCTCTTCTTCTTCTTCTTTCTAGGCTTCCTCCTCCTCCTTGTCCTTCTCTTCTCTTTGTTGTTCTTTGCTAAACTTCAGGCAAGGTAGCCTATAGGGACAGATAGGTAGGCAGGTCGGTAGGTAGGTAGGTAGGGTAGGTAGGTAGAGCTTTCTTTCCTCTACGCCTGCGGCCGGGGATTTTTTTCGAGGTAGTAACGTATTGGATATAGTAGATTTAGCGCGCCCTACCGCAAAGGATACGCCAATTAGAACGTGCGCTTTCGAGTCTATTCCCGCCGCGCGCTTACGAGCCTATTATAGGGCTATTAGACCTCTATAGACTGCTACCCTTTAGAAGGTTAAAGAATTAGAAATATAGGAGTAGATATATAGTAATATATATAGCGTCTAATACTACTATATATTAAAGCATATAAACTAATTACTATTATTTAGAAAAAAGAGAGCCAATGTAGCTAATATACTTATTGGCACGGAACGACCTCCGAGCCTTCCGAAGCGTAGCGTAGGTTAGGTAAAGGGGGGAGTAGAGGCCTACTAAATTAGGAATAGAGTATACAGCTATAAAAATCCCTCGAAGGCGTACGCTCTAATTGGCGTATCCTTTGCGGTAGGGCGCGCTAAATCCACTAGACCCAATGCGTTACTACCTTAAAAAAAAGCCCGCCGTAGGCGGGCAGACTACCTACCTACCTGTCCCTACGGGCTACCTTGCCTAAAATTTAGTAGAGAAGGATACAGAGAAGAACAAAGAGAAGAACAAAGAGAAGAACAACTTAACAAGGATAAGGAGAAGGACAAGAAGAAGGACAAGGAGAAGGATAAGGAGAAGGAGGAAGAGGCAGAGGCCTACTTTCTAGGAAGAAGAGACAGAGAGAAGAGACGAGAGACAAGAGACATACGCGCGCCTACGCGTGTATATAGGTATATAGAAAATTGGCTAATACCGTATTACTAACAGGCAGGCCCGTAGGACATATTATACTAAGTATACGCCTACGTAGCGACCTATTTGCCTACTATTTAATATCTAAGGTAAATACCTTAGGCTTATATATCTAGCCTTCTAGACCTAGAGGGCCTAGCTATTATAATAAGAGAACGTAGACTATACTATATAGAAAATAGATACTATAGAGAAGGGCTATAGAAATATCTATATAGAAAAGAGATTAAAAAGACTATAGCTAAGAGCAACTTAGTAATAACTGACTATATTATACTATTTGTATAGTATAATAAGATTCTAGTTATACTATAGAAACGAACTAACAAATATATACTATACTATATATATCTATTAAAATACTCTTTTTAATATATAATATAATAGATAGAAGAATAAGTAAAGAGAAGATAGTTTCAGTTATAGGCGACCGACTATATAGGCCTCTAGAAGGTAGTAGAGAGTAGAGGAAGCTACAAAATTAAATATAGTAATACCTAGATATAGTCAAACTATATAGAGGACTCTACTAGGATAGAGACCTACTAATATGTAACCAGATAGTTAGATAGCATTAGAATTATTACACATTCCTACCTTGTTTCCTAACCCCCTTGCCTTTTCCTCTTGTTCTCTGTATCATACCGTAGCTACGGTCCGGGTAGCCTAGAGTTTACGAGCTTGCATACGCGCTTCAGGTACGAACGAGGCGTCTCCTACCTCCTAGGCTCCCTGATGAGAACAAAGTATATTTCCGCGAACCACGGGAGTGAGTGATGAGGCTCTTACGGCATCACATCATTCACATGCGACTGTTCGCAGTCATAGGAGGTAGGAGGTACATGCCACAGGAGCTGGAACACACGTTGCAACAGCCACGCTGCATACTGTCATCTACCGGCGCCTGTATACCACTGAAATACGCTTTCGGAAGGCGGAAGGAACCTTTCCGGCATACACCTGGAAGCCCCGACATTGGTGGGGGAGAGAAGTTGGCGCCTGGTATCGTAGAATATCTACCTGAGTAGGAGGTATGGCGAAATCATATGCCACGACATCGATGACAAGGGGCCGGCCGGCCGTCCAGAGACTCCAGACCACGCGCCCGCTCTGCGCCAGCAAGTCTCCAGCCCCTCTCACGGCGGCACAACTGCACGACTGCAAGAGCGTAATGTTATAGTTGCAGGCCCCTCGGCATGTACGGGCCTATAGTTCCATCAAGCGCCCGCGCCATTGGTCCATAGGCGGCGGCGTGTACAGACTACTGGGCGCGTCATTTCCGTGATCGCGTCGAAAAGCTCCCACCTGTCAATCTCGACGGTGGTTCGTGACACCCCTGTTTATCGACGTGAATTGGCAAAAAAGCAGTTGAACTTGACAGAAGCATCGTGGTCATTTTGAACACTTGACTTCGTGAATGAGTGTTGTGCTTCCCGGGTTGCCTCGTCTGCATCTTCTTCTATATTCTTTGTGTCCCAGTTCTGCTCCACGATACCCTCCTCTCCCCCCTCCCCACCCCTACTGTCTGTCTCTCCCGGAACCGCCATCACCATCCTTCTACCTGTCCCCATCCAGGCCGCACGAGGGCACATGCAGCCAGGATAAGCACGCCGTTTGTTTTGTGGGACCCATTAATATTTGTCTCTGCAGCCTGCAGACGCACGATTATTGCATTGGCTGTCAACGGACTACCGCCCTGGACCGGCGACTCCTGAAGCTGAGAATCAGGTGGAGGTAACCTCTACTTACTTCAACAGCCGCCGACTGCTGCCTTGCGCGACGTCCAGCGAGAGACTCTCTGGTGCTGTTGCGCCTGCCACTCTTTTATTATGCTTCGCGATCTCCGCCAATTTTCGTTCGCTACTACTACTGTATTAATCATCCCTTCATGTCTACGGCCACGGGAAAGGTGAAGGAGAGGAAGGAACTCTACGAGCGACTGGCGAAACGCAAGTCCCGAGATGCCAGGAGCGGTTTCTTTGGAGCAACGCAGGTCGCACCCCGCGACACACAGCGTGAGAGACGACGGAGATCCGCGACGAGCGCGAGCGATCTCCAGCTGCAACTGCGACAGAGCCAGAGCCAGAGCCAGAAACCGAGCTCCACTGCAATCCCCGAAAAGTCGACTGTACGCTTGGTCGAGCCATCGACCTCGAGCGCATCCAACTCCTCCACACGATCCTCCTCCCGCACTTCTTCAGAGGCTCGTCGTCGTTCGCGCAGCAGCGTCGACGACGAGCACGAAAATGTTACGACACGTGCCCCACGGACCGAGCCGGACGAAAGCCAAGAAATTGCCAGGGTGCGGGAAACGAGCGACGCTAGCGACCCACTGCCAGGATCTCCGGCTTCAGGTCGGGAGTTTGATGTTTCAGACGCGACTCCGCCAGCAAATGAGCCGCTGGGAACGGGTCAAGAACAGGATCGAGCACCAAGTCCAACCCTGTATCCGAACACCTCGCAGCTGACGCTTGCCCGATCGGAAGGGCACCGTCGAAGTACCTCGTCGGGATGGGGCTCGCTATGTTCTACGCTGCAGAGCGGCAGCGAGATTGCGCTGGTCAAGAGCTTGAGAAGTCATCCATCGAGCAGCCTGAGCACGACTCTCCGCGGAACACCTACGCCGGCTGACTACGAGCATTCGCACGCGCGAACAGTGAGCGACGAGACCGCCAGGTTGTCGTTACAGACACTGCAGGAAGCCTCCCCCGAATTAACCACAATTAGAGCAGTCTCAGACTCTGAGACGTCCATCACACCTTCGCCGCCTGCGCCGCACTCCGGGCCACGCGTGATACAGGACCCTTCCACCCTAGCCTTCTCGAGACCATATACAGCGCCTTCTGTGTCTTCCAACGAGTCGGACTCGCCCGTTTCGCTGCCGCGAACGTCGAGAAGGGCATATTCGACAGGGTCGCTACACACGTTGCCAAGCTTATCTGACCTTCGAGAAGTCACTTCATCTCCGGTGGTGCAGCTGTATGGTTCCGAGCCAGCTACGATCTCAGACGCGGCTCACTCTCACTCGTCATCGCCTAATTTCGTCGCGTACAGTCCAAGCGTCGGCAGTATAGTGCACCACCAACGTCCAATTTCGCGACCAGGGCGGTTGGCAGCAGCGAGCTCCTTCGAATCTATAACCTCACGCTTCGAGCAGGACGACGAAACGTCATTTCCTGGTCGACGATTGGCTAGTCATAGCTCTTGGGCGTCTCTCGAGTCCACCGACACCCTTCCACCTTTATTCATCCCGAGGCGGAGAGTACGACACAAGGCTGCGTCCACATCTCTGTCCTCACAGGCGTCCTCTCAGGCCACTATCACAAGACCCCGGACAGCAACGCCGACCACCGATGACACAATGGGGGATGATGAGGATATCGACACGCTTCCATTTCCGCGACGTCCGTTCAGCAACCAGCTCAGCACGATCGCTAGTGAGAGCGATGGGCAACGTGGCAGTCACCACCTCAGTCACTGGTCTTTGGGTAGTGGTGTGCTGACCATAGGTACGGGCGATCAAACGCCCCTCTCGGCGACATTCGATGAATCTCGACGGCGCAGTGCGCCAGTAGACTCCATTGCGTCGAGCTTACCGTCCCCAGCAACACGTGGGACCAGTGTGGAGGCAGGGGACATGACCTTGGGCATTTTTCGAGAAGAGTCGGCAGTACCACAACCTCTATTCAAGACCCAGCATAGGGCGACATTGGTCAACAATCCAGGACCGAGCAGTGGCCATGCTACGCGGAAGTACGATGGTCCGCTACCCCCACTACCTCCAGTCCCCCAAAACGGCGACGAAGATGAGCTGGTCGACACTTTATCCGAGATGACTCGGCCCTCGCTTCATCAAAAGCGATCGGGCTACTCATTGCGAGGAAAGAGCAATCACTCCCGGCAGCAAAGCGAGATCAGCTACGTCGGAAGCGATCGAAGTAGCCAAAGCACAGGAATCTTCCCAGTGTGGGCGAGAAACTTCTACAGCGGGCAAGCTCGGCTGTCGAGTAAGCTATCGTTGAGCAGTCTGTCGACAACAGAACGGGCACGGCCTGCTGCGCAGCATGGGAGGGGCGACAGCACCTGGACGAGTCATAGCATCACCAGCCGGCTGGGTCAAACATACAGCAGCGAGGAGAATGTCAGCCCAACCAGCAGTCACTTCTTGCCTGCAATATTCCGGTCGGGAACGCGGAATAACGAAGGCAGTCGCAAAGCCAAGCTCCATAAAAGCCAAAAGAGCAGAGGCTCGAAAAAGTCTCGGCCGTCGCATGACGACCGACCGGATTCGATGCCAATCCTTGCAGATCCTCTTCAGCAGCAGCCTGAAGCCACAAATGAGGAAGTCTTGCCTTCTGGTCAACCCCGATGGGGTGTATTACAGGGCAGCGAGAATGAGGTGCCGCAACGGGTACCTCGACACAAACCGCTCAGAAAGTACAGCAAACAGAACCAATGGGGAGAAATGGAGTTCCCTCGGCCCATGACCAAAGACCGGCTTTCCGATTTCAATGGGACGTTAGCATCTCAACCCCACCTCGCCCCGAGCAAGCGAATTTCTCAGAATCGGCTCTCTTTCTGGCAAGCACCCAGTTTCACTGAAAGTCTCGATACGCTCATTCGCTCACGATGTAATCGACAGGTGCTGCTTTTCACGTTAGGATTTGTTCTACCGCTCTTCTGGATGCTGGGCGCGGTTCTACCTCTGCCGAAAAAGCCGGTGGATGACAGCGAGCTGGAAAAGGCTGGTGTCTTACCGGGAAGTGAGGAGGATGTGGCTCATGCCATGATGCGGCATGAGGCTGGAGACGCTGAACAGAGATGGCGAGAAGACAGGGTATATCGCAAGGCCAAGTGGTGGAGGATGTTGAATCGCATTATGAGTGTGATTGGGATACTTGTGATTGCCGCTGTGGTGCGTGTTCCAACTGTCCCCCTTCTGATATACGCGTTACTGATATGTGTACAGGTCGCTCTCGTGGTTATAACCGTACGATAATGTGTGGCGTTGAACGCCCCTTTCTCGACGAACAAAAATTTCTCAAGCACGACCATAATCCATTGTTTTCCCTCATTGACGATCGAACCGACCGAACCGAACCGAACCGAAGCATATTATTGCACACACGAGGCGAATCTCTCCCTCTCCCTCTCTTATGTTATCTGGACCAAAAATCTGCTGCGTCACAGCGTTACAAATCTTTGACCGAAGTGCCCATCCGGTGGCCTACATCAGAAGAGACCTTTTACTACAATCTGACGATACCCATGTCATATAATGGATATAATGTGTGCTATAAATAATTTGCAGTGTCCACGAACGCATCGTCTTCTTATGCATACCTTCATGATGATGGAAGAAGTCTTGACGATCATTGGCGGCTAGTTTAGAGAGTGGACGGGAGACTAGTAATTCCTGAACAGGTGCCACCAATGGATATATAAATTCAAGAATCTTGAAAAAAGAATCCTTCAGGTTCAGTTTCATCACCGTCATCTCTCTTTATCGATCTAAACCATCGAGCTCGACCAACTTCCTCACAGCCTTGACAACCTCATGCTCTCCCATGTCCAATCCCGGCTCCTCCAGTTTCCTTGCGAGCAACTCATCAAACATCATCCTCAGTCGACTGACGAGGACACCAATCCTCGCCCAGCCTCTCAATCGGACCCAGCCATCCACCAAGAGCCCTCTGCCTTGGGGATCAATCGTGATGGGACCCGAAAACATGAGCAGAGAGTACACATTGAATGGTGTCAGGTCTCGGATGAAGACTTTGCTCGTGGCCATTTTGGTGAAGTAGCTCATGTAGACGGAATTACCGGGAAATGTCTGCGCGTCGAAGAGAGTCGAGGATGGATGGACAAAGACGCGTCCGTTTTCTTCGTTGTAGTACTTGATCATGCGTGCTTCGGGGTCGAGTTGGACGGCTCCAGATGCAGAGGCGGCGTATTTCTTGTTGGGAAAGTCAATGCGCGCCAGTTGGGGTTGAAATGATCCTGCGATCAGCGCACGAATAAGCGCCTCGCTGGAGTTATGGCGGTTGAGGTTCTCTGCTGTTGGTGATGAGGATCTGTAGCCAGGGGGTAAGAAGCCAATCTCTTGGAGAGACGACAGGTATTGAGCACGATTGGTGGATATGTCCATTAGTGTTTGGTGGTTGAGGAAATTCTCATCGCACCATCTGCGGAGCGACGATGTTGGCTGACCGCTCGCCCTTCTGTCTGCCCACTCTTCGTAGGCGTGGAGATCACAGATGAGATCTCCTTGTGTGTTGCCAAAGGCAGCGCGAGCAGACTTGGACTCTTCACGCTTGTCCTTGGGACTGACGAAAGGACTCTTGACGGTGAGCACGGAAGAGATGGTCAAAGCAGCGTCAAGGCAGCCAAATGCAGCGCCATACACAAGCAGCTTTCCGCAGCGTAGGTCGGCAGGAATCATGGATAAGTGCCGACCGAGAGCGGTGAGATCGGTGTTGTCCAGAGCGCCGATGCGTGTAAGAAGTTGTAGCGCGCCAGCGACAGCCAGCGTCTCTGGCGGCGTCAGAGCTGAGGCGAGAAACGATGGTACGTCAACCACACCCATAGCACGCACCGACAGACAAAGCTGTTCGAGCGGTACACGCCTGATCTCTGGGTCCGGCCTCTCCGCCATTTTAGCTTCTGCGGATCGTGTGTACAGCTTATAGCATTCACCTGCGCGCACACGACCAGCACGACCACGGCGCTGCTTGCACGCCGCACGCGAGGCCCATACTTCGGCGAGCTTCACCATATTGTTGGCTGGATCGAAGCTGGTCTCTTTCACACGACCGGTGTCAATGACGGCAACAATGTCCTCAATGGTGATGGAAGTCTCAGCAACATTGGTCGCAGCAATGACTTTTCGCATCCCGCTAGGTGCTTTGGGAAAGACTTTCCGCTGCTCAGAGCTCTGGAGTGATGCGTGAAGAGGCAACGCATGTAGGTTTGGCACAGACCGCAGGGCTCGCAGGGTCTGGTCAATTTCGCCTACGCCGGGCAAGAATATCAGAATTCCGCCTTCTGTGTTTCCTAGCACGCGGTCAATATGCTCTACAGTGCGAGCGATGAGCTCGTAATTGATCTTGGTGCCAACTGTTCTCAATGCTTGCCCAAGCCTAGGCTGAGCTCGTGGCGTGGAGGTACCAGACGTATTGCCGCGGATCACGTCGTCCAGAGTCAGGTCAGCAAGTGTGTCTGTCGTTTCTTCTTCTTCTGTTGCGCCTCCAAAGCCAGTCATGCGCAAGATATCGTCCTACATAAGTAACAGATCGAAGGTCAGCAACTATCTCTATCCCTTGGAATGCTAGAACTTACCAAGTAGATATCCTCTACAGGATAGGTGCGGCCTTGGATTTCCACCTTTCCAACACTCGACGAAGCCTTGAAGTAGTTCTCGAATGTTGCGGCATCAAGTGTAGCACTCATGAGAATCAGTTTGAGGTCCTTTCGCTTCTTCAGCACATCGCGCAACAGGACAAGCAGGAAATCGGTGTCCAATGAGCGCTCGTGCACTTCGTCAATAACAACATGTGACACATCTGCCAGGCTTCGCACAACATCGTCCGTACTACCGCCAGAGGTTTGCAAACGTCGGAGTAGAACACCAGTTGTCACGAATGTAATCTTTGTCGTGCCTTGTCTCTGTTTCGACTCGCCGCGAATTGCGTATCCAACCTCTTCACCTACTCTGCCGCACCTTTCATCAGCTACCCTGTCTGCAAGGCCCAGGGCAGAAATTCGGCGAGGCTGTGTGCAGATGATGTTTGCTTGCTCACCGAGGCAGCGGTTGATCATATCATCTAGGACAAATTGCACGGATTGTGTAGACTTTCCCGAACCAGTCTCGCCGGAGATGATGGTCACCTGGTTGTTCGTCACGGCCGTCACAATCGCGTCTTGGAGGTTCCAAGCAGGGAGACTTTGCCTGCCTTGTAGCATCTTTTGCTGCTCGGGCGTAGACTGCTTGGTTTGCCAATCTTGAAGCAAACGTTGGCTGACGGCGCTCTGTGGCGACCATGATATTGGCTTTGGCTGTCTCCGTGGTTTTCTCGTAGAAGGCCTGGCCGCTTCTTTCGAGGACGTGGCAGTGGCACTTGCGACCTCACTGAGCTTACCAGGATCCTCGATGACCGCAGGAATGTTCTGTTCGAGCCAATCTACGATGCTAAATAGCATTTGCACGCCTAGAAATTCTTCACTAGCAGCAACCAGCACTTTCTTTAAAATACTCAAGCGGACATATGCAGGCAAATCTGTTTCGACAGACAGTATAGGCGGCGTGTACGGATAACCATTGCTAGGAGGCCGTGCACGAAGCACAATGGGCTTCTTAGCAGGTGTCTGGAGCTCTAAAGTGATGGTGCATATTCTGTCGTGATTGGTAAACTTATCGCCGTAAATGGACTCGGATGTAGCCATTTCTTCGTCCCAGACCTCGAAGTCGGCCTCGGTGCCATCGGCAGAGGAAGGTTCTTGTCCTAGCAGTCTGGCTTGCAGTACTTCGGCAGCCCGACCTTCTACACCGCTACACGAATCCAGGACTTCCGAGCACAGCTCCTGGGCATATCCTGCAGTAGCCAAGCGATTGATCTTGCCTTCGCGTTTCAGGTCACCACTGGCCATAGTCACACCAGCCATGTAGTTATCAGGTAACGTCCATCGTGGCAGATCGTCTTCAGGAACATGAATCAGAAGCCACTCCAGGCATTCTTCCTTGTCCTTACAAATCTCGGCTGCTTCCACAACGTGGCTCCTTCGAAAGCCGATTCCCGACAGCTCATCTGCGATGCTCTCACGCTGGCTCGCCGTCAACGTCGTGCCGTGTGGGTTCCATGCGCCGCCTTGACGAATGAGCAACTCGACGCCTCGTCTGGTCCGCTCACCCATTTCGACCTTTTGCCCCCAGCCTTTCAAGACGTGCTTGCTCTGCACTCGGCCATCTAGACTGACCACTTCCAACTTCTTGTCCTCGACCTGCTGCTTGACCTTGTCTGCCCGAGCTTTTTCTTTGGCTAGCTTGGCTTCGTCGTGCCTCTTCTTAGCCAGGAACGGATCTGCCTCGTACATGTAGGCGTTTCCTTGCGCCACTGCCTCACTCTTCAAGTCTTGAAAGTCGCCTTTCCAGAGGTCGCGATAGTGGGGAGGGAGCATCATGTGGATATTCTTCATGTTGCTCACTCTGAACAGAGCATATGCCGCTGCGAAGTGTCTGGCTTCGAGGGCACTTTCTTGCGTTGCCCGCTCCTTGAGGTAGTCTGGCGGTGGCACGATGGGAGGAAGAGTGACTAGCTCCTGCGTCTTCGGGTGTCTCTGCTTGATTATCACGCCGCCCGTCCAGCCTCGTGGATTGCGATGCACGGTGTATTCAGGTCGTTCCCACTTCTGCTTCTGGCAGTGCTCGTTGAACATGGTCTGAGGCAGCTTGCCTGTCCATGATGCGCCGCCGATCAGCGTTCGCGTGTCCGGTTTCTTGGGCTGTTCCTCTGCGCCATCTGCAGTCTTCGCCTTGCTACTTCCTGCTGGCAAAGGCTCGCTCTCCGCTGCAGGCTTCCTTGCCTTCTTGGGCTTGCCATCGCCAAAGACGATGTAGCTCGTGTCTTCCTCGTTCAGCGTGGCCGCGGTAGGCTTCTTGCTGCCACTCGCCTTGCCTCCCGTCCGGGACGCATGCGGCTTGTTGACCATGTCTTCAGGTAATCAGCGCACCAGCGCAAGGTGGTCTTGTTGGTGTCCATCTTCGGAAGGTTTGGGAAGCGCTCAGGACAGCAAGACGAGCTCGCGGTTTTAAACGTGAATAGTGGGTCCGAAATAGACTGTGCCTTCTTACCTTTTACTTTCTACCCCCACTTTGACTACATCTTCACTTCACTTCATTCACTTCATTCACTTCACTCGAGTCAAATTGGATATGATTCATCTCAAGTCGGGCACTATCTGCTATATGTCGTCGCCGACACTCGTCTGACTTCACCAAGTGAGAAGAAAGTGGGCAACAGGAGGAATCAAGAGCTTAAAATGCTTTGTGGACAGTAGATTCAAACCCCCAGCTCGCCTGTCAACGTATACAAGACCTGCGCAAGCTGGCCGCAGGAGCATTGCGGACGCAGATTGCGAAGTCTTGGTTACATTGTGCTCTGAACCATCGCCAACAACACCTGTCACAACATTGCACTCAAGCCATCGAGATCCTTGTCGCAGCTATATTCGTGTGCCATGCATGCACAGGTCCCATGGACACACCTCTGGTATGCCCGCACGTCCTATATGGTGACTCTGAGCGGATCTCTGACATTGATCAACGCCTTTCCCAGCGCAATCCCACTCCAATTATCTCCTATGCGGACATTGCCTGCTCGGTCGTGAATCCGCAACCCCAAAATAGATATATGCTCTTAGTAAGTCCAAATATTGGCAGTGCTGATGTTGATAACCATTAAGGCCGGGGTGGAGGAATGAAAGATTTCATGATAGCAGGCGGTCACCACGCATCAAGACGTCGCTTCCTGCCCCGAACAGCCTCGCGGCTTCCTAGTCTTCTGCAGAGCTTTGATACAGGTAGTGGCGAGTGAACAAGATTACTCAGACGAGCCTCGATCCACCTGGAGAGCAATCGCCGACGAGTGAGCCTGTGGGCTTGGCATGTATACGCCGGTGGAGACACGGTCGGCTATGTAGTCAGTGCAATGATGTGGACGGCACTGGATCGAACTTCTAACAAGACTCGCGATCATTCTCATTCTCATCATCGTCCAATAGCTCGTCTGAGGCTGTCGAGATGTCGTCGTCTTCGTCATAGTTTTCGATCAATCTAATCTATACATGACTCTACACATTCTGCTCGTTAACAAATAACCCAGCCATACCCTGTCCAGTGCCAATACACATCGTCGTCAGAAGAATCTTCTTCTGTTGTCTCCTTGCCTCAGACAAACCTGTTACGATCTGTCTAGCACCAGTGCAACCCAGGGGATGTCCCAAAGCGATGGCTCCACCTCTTACATTCATCTTCTCATGTGGAATCTTGAGTGTGTCCTTGCAGTACACAGCCATCGAAGCAAACGCCTCGTTCAACTCGAAGATGTCAATATCGTCGACGGTCAAGTTGTACTTGGAGAGGAGCTTAGGGACGGCGACGGATGGGCCAATGCCCATGATGCGAGGCGCAAGACCTGCAACTGTAGCGCCGACAAATTTGGCTAGGATGGGCTGGTTGAGCTCGAGAGCCTTGGAACGCTTCATGAGGAGCACAGCAGCTGCTCCGTCTGTCACTTGCGAGCTGTTGCCTCCAGTAGATCGGTCGCCGTAGTCTGGGAAGGCTGGGCGGATCTTGTTGAGTGATTCGAATGTCGTTCCGTAGCGAGGACCCTCATCGCGAGTCAATGTGACTTCCTTTCCGTCCACAACCGCCTTGATGGGCACAATCTCATCATCGAACCAGCCCGCCTTTTGTGCCACTTCCGCTCGTCGATAAGATTCCGCAGCGTAGCGATCTTGCTGTTCACGTGTGATGTTGAAGTCCTTTCCAACGTTCTCGGACGTTTGTCCCATAGGCATCATGCAATCCACTGCTTCCTGGCTGGCTTTAAGGATGTCTTCGAAGAAGGGGCGGCTGAGGGCATCACCACCAGCAGACATGGATTCGGCACCGACGGCTACACCACACTCGATATCTCCGTGGATGATTTGGTTGGCGATGTCCTGGACGGCTTTGAGGCCAGAGGAGCAGAAACGGTTGACCGAGGAGCCGGCAGTGGTATTCGGGAAGCCAGCGGCGAGCATAGCGGCACGGCAGTAATAGGCTGCTTTGGAATCGGAGACCTGAGAATGATCAGCATACACTTTGGCGCGTACAGACAGGCTGGGTGACTGACATTGCCCAAGCAGATATCCTCTACTTGCGCAGGGTCAAGGTTAGACTTCTTGACGACCTGCTCCAAGATTTTGAAGACAATGCCATCGAGAGGAGTGTCCTTGAGCCCTCCCTTCCTGCCCTTTGTGAGAGGCGTGCGGATGGCGAGAGTGATGACGATGTCGTCGGGGTTCTTCTGGGTGCTGTACAGACCTCATGGTCAGCATCGTGCATCGTGTCACATGAAGGTGGGGAACTGAGGCCGGCCGACTCACATCTTGTCCAGCGGCGATTGGCCTGGGAGGAGCTGGCCGAGAATGGACTTGACACGTTCGGTAGCCATGGTGAGAGAGGTATATGGGATGTATGTGGGATGGTGTAGTAGAGAATTGCAGAGGGAGACAGGGAAGGTGTTGTGGAGGGAGAAAAGTGAGCGCTATGTAGGAGGTAGATCAACCAAGGCAGATGAACCGAGGCTTCGCTGGAGAGCGGCAACAACTTTCTTGGACACGTCTCGCGCCAGACCAGCTGCCGAACAATAGCCACCCACTGGCACCGAGGTAGGACTCTGGTGTGCGCTGCTGACTGTGTAACGTCGGCACCTCAACAACACAACAATACCTACACTGATGAGGGGCGTGACGGTATGGCCACTGAATAATGTACCTGACTACCACGTCCCTCGCCGCAGCAGCATCAGACAGCCCTTCTCCGACATTGGCCTCACTCACCATGCACAAACTGCGGCATCATCCGGCTTTCGCGGACAGCTATACTCTCTACCAAGTCGCACTCCTCGCGATGTGAAATGGTCAATTGGAAGAGGTAGCAGAGTATCAGGGCTGGGAGGCTAATTCAGATGCGATCAAGCCGCCTGAAATGAACGCTGAAGAGCGCGTGCCATATTCAATAAAGAGAAATGCAGACTCAGTCTTGAGTAGATCGCCGAAAGCAGTCATCATCTAGATGAGGAGTATGACATCTGTTGTTTTCACTCCATAATCGGTGGTATACTATCATGCTGTCAATTGGTAGAAGCGGAGCTAATCTCGACCATGATCATGCTGCAATGCTCCCCGGACCCAAAAACGCCATCGCTTGCCCAGAATCAGCCTACTCGTCTTCTTCTTCCTCCACGCTTGCAACTCTCGGCTGTATGATCCGCTGCTGCAGTCCGCCCGCCTGTGTGCTCTCGGCGCCAGTGGTGGCAGTGTCTGCAGCTTCCACGATGCCCTTGGCAGGTACAGGCACTGCCGGCTGGGCTTTGTCCTCGATCTGTTTCTGCTTGCTCTTCTTGCTCGACGGTGGCAACTCGCCTCTTGCTCTCGCTTCTCTGCGTGCCTTCTTCGCTGCTCTCTCATCCTTCTTTCGCTTCTTCATGTCCTTCTCGCTCTCGTGCCATGCCCACACCGGCCGGAACGAGTCGAAGAATCCCACATCTTCAAAGAGATTCGGATACAGCCAAAGCCCAGGTGATACAGTAAAGAAGGTAGCCAGGAAGAGGATGAGTCGAAAGATAGCCATTGCGAAGAAGAGACCCAGCAGTCCGAGCATGCCCATCGAGACATACCAAACTCCAATGCGGAGAGTGTAAGGCCACACGGGGAAGAAGACAATGGCGAGGATACCAACGAGTGCTCCGGCAGCGTATAGCTTGCTCTTCCACTGTGAGGCCGGACTCTGGTATAGCCAAACATAGTAGTACTCGTCCGCGGCTTCCTGCTGTGGTTCCACCTTGACTGTCCACAACCCCTTCACTCTCTTCTTCTTCGCATGTCCATGGCCCTCGTGACCGGCATGCTCGTCAACTTTGGAGCACCTCAACGCCAGCAGTGATAGTGGGAGTAGCTTAAAAGCATTCTCGGCTTGCACGCGATCAGTGACCTCAGGAAGAAGTGGGTTCTTCTTGCGAGCCTTCACATACGCGTCACTCTGTATGGCTCGAATGGCCCTCTTGACCTTGAACATGTCCTTTCGCTGCTCGTTGAAGATGCACGTGCGCAGCTTGAGGTCCTGGGACTGCAAGAAGGCGGCCATAGCAATCGCCTCGGGCTTTGGAGGTCCGGGCTGGATGGGTACTTGTTTTCCTGGCTGCGCGCCCTGGGGGCCCTGTCTGTGCTGGTGCTCATCATGAGGCCCTCCCCCTTGCTGCTGCTGTTGCTGCTGTTGCATGCGCTGCTGCATTTGCGCCTGCTGCATCATCTGCGCCTTCACACGCTCAATATACTGTGGCACGGTGAGACCATGCTTCTGGGCTTCGGCAGCCAGTTGCTGCTGCATCATCTGGATCTGCTCGGGTGTGGGCTGCTGGCCGGGCTGCAGCTGGAAGGGCGCCTGCGGTGGTTGAATTGGCGGTGCTTCTGCTGCAGGCTGTGCTTGCGCTTGAGGCGGTTGTTCCTCTACCTGCGGGCCTGGTGGCGGTCCGCCTACAATGTTGTGGTGATACATCTCCGCTGTGTGCACTCGCGAGGGTGTCGGCTTCGTGAAGTCTTCCAGCAAGAAAGTGTTCCAGGTTGGTGTGGTGGAAGAAAACGAAAATGAAAGCGGGAAGTTCACGCTGGATGATGTATCTATTTCGAGATCGCAACGTTGCGTCAAGCCCGGCTCTTGAAGCCCAGTGCCCTTGGCCAGCTGGTCATTCGGAACCCAACTTGGAACTTTCTTTCAACCACCAACATCATTGTTATTGTATGCCTCAACACATACATCACATTTCGAAGCATTGCATGAATTCACCAGTAGAGTCGTGCTGCGTAAGAGTTCGATTCGTGCTACATTGATACTCCTTGCATTTCACGCCCTGCCAGCTATATGCTCGACTACCTAGGTACCTAGACGTGTTCATTCTTCTCACTCAGCGTCGACGCATTTCGGAAGGCCTTGCCGTGCTGGACAGTGTCCATGGCATCCTGTCCCGCAGCCTCTGCCAGATCCTCATCAGTCCGCGCGAGCATGGAACGGCCTCTCATCTCCGGACCGAGAAAAGTCAGCAGTATGACATAGGCATAGACGCAACCGAGAAAAATACAGATCTAGAGCACATTAGCAAAGTCATGTCGAGAACACCAGGAGCACAACTCACCACTTTCCCATACGCATAGCGCTCGACAGGCTTCCCCTTTACGATCTTAGGCTCCAATGGGAAGCGCTCGCCAATGGTGGCCTCGATTGTGCTCGAAGCCGACGATACTAAGTTACCAAGCTGATAAGACGTACCAACCACGAATGCTCTCAGGGATCCGGGAGACAGCTCCATCAAGTGGATCGGAATCACACCCCTTGTCTGAATGTCAGCACATTTCAGAAGCTTTGTTCGCCCATGATCACCACTCACCAAGCGCCCTGCACACAGAACTGTTCAAAGAAAGCTGCCACCATGACCTTCTCGTTGCCCACAAAGCTGTACGGGTACAGGAGTGCGCCTCCAACGATGCTGACGAAGATGATGCTGAATCTGCGACCTAACGACTGGGACAGATATCCAATCGTTGTGCCACCCGCAATAGCTCCAAGGTTGGCGACGACTTGTGTCACAGTTACTGCATCCGCCGAGAAGTTGTACTGATTCGACAGCATGGTTGGGTACAAGTCCTGACTGCCATGAGACATGAAGTTGAACCCGGCCATCAGCAGCACCATATACACGAGCAAGATCCAATGCTTCTTGAGCGCCACTTGACCCTCTTTCATGAACGTTTTCCCTACATTCTGGCTGCCTTCTCTTACCCTCATCCTTTCTTCGTACGCCTCGGTTTCTCCCAAGCATAAGCGGAAAGCAATGATCAGCACAGGCACGGCGCCTCCAAACCAGAATAGAGGTCTCCAGCCATGAGGTGTAGTATTCACGAGAGCTCTCGCAAAAACTGTAGCAAGGAGATACCCGAAAGCATAGCCTTGTTGCAGCATACCAGAGATGATACCACGAGCCTTTTCAGGACAATCTTCGAGAGCCATGGCAGCGACATTTCCATAGAGTCCCCCCATGGCGATACCAAAGAGCGCTCTCACGGCCAGGAATTGATCATACGTATTGCAGAACCCTGTACCGATTTCCAAAACGATAAAGAGCAAGTTGTTGACAACAAAGGGCCATTTCCTTCCGTACCGATCCGATGCGAGTCCAAAAGTGATGGCGCCGACAGATCGAAACATGAGGACCAAAGTGATGCCCCAGGTAATGTCCTTTTTGGATTTATCAAACTGTTCGGCGAGGTCGGACACGGTCAATGAGACGGTGAAGAAGTCAAAGGCGTCCCATGTCCAGGCGATGAAGGCGCAGAGAAAGAAGAGCCATTGTTTGAGGTTCAAGAGGCGGAGAAGGGCGATGGGATTCTCCAGCCTGTCCATGGGTGGTTTGAGAGTGCTGAAGCGCGTTGCAAAGTATCTTCCAATGCTCATGCTGACCACAGGCTCACCCGTATTGGGCAGCGAGGCATCTTCACGTTCGACGGCATGGTCGAAGTCGTACTTTTCGGCCATGGTAGGCTATCGGTATGCTTGGACTGCTGTGCTTCGTGTTAGCCTCTGTCGATCTGTTATCCACTCTTCATGCTGCCAAGCATGCTTGTTGTGTTCAAGCCTTGAATTGCACGTGGTGGAGAAGGTACATGTTTCCGCCTGTTTGGTCGAGCCTCGGGGTACATTGAGGAATATCAGATGGTATGCCATGCCACTATTCGAGCAAAAGGCTTCAACCTTCAGCTTTTGTAGCAGGCATTCACAAGTCATGACGAGGAGTCCGCTCCCATCTCTTGTTATGCACCTAACAGTGCAGTGATAGGTATTCAGAGGTGGCGAAAGCTTACTCACCACTAAGCTCCAGCCAAGCGGTCTTGGCCTCAATACCGCGATGGACCAGAAACGGCGCAAGCGATGAGGCTGCAAAAGACAGCGGCCAGTAAGTAAGTAGTAGAACGACTCTGGTCACAAAGTGCAGCGTGCGATGCAGCTTAAGTACCTGACCTTACTCCTACCGCCAACTAGCGATGTTATCATTACCTCAGCTCGATCCTCCGCCCTATTTCGTGTAGAACCGTTCAGGCTGATAATAAAGCACCAAGGTCCGACTTCCCAGCAGCCCTAGTCACACGGTATTGCATCGCTTCGCCACATGCGGAACCGGGCCTTCCACTGCACCCACGGTGACCCACCTCACTGTGCTATTGCAGGCTTGCAGCGTCCTTGTGCAGTAGTAGGTAGGCTTTTACTAGGAGGTAGGCTAATAGCCCAACAGATCCCCGCGGGGTCCCCAAGCTTCCTCGGTAGAAACCAATGAGAGAAGAAGAGCCTATTGTAGGCCGCAAGGATGTTGCGTTCCTTTTCTGCTAATTCGCAAGCCTTGTGAGAGAAGTTTCTGGACGAGTCTTGTTCCCACTTCCAAGCCGGCTATGGCAGGCGAGAAAAGCATAATGCTTGCTTGTCACTGCTCCCAAGGTTTGCGAAATGTCTCGGAAGCACGCCACCTATCAGACAGGGAGGTCGGCTTGCTGGAACGAAAAATTCGAGGCGTGCAGCGAGAACTAGGATGGAGGTAAAGTGTACGATTTTTTTTCGTTCCTAGGACTCATCACGCGAGTGCTACGCGGTTTCGACCGACCACCTGTATATGGTATGGTATGGATGATCGATTTGCCTGCAAAAGCCGCATGCTCCTGCAACTTCTGGTCAAAGCAAAGCGATACGAAGTTAAAATTGAGAGAAGTGACAGCGCGTGCATCAGGTCACACTGCTTCAGTTGAGCTGTCGAGCGTAGGAGGTACCTTATGCAATGTCCACTGTTCGTGCAGATCTTGGCGTCTCGATTCTCCGCGTGATCTCTAGGATCTTTCCACGTGGACGACACGATCGCAGTGACAGTTGCTGGAAGCTTGATGAATGCAGAAGCAGAAATGGAGGCTGCGGGGTTTTCAAGTAAGAATAGTTTGTTGCACAGGATTATGCTAGTTTTCCAGATTCGAAGCAGATCAGTTGGTTATAGGGCCTGTCGCACATTGAGTCCTCAGGCAGCACAGCAAGGCAACATACGCCACGCCACGCCCAGAGTAAAATGTAACTCGAGCCAATTATCTGCTACCATCAAACTCGACAATTGTATCCTGCTATACTGGCATCAGACCTTCCGCTCTCGAGCAACCGATTGTTTTGTTTGTAGTATATATTCGGGTTTTTGAGTGTGGCCTCCATCAAGGCGTTGTAGCAAAGTGGTTACTGCGATTGACTAGAATTGCGCAGCTCAGCTGTGCCTCAAATCAATTCCCTTCGGGGGCGTAGGTTCGAATCCTGCCAACGTCGAAATCGCAAGTTTCTTTTTTGGCCTTTCTCTGGCTGCGTCTACTGCATGAGCAGCGACATTTTCCCAATCTCTTAGCATTGTTCTTTTGCAATATCTTGATGCAATACTAGGTACCTATATAGATGTTGAAGAATACAGGCAGGTAAGGGTAGTCGCTCACACCCTATCGACGTCTTATAGTTCTAGAGATCTTATCTCGTTTTCTAGGCATTGCAGCTATATACAGCACTATTACAACCGGGGCTATTGTGTTGTCGTCAAGGAAGAGGCTTTTCTACTTTGGCAGTTTCTTAACTTGATCAGAACCAGTAGTGCTGAAGTGTTTACTTGGAGGTTGTTTCATCCTAACTCAAGTACGGCTCCCCTCGTGTTCCGCAAGATATATACCTCCGGGCGCTGGGTAGGCTCAAGCAGTGAAAATATACTGAGATCCGAATTATCAGTGTTTCAGACCAAAGCCTATTACTGTACCTACAGGACATATATATATCGGTGAGCCTGGCACACTTCAGATCTCTACAACTGCATCTCGAATGCCGTCACTGACCATGGCTGCACTCTCATCGGCAGTACTGGGTTCGGCACGGTTCTTTGCAATATTCTGCCCTACACTCTTCGCGGGTGTTACAGCTCAATGTAAGAGTGAATATGTACTTGACAAAGGTCAAGAAGCAGAAGCTCATCCCGACTAATCGAGCTTCGGACGCAGACTCCTTCATTCTCGTCGATCCCATCGTAGCTCATGCACCGAACGAAAAGACCATGGCGATGCTGTGGCTCCACGCCTACCAGCTCGGCCCACTATGGGTGCCCCCGTTGATCTTGCCCGGTACCATCTCCAATGCTTACCTCGCAAGTCTCGCACCCTCTGGTTCTTGGCAGAGACTGTTCTACCTCATCGCGGCAGGCTGCATATTTGGCATCCTCGTGCCCATCACCTTCTTTTACATGGAGCCCGGAATCAATGGTGCTTGCAAATGGAGGGTCGAGTCTCTTTGGAAGGACGAAGGATTCCATCTGCCCGAGACGACGTTATGGAAGCCTTCTGCGCACCGTCATGGAGGTACGGCGAGGAGCAGAGCGTGGGCAGAAAAGAGCAACATGAAGGAGCTGGTGCTCTGTTGGCGCAAGGTGAACAATTTGCGATGGATGCTTGGTGGCTTGGCGGCGTTTCTAAGCGGAATCGCTACGTTCTCTCGAACGTGACTGATGTATGGTATGCGCAGCAGAATGGCTGTTGTTGTTCTTCTCAATCGTCCCGTCTCTTTCCACATACCGGAGATGTACCTAGGAGGTGGGTACATGAAGGTAGGAGGTACCTCCGAATAGTTCTTCTCCAGAATAGACAGCCGATATTCTAGTCTAGCGCCGCGGAACACTTCCACTCCCGCTGCACCCGCCTGGTACTCCCAACATTTTTTAACTAATGGGTCCCTCCGATTCACATGCTACGACATTTCGCCATGGCAGACCTCCGCTGCCGTCTCACCACCGCGCTCCACACCATCGACGACAGCGAGCGACATCATGACCGCCACCGAGCTCTGGCAGCATCCTTCGCCCGAGACAACCAACCTCCATGAGTTTCTCACCAAAATCAACAACAAGTACACTAAGTCCTTCCAGACCTACAATGACCTCTACCAATGGAGCATATCAGACATATCCGCTTCATGGGCCGAGATATGGGACTATGTGGGAGTTCGTACATCCAAGCCGTACACCAGAGTAGTCTCTTCCGACTCGATACTGTTCCCTCGTCCCTCATGGTTTGAAGGCGCAAAGCTCAATTTTGCAGAAAACCTGCTGTTTCCTCTTCCGGATGTCGACGATAACAGTCCCGCCGTGATTGCTGCCACCGAGACCACGCGTGAGACGGTGACCTGGAAGGAACTTCGAGACCGCGTGTGGCATTGCCAAAGCGGCATGCGAGCTCTAGGGTTAAAGACTGGTGATCGTGTTGGCGGTTATGTCGCAAATCATACAAATGCGTTGGTCGCAAGTCTGGCTGCGAGCTCATTGGGAGCTGTTTGGACAGCTGTGAGTCCCGATACAGGCGTGAGCGCCGTCCTAGATCGGATGGTACAGATTGAGCCTTCAATCCTATTCACAGACAACGCTGTGATGTACAATGCGAAGGAACATCCAGTTCTTCCCAAAGTGAAAGATATCGTGGCAGGCTTACCAACCTTAAAGGGAGTGGTTGTCTTCAATACTGTCGAGAGTATGGGAAGTGAGGTGACAGGGCTGCCTGCCGAATTGAAGGAGAAGGTATGGACATACAAGGAGTTTGCTTCTCAAGAGTCGGACCTCAAGGCATTGCACTTTGAACAACTTGAGCCCGACCACCCTGTCTACATCCTGTATTCGAGTGGCACCACTGGTGCCCCCAAATGCATTGTACATGGAGCGATAGGCACTCTGCTCCAGCACAAGAAAGAGCATATACTACAAAGCGATATTCGACCTGGCGACAAGCTCTTCTACTTCACGACGTGTACATGGATGATGTGGCATTGGCTTGTATCGGGACTCGCAGCAGCCGCTACGCTCGTCCTTTACGATGGCAGCCCATTTCAGTATCGAAACTCCGAGGGCCAGAGCATTAAGGACGACCTTGCAATGCCGAAGCTCATAGATGAAGTCGGTATTACACAGTTCGGCACCAGTGCAAAGTATCTCTCAGTCCTTGAACAGCGAAATGTCCTCCCGCGCGAACATGGCTTGTCGCTGAAGACTCTCAAGGCGATATACTCGACGGGCTCCCCTCTAGCACCGAGCACTTTTCAGTATGTCTATCGGGCCTTCGGCGCCGTGAACCTTGGGTCTATCACAGGCGGAACAGATATCATTTCTCTATTTGGTGCCCCTTGTCCTTTGCATCCTGTCTACATCGGTGAAATTCAGGTGCTCGGGCTCGGAATGGCGGTTCAAGCTTGGGACTTTAGTGGCAAAGATGTTTCGCAGACAGGTGAGCCAGGCGATCTGGTCTGTACCAAACCCTTCCCTTGCCAGCCTGTGATGTTCTGGCAAGGCGAAGAAGGGGAGAAGAAGTACAGAGCCAGCTATTTCGAAGAGTTTGAAGGAGTTTGGCATCACGGAGACTTCATTCGTTTCAATCCAGCAACTGGTGGTCTCATCATGCTGGGCCGTTCCGACGGTGTGCTGAAACCATCTGGAGTACGCTTTGGGTCGGCCGAGCTATACAATATCATTCTGAAGCACTTCCCGAATGAAGTCGAAGACGCACTCGCAATTGGGCGACGACGGGAGACCGATGACGATGAGACTGTCGTGCTGTTCTTGAAGCTCAAAGAGCCAGGAAATTTGGACCCAAAACTTGTTGAAAGCATCAAGACAACTATTCGAAAAGAACTGTCTGCAAGACACGTTCCTGGAGTTGTTGCCGAATGTCCTGACATACCGGTGACGACCAATGGGAAGAAAATTGAGAAGTCAGTCAAACAGATACTGTGCGGGCTGAATATCAAGACGAGTACCAGCGTTGCGAACCCAGAGAGCCTAGATTTTTACAAGCAATGGGCAGAAACTCACTAGCTACACGTAAGGTAGCAGTGGTCATTATTGGGACAACCCAGACCAACTACCCTGCAGGCACCAGGTATTGATCCCAAAAGCTGCGATTGAGATACTTCGAGCTCAATGCGCGTCCCTTTTCATACGTGTCACGCTTCGAAGGACGAACGACTTCACCAGTAGTGACTGACCATTGTGCTGGTGTCAGTTTAAAAAAAAAATTGTATTCATTAATTCACACAGGGATAGTAATACTAGTACATACACGGCATCATCATCAACTATAAGTTCTTGGCAAAGGAAGTCACATCGCGAATGGCATTATTGTGAAATTCTGGGAGCAGTTTCCGAAACACAAGGGATGTGGCGTGAACGACTCCCAAATTGACCTTCGCATGTGCTTCCACTCCCGCAGCAAGAAGCTTTCGATAATATGCCATACCTTCATCTCGAAGCGGATCCAGTTCGTCCATGGCCAACACATGAGGGGGAAGACCTTTGCAGTCATCGATTGAGGCAAAATATGGCCATGCGAGAGGGGTTTCCTTGGCCTTTTCTCCTTCCTCTCCTTCTCCACAGTAATACGATGCCATGCCTGCCATCATCGAAGTGTAGAGCCAGTAGCCTTCACACTCGTACAGACTGGGCAGCTCTTTGAGTTTTCGCGCATCCGGCCACCCATAGGCTCCACTGATATATGGAACGATGCCATAGACTCCTGCGATCTGGTGAATCCAGCCTTCTCGCTTGGCTTTGAGAGCTGTGGCTAAAGATAAATTGGCGCCTCCGCTCTCGCCTTGCAAGATGATGTTGCTGATTTGCAGCTCCGCTTTGTGTTGATAAATGTACTGCACTGCAGCAGCGCAATCATTCAAGCCGATGGGGAATGCATTGTGCTTGCCGTTGTCGTACGCGTTACGGAAGTCGACAGAGATGGCCATCACCCCTTGCACGGCCAACGATTGACACCATCGGTCGTGGACTTTGTTCGAAGTGCTCGTGAGCACCATCCCACCCCCATGAAAATATACGACCACCGGTAACACTCGTCGTGACTGCTCCGCCGGACGGAACACGAACATCTGACGCTCCGTACCATCGAAACTCGGAAAGGTGAGCGTCTCGCGATGAATCTGCGACTGTTCTTGCTGGTCCCCCACGAGATCATTGGGCAAAATCTCATACAGCTTCATCGTCGAAGCATGATTCTTGGCCATCTGTGTGGTCGACGCGAGATCTTGCACGCTAGCGCCTTCGAACGGATTTCCTTGACTGCCATCCATTCCAAAGGCGCGGAAGACTTCTACTAGCTTGGGATGCGCTCGAGGGTCCTGGAAGAGCTTCATGTTCCAATCTCCGAGTCGGCCTGGACGCGTGCATAGCGCCGCGACTGGATCGGTGCCTTCAGGCGGGCTGGATTCTGAAGCCATTTCTTGTGGAGTTTTCTTCTGAGCAAGGACTGACGATTGATTGCAGTAGAGATGTCAATCAACGTGTCGTTGTGCGCTCGATATGGGAACATGGCACGCGGGAAGTGCTGGACCTGTTTTCTTGGTAAGCTATCAAAGGCTGATCCGCAGATCTCTACGCAAGTCGCGGGATCGCATCCATTATTCAGGGAGTGGCGCTGTGCGAGCGTGAGTCGCGGGGCATTACTAGGATGGAAGAAGATTAGACTTCAGCTATAGTAGTTGATATCTCTATAGATGTATAGTTATATAGCTGTAGGGTACTCAGCAAGGTGTTGGAGAACAAAGTGTTCATCCAAACTCGCATGTACGGTCAATGCACGTACCGGTATATGGGATTGAATGAGATTTACAGTGACATTACTTATACCATCAAATGTACACGGGAGACCCAATCTGGCCATAATGGCGCAGTGGTAACGCGTAGCACTTGTACACAACAGGTATGCTAAGATCCTAAGTTCAATTCTTAGTTGTGGCACATAGATCAGATGATATTCATCATCTACTCTTTTGCATTTTTCTCACAACTTCGCCCCAAAATCTTTTGAAAAACGATCGTACAAAGGCACACCATCTCTCTCCACATCGCACCACCAAGCCTTTTGGCTCACAAAGATATGGGCGGATAAACGAAAGGCATCTCGAGCCTCATCCGTCATTGATCCTTCATCGATAGCTCCCAGTGCCAAGGCGACAACGCCCGCCTTATGCTCATATCGCATCCACAAAGGTGTGTAGCAAGATGAACAGAAGGCTCGATCGCTAACTTTCGAGAAGTGTAGAGTCGTGATGATGCCTCCTCCTCCCATATTCTCCTTGGGGACACCTTCATATCGCCGGTCTTCTTTGGTATCGAAAAACGTCAACGAGTTGGACGTGACATCTGCAAACGCTTGAAATGGTCCACCTGAGAGCTTTCTGCAACTAGATTGGAGCAGCCAGCCAAGCTGATCGTTAGCAATGTATTTTATTTTATTTTATTTATCTTCTTTCGAGCAGGCGTTCTCATCATCTGCTATTCATCTACCATATTCATCGAATTGACAGTCGGTGCAGGGAAGGGTAGAGATGCTTTACGTACGTTACGCAGTGACAAGCTGTAGATTTGCGATTGCTGGGTAGTCCGGAACACTCGTACACTATTCTTCCACAGGCACAGCTGCCCTTGAATTGAATGGTTTGATGTGGTGCTTCCATGCCGATGTTGTTGTAGTCTGTGAGCAATCGGCGTGAATGATTCCATCTAGAATGATACCTATAAACGAGCTGTTTTGTCAGCTACCCGCTGCCTTGGAAGAGGGGTATCTGACGCTGCGGTGGTACGCCGCCCTTCACGTGTATGATGATAGCTTTGCCCGGTGGTTGGTACTCTTGATTTATCCAGTCTCTCAGATAACACTCAACTAGGCACTAATCATTATTGCTTGCCAGGCAAGTTCAGTCTTGCCCACACTCCAGCCTAAAACACAAGATCGTACGCCAACGTATCATCCGAGACCTGCTCACGGAAATGATGCACATGGAGATGTGCAGGATGCTGAGCATACACCGCTACATCTTCCGGTCTCTCCAACGTTGCGACAAGCCCCAAGTCGTATCCCAGAGCACGATGAGCCGTCGAAGCGAGAGGCGGTCCAAAATCAAACTTGATCAGGCCTGCCAAAGTGCAAACATGATATCAGCCACGGAAAACATTTGTTGGGCAGAGCTGGAGTGTGGAAGATTACGGCACACCAGGTATTTGTCCCACCATTTGACGCCCAGCTGCTTCGAGAGCGTCGATTTGTGCTTTGGTGACGCCGGGCTTGAGTTTGAATAAGACTGAGTGAGGGAAAAGAGCCAAATTTTAGTCTTGTCTGTGCTTGGACACCTATGTTCAAAAAGTCACCAACGACAACAATACGTAACTTACCGATGTGGTACACTCCCATGCTTGCGGCAATGTTCGCTGTTGATGGGATGGACACGAAGAAATACACAGAACACGGCAAAGAAATACCTTTCCGGAGGCGAAGTATGCCCAAGGTTAGGTATGATTTAATCTGCCATTCAATGTGGCAGAAAGATTAAGCGCAAGAATGCCATGCTTTTGCTGCACGTCCAGTGGCTGCGAACGAGCTTGCGAGAGCGATAGAGCACCACGCCTTTACGAGGTGACGAGAGTGAAGACGACGTAAACTTTTCGTGTGCTCTGCATAATGTAAGTCTCGTCTAATTACAATAGACCACATCATCATGTGTCTAATAGGTCGCATTTTGGGCACAGCACTCGCATAGCAGCACAAAGGCAATTCAGACAACCAGAGAAACTCAATTGCATGAGACGTCCGCTGAAACCGCGGAGCCTCCAACGCCAGGGGTATCTTCCAGAACGCCATCCGCCGAACTAGAGACGCAGTGCCATCTTGCCGGTTTGCGATGCTATGTCCTCGCCGCTTTTCATTTCATTCCTCCGCCACTTTTGCCTTCCCGTTCTGTGTTTGCCTGTGCATGTTAGTAAGAGGGACTCACCGTCAACTCAGCTCACGATTTGCTCCAAAGTCACTGGTCAGATCCGGACCGAGCGACCATGCATCTGCAGATGGTGATGGGGAAGCATTTCAGTCAGTGTCTGCTGGTTAGTGTAACGCAGGTTGGATTATATGTCCAGATGCGGTGTCCAGCTGTGATAGCCTTAAGGTAACGATGGGATCGCATCAAACCGATATGGCCAAGGAAAGACTCGGTGAAGATCCTGGGTCGGAGCCTAGTCCGCGCGTGCTTTTTTCTGCTCTGGCTCGCTAAAGTCGATGTGGTCCTCGTCTGCTGACTCCTCGTAAGGCCGCTTCCCGTGTCCAGGGGTCGACGTGGTCGGAGACACGGGCTTTAGCTCATCTTCATCGAGATCAAAGCCGATGTCATCTTCGTCGTTCACCACGTCGTTCTGGTGAGCAGTCTCTGCCACATCGTCGGTATCGTCGAAAGGCTCATTGCCGTCATCATCGAGTAGATCAAATGTGAATGGGTCCTCTTCTTCAACTTCCTGTGTTTGATCGGCACCAACAGGATCAGGGCTCCCGTCTTGGCTATGGTCGACCTCGGCAGGCGGCTCAGCAACGTTGTCATTATGTGTGGACTGGCCGTCCGCTTCATCTACATCATAATGAGACTCATTACCACCCACGTCGTGCTGCGAGTAGTCCTCTTCGAGCCCCACACTTGCTGCTGGTTCAATTTTGCTTTCGTCGTGCTTTGCGTCGCCCGCGTGTTCATCGACATTGGCATCAGCCGTCGGAGTCGCTTCTTTTTTCTCAGTTGAAAACTCGTTCAACAATGCGGAGAACTCGTCTTCCCCCTCGTCCTCACGCAGCTCTGTGGTGTCATCTGTCAGGTCGTCGTCCTCCCAATCAATGTAGTCTTCGGATCGGCACTCACCAGTCGTATCATTCGTAGGAGATGTACGAGCCACGGCCGAGCTTGCGTCGGGCGTTGGTTGGACGGCTTCCTCGGCATTCATTATTGGAGCCTCCGACTGATCACCTTCCGCAGTAGCAGCCTCGCGAGCCTCCGAGCGCGCTACGGATTCATCCGCGGCGTCCTCTTGGTAGTACTCGTCGACGCCCTCATCCTGGTACTGGTCCTCTTGGTACTCGACGGGCTCACCATCAGTTTTATCATCGTCTGCATCTTCCTGGAAGTATTGATCGTCTTGATCTTCATGTTCTGCGTCCTCTTGAGCTTCTGGATCTTGATCCTCGTCATGAACAGATACAGCTGTGCCGTGGTATGCAGAAGTCTCAGACTCATGGGTCCGGGCCACAGTACTCTCGTTCTCGGCTGCGGTAATGTTCGGAATCTCGATAGCTGCTTTAGGTAAACCTAGACCTGTCGCAGCCATCTGCTTGAGGGAGGCAAGGTTATGACTGAAGTTGGGTTGTGAAGTTAGCGTCATGGAAAGGGGTGGAGTGTCGTGCTCGGAGACACCGTCATTCTCGTGCAATGCGAGGTAAACACCAAGAACATCGTTGAGACTGGTTGCCGATGCGTGCAGAGAGGACTGCGCTATGGTCAGCGGCTGTCTGTTAGATGGAATTGCCAGATGACAAACCTCTGCTACCATCGAGCCAAACAGGTCAAAATTGAGGACAAGCTCTCGGGCTTTCGTGATCATGTCTGCTTCGTCCACTTTCGACGCGAGCCGCATTCTGATGTTGTTCAGCAGGTCAGTTAAGCTGACGTTGAGCAGGTTATCGTCTTTCAATAAGCCATCTGGCTGCGACTGGGACTTGAATAACGGCCATTGATATTCGCCATACTGTATCAACATGGCATGCAAGGTGCGGTCAGTCGGAGTCTGAGGTGAGTCAGCTACAGAGCCGCCAGACACATTGATCGTACCCGGGTGTCGAGACGGCGCCTTAGGCGTGGAGATGGTGGCATTCTGCTCGGTTTCGGCCTGCGTTGTATCGTACTGATCGTTCTCGTTCACCACATCAACCGCTTCGACAATCCCGGACGCGTCGACTGCCGCGACCTCGGGAACAGATTCTGCCACACTCTGCTCTGACTGAGGAGCCTCCTGCGGTGCAAGCTCAACGGTGTCCTGACCTTCTGCTTCAACATGCCCTGCTGCTTCTTCCGCGACAGTTGTAGCTTCGTCACAGGTCGCAAGAACCTGAGGCTCAGCGACCACTTCTGGCTCAGTGACCACTTCTGGCTCAGTGACCACTTCTGGCTCAGCGGCCACTTCTGGCTCACCGACGACCTCTGGCTCAGCGACCAAGTCTGGCTCAGGAACCGCTTCTGGCTCTTGACCCACTTCTACCGCGATGTCTTTGTGCTCACGCACAATCTCTTCAGTGACATGATCGTTGTCTGCTACGACTTCGGGAGGCATGGGCAAGCCGCTGTCAGCCGTCTGCGCAATCGGAAATTCCTTCATCTGGCTCTGCTCTTGAATTTGGAATGCTTCCACAACAGGGACTTCTTGCGGTGGATCCGGGTAAATTTCGTCCTCATAATCAATAAGTTCTTCGTCATCTACTTGTTGCTCCTGTGGCTGCTCTGCATCATCACTATCCTGCATCTCTTCTTCTACGATGGTCGGTATACTCGTCACATCGGCATGGTCTGCATCAGCCATCAAGTCATCGGTCACTGCAGTGCCGGGCCGCGGAAACTGGCCATCCTCAGACATGTGCTCATCGTCATTAGTTGGCGCATCACCGCCGTAATCATATTCGATGTCGATATCACCATCATAAAGTTGGTTCCCTGCTGGAGAAGACACGTCCATTGCCTCCTCCAAGGCTGGCATAATATGCGCAGCAAATGCCATCGTCATAGTATGCTCGTGCTGCGAGCTGCAGATCGTTTGAGTCGCGTAGTATCAGGCGCCAGAGTGTTGCATGTGTGAGACACAGCAAATCGAAAGAGGTCGAAGAGGCTCGGCGACGCCGCAACAGGTATACAGCGCGTGCGGTCGGTTGCAGGCTTTGTTCGAGTGAAGGACACGAGAAGAGGACAGATGAAGCTTGGACAACTGTGATTTAGGGCGGTAGGTCATGAAATGAGCAGTCGGCGTGATTGTGTCGGGTGTCGTCGCGTCGATGGGTGTCGTGGAGTTGAGTTTGTGGCGAGTTAGTTGTTCGTGAAGGAAGGAACGGAAGCACAACTAGCCTCACTGAAAGCAGAAGTGACGAACGGCACATTCCGCAGCACCCCTGTTCAGGCTTGGCATATGGACGACTTGTCCTAATGTCCTTGGTGCAGGTACGTCCTAGTGGTTGCGAGTGAACAGCTGGAGACTGAATCAAGAATACCACCAGTGGCCTGCTCCGATTCCAAACGTATTGCACGGCGTACTGACAAACCCTGAACTCACTCATCCTCCAGAGAAGCTGTCAAGATGGTAGTGCCTTCCATGCTTCCGCAGCAATGCCATCCTCCTCAATGCTGACACTCCTTAGGTCGTCCTTTCAGCGGCCATCACGACCCGGTCGGGGAAGCCAATCCTGGCCAGACAGTTTCGACAGATGCAACGATCCCGAGTTGAAGCGCTGCTCGCATCGTTTCCCAAGCTCGCAGACACGGCATCACAGCACACCACAGTCGAGCAGGACAATGTACGATTCGTGTACCAGCCACTAGACGAGCTATACATGGTTCTGATCACGAACCGCCAATCGAACATTCTCCAGGACATCAACACACTGCACTTGTTCGCTCAGGTCGTGAGCTCGATATGCAAAAGCCTGGATGAGCGCGAAATTGCACGATGCGCTTTCGAACTCTTGTCTGCTTTCGATGAGGTGGTCACTCTGGGCTACAGAGAGAACCTCACTCTCACCCAGATTAAGACTTTCTTGGACATGGAATCGCACGAGGAGCGCATTCAGGAGATTATTGCTCGCAACAAGGAGTTGGAGGCATCAGAGGAGCGGAAACGAAAGGCCAAGCAGTTGGAGATGCAGCGCAAGGAGATGTCTCGTGCAACCAGGGGTGGCAGTGGCAGCGTTGGAGGCATGCCTCGCGCACCAAGTTATCCAACGTATACACCGCCTGCTTCTACACCAAGCATGACCGACTCCTATGATTCGTACAATGCTGCAAAGAACCAATCTTTCAGTAAGCCAATGGCCACGAGAGGAAAGGGTATGCAGTTGGGCAAGAAGAAGACTACAAACACAATGTTCGATCAGCTCGGTGCAGAGGCTGCGGAGGCAAGCGCACCTTTGGCTGGTGTCCCTGTACCTGCCGCACCATCTGTGCAACCCTCGGTCCCAGCAAGCAGAACAAGCACAGATCGTGAAGGGATCCACGTGACAATTGGCGAGGCCATCTCTGCACGTCTCTCACGGGAAGGTGACCTGGAATCTTTTGAAGTCAAGGGAGATTTGCAGCTTCGCATCACAGATCCTAGCCTCACCCAAGTCAAGCTAGATCTTGCGGTTGGTGATACGAAAGGAGCTCAGCTCAATGCACACCCCAAGGTCGATAAGGCCCAATTCAAGAACAACAACACAATTCAGCTTCAGGACACGACGAAGGGCTTCCCATCCAACAACAGCATCCAGGTCGCCCGATGGAAATTGGCCGCCAAGCCAGAGAATGTTGGAGAGCCACCAATCACTTTCAGGGCGTGGCCGGCGGAGACTGATGCCGGTACGTGGAGTATCACTGTCGAGTACGAACTCAGTGGCGGCGATGCACTGAGAGACGTCACGGTGGTAATCCCATATGCCAGCTCAGAGCCTTCTGTTTCCAGCTTTGATGCTGTATACGAAGTCAGTGGTGACAGCATTGACTGGACAATTGGTGATATTGATGATAGCAACGGCACTGGCCAGTTTGAGTTCGAGGCGCAGGCATCCTCGGCCGATGAGTTCTTCCCAATGCAAGTCAGGTTCTCTAAGAGCAAGCCTTGGGTAGAAGTAGACATCAGCAGCGTGACTCTGCTCAATGAGGATCAGGATGTTGGGTTTAGCAAGGATGTCCGATCGGTGGCAGAGAACTACACTGTTGTCTAGAGCATCATGCAAAGAGGAGCATCATAGCCTGACCGTCTATTAATTCGTAGGTCAGCTAAAAACGAAGTAGCATGATTCTGAAGATGGGCTCGTGCTATGTTCCAGTACAACTCATGCTTCATATTGACTCGTACGGAGGTGCTCTGTCCGGTGACGCTGATCGCCATGAATTGGACAGATGGAACTGGTTCTGTCATGATTTATTTTGCATACAGTATTCAATGCCACTGCATCAAGTGACCTGTGGTGACATGTCGAATTGGCGAGAATGCCTTCCCGTTTGGGACGCGTCACTTTCGCGATCCGCGCTAGTGGGTGCTGGTGCTCAAGCTCCTTCTCATTACCTCCCACTTCACTTTAGGTAGGAAGGCAACTTCAAAATATCAAGTACACTGAGATGTACCATTACAAGCCCAGACACAAGCCAGACCAAAATGTCATTCGAAACCAAGATTCTGGCATCAAAACGCCTGCCGCAATCCATTAAATTTCCCTTTACGGCATACTCGCACAAACACGACCTTCTGGCAGTTGTTGTGGCGCCATCCTCCTCCACTGCCACCAGTACAAATTTCGAGGTTCAAGTCTTCCGCATCATATCCGGCCAAGTGGCGTTCGTTGTCAAACGGTCTGATCTACAAGCAACTCAAGCTGGAGTTCCGATAGAAGTTTCAGCTCTCGCTTGGAGACCCGATGGCACGAGTCTAGGCGTAGGGTGGAGTGATGGCAGGTATGGAATCTATGATGGAGCATCTGGAAGGCAATTGAGTCTTGTCGAACTACCGGTAGAGGGATTGAAAGAAGAGTTTTCGCTGGATTTGAGTTTACCGGTGAGAGATATGGCGAGGGAGGAGGAACTGGGGAGCAGGAGGAGTCATATCAGCGTCCTGGGGTTTATGGAGCACAAGATACCTGTGAAAGGGAGAAGGAATGGTAATTCAATCGGAGGTGTGCTGACGACTGATGATTGGTATGATGACATCCCTGGGTCTGATGACGGAGTTGAGAATTCGAAAACCAGCGGCAATGAGGATTTCGGAGATCTACCTCGAGCGATTTCAGGCCTGGATGTTACGACGGTGCTGCCTAGGCTGAGCGCCATACCCTCGCATGGCTTGGTACAACCTAGATCTGGAGCTGGCGCTAGCAAGTTCGGAACCCAGGTTGCGACAGATACCCAATTCGACTCCCAATCGAAGTCAGGCTCTGACAAGGTGCAAGCACTGCTAGCATGTCCGAAGAATGGCAATGTGCAAGTTCTCTTGGATGATACAGTGAAGATCGGCTCGGTTGAAACCACGCACAGGCCAGTTGCACACGCAGCACACCCATGTGTTTCGACGCATGCTGTGTTGTGCGATGGCGGAAGCCAAGATGATCGCATGCGAGTAATTCATGTTGACCTGCCCTTGACAACACTCAATGGACCACTACTGCAGGTAATTGCTGCCAACACGAAGCGTATACAGACATTACTCGACTATATTGTGCAAACAGCTCGCTGCATGCAATGGGACTACACGTCCAACATTGCGCTACCTAGGCGCTTTGTCAATCTGCTTGACGAAGATTTGAAGAACAACCATCCCCGAGATGGTGGTGCAGCGTTAAACCTCTACCATTTGGCAATGACTGGCTCCTTTCATCCTCAAGTGCTAGAATGGATCGTGGACATGATCACCGAGACCAACTGGAAGAGATGGGAGACCAATATGACCAGTCTGTATACGAACATTCAGAATCATCTGTTCGTGAACTTGCTGCCGGCGCTGGACCGCTTGAGCATTGCACTAGTCGCCCTCCGTGGTCAAGCAAAGTATCACGAAGATTCCAGCAGCTTCGAGTGCTCGCCGAAGTACTTCGACGTACTGCTGGAGAATATCGATAGTATACGACTGGTAGCACATAAGATGTTGCTCGTCATACAAAGCGAGCTCCGAGAATGTCAGGCTTTTCTTAGATGGCTTAAGATGCAATTTGATATTGCAACAGCAGAGCCCTTCTCGTCGAACGCAATCGAAATTGAGGAAAGAGAGGTACCGAATATTGATTATCCTCTTGTGCTCGCCTACATCAAGCATCATTTGCTAGACTCCAAGCTTGCAATACACATGGAGGACAGGCCGGGTTTCCAGCCGGGCGCAACCTGCAACAAGCAGGAATTTGAGACAGCCTCTCACATTCATGACATGACTTATGCACGTACAAGGGAAGCTCTCGAACAGCTTGACAACATGCACGCTGGTCAGCCGTTGAGAATCAAGGACGTTGCTGATCCAGGGTCACTCGTCAACATCTCGGCGCTAGTGAGTGGTCTCGTTGGCCGCGCACGAGATACAGTCAAGCACATCACCGACTGGCAGAACAGGATGGTGTTTCCACCCATAGATCCACCATCCGTGAAGCTGGAGGACTGGGATGCTCAGTCGAAAATTCTCGAGATGTCCATGGGGTTCGTCAGCGAGGATGAATACTTTACCAGCATCGTCCGTTCGAACCCAGAAACGAGTAATGAGCTTGTCCTCGTGCAGGTAAGATCGTCGCTAGAGGGACCACAGGATGTGTACCGCCACAGCGACAGCTCAAACACCGCCCCATCTAGACGTCGTCGACAATGGGCCCAACAGAACCAGAAAATTTCCGTCAGCCTAGACTCTTGCGGGCAAGCAGGGAATGGTGAGATAATTGATGCCAAATTCGTCCCCGGTAGCCATTCAACACTCCTGATACTGTTCCGACCCCAAGGGGATCTCAGTGTGTTGCTTGTGAAATGGAACATAGACTCGTCAATGTCTGGGATCTTGCATCGTTTCTTGCCGGAGGACACCTTCGACCCAGAAAAGCTATTGGTGGGGGGAAGACGAGGGAAACTTGTGTGCGTCGTTTTTGGCAGCAGAGGACGAGAGTGGAGAGTACTAGATCTTGATGGCGCAGTGCAGTATATCGAGCCTGACGGTGAACAAGATACGATGATGGTGATGCAGTGATTGCATGATGCCAAAGCGAGCATTTCGATATGAGGGTGACTTGTTGTCAATAGACTTCGACAAGAGTGATAGTAGCATTCTTGCTCTAACATCGCAGTGGGATCATGGGTCGTCGACTATTGACTTCTATGAGGCCACCGCTCCGCTCGGAGATATCTAAACTGCTGTCAACCTCAGGCTGGTCATCAGCAAACAAAAAGTTCGGCCGGAATAAGTAATGTTTGTTACAATGTACCTAATCCATGGATTGAAGCCTGTCGTTCGTTGGTCTAGATTCTAGAACTACATGTGTACAGGTAGTACCTACCAGGTACCTAGGTAGGTTGTAGTTCCACAAATAGCCTAGGGACACAGCTTAGCTAAGGTACCCATACTGGACGCTAAGGTATACCTCTACCTTCCAAGTTGTCGAAGGATCAGAAGGACAAACCTCAAGTCCTGTTCTGTCTTGTACAATTCTTTCCTGTTCTGTCTTGTACAACTCTTTCCTGTTCCGCTCTCTTCCTCTTCCTCTTCCTCTTCTTCTTCCTCCTCCTCCTCCTCCTCTGCTTCTCATGGCCGTACATCTCCACCTCCTGTCGCCTTGCTGAAGCTGACGACCACTGCTCGTTGAGATCCGCTACTGCTACTGCTACTGGAGTCGAGGACGAGGCGAGACGCGACGCGACGCGACGAGAGCGAGACGGAATAATGCATGGCGCAACACACCTCGCCGAGCCGGGCTGATGCATCATGGCTGCTCCCTACCAACCGCAAGCTCCGCAACCTGATTGCCATCTCCCTGCGCAACATTTCTCTCGCACCCGCCTCGCCCGTACGGAAGAAAGGCCAGGTCTTCGACGACGATGCTCTGCCGCAGACCCTCAAGTCGCCCGCCAAATTGCTGGCTCTCAGGGAGCAGAAGGCCATGGGACATTCGCGCAGCTCAACCGACTTGCGCGCAGTCCTCGAAGAAGAAAACGCTCTCGCCGCAGACGATGACGGGGCCAGCAGTGTTGTCGACTCGGTTTCTGGCAGTCCCGTAGCTAGCAAGAGCAATGCAAAAGAGAAGGTGCAGAAGCCTGCCACCACCGCGCCCACACGCCCGCCTTTCAGGACGCTGAGGAGACGAAGCACGCTCGAGTGGGCCAGCGCTACGCCCCAACGAAGGCAGGAACGCCTGGAAGATGTCACCAAAGGGCGAATGGTGGACGTCTTCTTCAGCTTACATGTGCAAGATGTCGAAGGTGAGCAGAGCCAGCCATGCATGGCTAGGAGCCGCACTGATATTCGTGGCTTACAGAGCCTATTTACATCTCGGAGACTGTCGAGCATACCATGAACCCAACTTTTCGCTATGTGGATTGGGATGCATGTGGGCCAGGGGTCACCCGCCTTAGCAGTGTGGCTCTACGAGTGTGGATCAAGCGCGGCAGTTGTACAGCATGGCAGCAATTGCTTCAATTGAACATTGCTCTCGAAGGCCTGCACTATCTGGGCAGAACAGTACGTCTGATGTCGAGTTCGCCCTGCATCGTGCAATGCTGACGGTCCTAGCTCGATACCCTTCACTCGCCTCTTCCCGAAAACGCCATCATCTTGCAAATGACAGACGGAGTGTACACCGCACCCACAGGCTCTTTGGCCGAGCTTGCGCCTCCTGGTCCCAGGAACGCAAAGCCGTTATCAAGTACCCGCATACTGCCGACATCATCTTTTGATGCCCTGCTGAGGTTGTCCAAGCTCGACGACAGTATTCAGGATGCATTGGCTACTCGTGATCAGATTTCGAATGACCTGAATGCTCTTCTACAATCGAACGAGAAAGCTCTGGCTGATCGTGATGAAGTCGCCGAGGCCGAGGATCGCTTGAAGACCATTGATTTCGCCAAGAAGACTGTCGAGAAACAGCTCGAGAAAGCCCGCAAGCAGCAAGAAGAAAGGCGTACCTCTTTGAGTACTAGACGTGCTCTGATGGCTTCTGACATAAGCACGCGCAAGAGTGACCATCAGTCGATCCAGAAGACCAGGCCAGATTTTTCCAGTATGCGCGAGGAGCACCAGGCCAAAGTAATGGCTATTCAGAATCAGAGGCGTCGCATCTGCGAAGGATTGCTACACATCTACCCCATTGAGCAACTTCCTGGCAAAGTGCTCTCGTTCAGCATTGGTGGTCTGCATCTGCCGACATCAGACCATCTAGACTCTGAACCACCGGAAATAGTAGCAGCTGCGCTTGGTCATGTTGCACATACTCTCCAGCTGCTCTCGTTCTACTTATCATATCCTTTGCCCTATCCCGTCACACCTCGAGGTAGCACCAGTTTCATACATGATCCGATCAGTATACTGCAGACCAAGAATGCGATCACGACCGAGAAAGCTGAAGACAAACTACGAACATACCCACTATTCAGCAAAAGTATGCCTCGATTCCGGTTCGAGTACGCTGTATTTCTGATCAATCAAAACGTTCGAGTGTTTCTCGAAAGCGAGTTCAGACTGCGCATACTGGATGTGAGACAGACGCTAGCAAATCTGAAATACTTGCTTTACGTTGCTACTGCTGGCGAGGGCGAGCTTCCGGCAAGAAAAGCTGGCGGGGTCCGTGGTTTAATGCGAGTACCTGCAATGCACCGTGCTGGTTCTGCCGACTCTGCCAGTAGTGGGCTGTCTGGCCTGACATTGCTCAGTAACGGCAAGGCCAGATCCCACGGGGGTGCCGCAGATCGACTGCGAGAGATCAGTGCAAAGGTATCATGATGCCAAGTTGTATACCTTTGGGACATGGGAACATACATGTAGCTGTAACGTATGCTTTTGGGCGACATTGGAAGATATGTGCCAAAATTCGTGTATCCTTAAAAAATTTGAGAGAGGTTTCCGCCTTCCTTACGGCTTGCAGCTACGCTATGGTACTTTTAGACACGCTCCACACACCAACTGCTGCAACACCCACTGTTGCGGACGCTCTGCTCTACATAGGTCACAGAGATGGTAGAGAATACTATTACTTCGGGCTGTCCTTCTCGCAGGGGCTCTCCAGAGGCAAACAAAAGGCAAAGTGACTCCGCGAATCCTTGATATATGTCTCCAAAAGACCGTCGGGGCCATTTAGGGTTGCTGGAATTGTGCTGAAGACTTGCGTAGGGAGAGATGGAAGAAGATGAAGGGGGCAGTGTGCCATTGTCGACCTCACATATTAGCATCAAAACTCGCCACTATAGCGCACATTGCACATTAAAATTTTCTGAAGCTCACTTCTCCTTCTCACAGGGCTAATAACCTCGATATATTTCCTTTTTGCATCTCCACCAACAGCGGACGATATGTCGCTAGGGCATAGCCAAACATCAGAGCGACCAGCGCGATGAGCATGACAGTCTGCAAATTCACTTGCATCGTGCTGAGCCTTGTCAACTGGTATCTGATCTGGTTGCTGAGCTTAGATGACTTGGGCCCAAAAGGCGCTGCAGGAGCGAAAGGTCCGACCTGCATCGAATCGTTTAAAAAACGCCGTCCTCCTTTACGGTATGCATGGTCAAAACTTACCATCTTGACAATGGGCTCGACGGCCTCTCGAACACCAGTGTCGAGGCCTCGTTGCATGCCAGGAAGTCCATCCATAGACCAAGCGGATTTATATGCCCAATACCGGTCCATGGACTCTTCTTTCTTTCCACTATCGAATTTCTCTTTCCTCTTCTCAAACACTTGATTCAGAGTCTGTCGGAAGCCCTTGAATTCGTACGTTGGTACACTGTACCCGCACGATGAGCCGACCTGATGAACATCCACAATGATGATCGATCGTGTCGCAGGAATGGTCTTGACGGAGTGTAGAGCCACAAAGGCGTTGAACTCGGGACTTTCTCGTTCGAGAATCCGTCCGGTCTATGAACCCGAGTCCACCAAATATTTGATCAGCATAGATAGATGGATCATACTGCTTCTCAAGCCGCCAACATCACGAAGAAAGAAGGAAAAGAAAAGAAAGAAAAGAACAAAACTCACTCCCCAGAGTCTCACAATCCGGGGAGACCCTTCAAACGCCTGGAACATTACCGTAATTCGAGCATTCTCGCGGAGGTGGGAAATGGTTTCTACACCAGAGCCGGAGAGATCCATATACCAGAATGTCTTGTCGTCGACCAGACCATAATATTGTCCTCCTTTGGGCGAGACATTGACGTGGCCGGTCTTGGAGAGTGGCGCGGTGGCTACGAAGAACATCTTCTGTTGCAGGATCCAGGAATATATGTTCTCTGGTATCAGCTCGTAAAAAGCGCCCATGATGGCGATGGTTGATAGGGACTCGTTTGGGAAATGCTGCTGTTGTTGAACATAGGATGTATTTTGGTATGCTGTGACAATACATGTAGTTACGGTAGGTAGGTACCTGTAGGTAGCGGTGGGCTGAAGCGATGTCGGATTTTGGTTGCGGGGATTATGCTGGGATAGTCTGCTGCTCTTGGCGTTTTGACTTCTCACTCCTCCACCTCCTCTTCCTCCTCTCTTCCTACTTCAATTTACGATCTTCTGAACAATGGACTATCCAGACGGGAGACCACCAAAATCCTTCAGTCGAATATCAGCACGTGATAGATTCGCGATGCAGCTATCGGCCCACAGTCCGAAGACGAAGAAGCACCCGACGACGGCCAAGATATGCTAGCAAGTGAATAAATTACGGTTAAACTATTTCGAACCCATCAACTCCACTTCCTTCAAACTAAACAACACCTAGTGTCAGATCCCATACCAGGCCTAGCTCTCCTGCGAGGAAGATCACGATGCTATGTTTTCTATACATACAACTCCGTCGTAAAGATCCATTCGACTAAGCTCTCGTTGTGGCTCGACACCCATCACCTAGTACCAGCTCTGTGACAGCAGCAGCGTGCCTGCGACCCTCGAAGATGCCGCATGATGGTATGCTTCCGCAGCCTCCAGTCAGCCAAAACGAGGACGACCTCATTGTCCAGGTCAATTGTGCCGAGACGCCGTCCACGTGGGCAAGGACGAAGCGGTCTCTTGTGGAAGACGTTAGCGTCTTCTCCAATTCGTTTGACTCATCAGGATCTGTTCGGGTAAGCAACTAGGTACGCCGCTAACGGCTTTTACAAGAAACGACCTCCTTCTTGTCTACGTCCCCGCGGAGATCAAGCGGCGACCAATTGGCTGGCGCCCAGAAGAGCTACGGCTATTAAATTGAATAGAATGATATAGGTAGTTTCAGGGGCAAAATCTGGTTGGAGATGGCCGCCTTTCTGGTCTGTAACTGCAATACAGGTTTCTTGGACATATCCTTACCATGCGTTGTTCAGTCGCTCTTTTGCTACCCTTCATTGAAGCAGTGACGGCCCAAGCGGACAACCCCTTGAGCTTTGTCAGTGCTTCCACTTTGTGGTCAGGGGGCTCTTCACCAATTGTGAACACAACTTACGCAAGCTTCCAAGGTAAAGAAGACGATCGCACCAAGACGTCGAACTATATTGGTAAGAAGAACTGCCTTGAACTTCACGCGATGATTGATTCGACACCTAACGAGATGCGGCATAGGCATCAGATATGCCACTGCACGTCGATTCGACCACGCCGAGCTCTTCAACACGACGCTCGAAGGAGTCCAGGATGTGAGCGAGTATGGTCAGTCGTGCCCACAGCATATGGTGATCCCTTCCGCCCTGGCACCAGATATTGGGCTCGCCGGAGAGGTGGTCAGCTTACTGCAGGCATTACCTCTCACACAGGCTGTTCTGCAGCAATCGGAAGACTGCCTATTCATCAACATTGCGCGACCTCAGGATCAGACTCTGCGAGACCTCCCAGTTGTCCTTTGGATGTAGGTCGAGACCCTCGAGGTGCAAGCTTCTTGCTTGCATGTATCCCGCTGACTTTTTATTTGTTCCAGTCATGGCGGTGGCTTCGAAACGGGATCGGGTGCTTCATTGCTCGGAGAAGCCGCCGTGCCGGGGGTATTCTATCAAGGCAATCGACTTGTGCAGGAGAGTATTGAGATGGGTCAGCCGATCATTTTCACTTCAATCAATTACCGTCTCGCACACTTTGGCTTTTCCGCCTCGCAAGAGATGGCCGATGAGGGACTCCTCAATCTTGGCATCGAGGATCAGAGAGTTGCGATGCGCTGGATTCAGCAAAACATCCGCGCGGTATGCTACAGACGCAATTGTCATGTTACCGGCAATCGCTGACAAGACATGTTATAGTTTGGGGGAGATCCTACGAAAGTGACCATTATGGGGGAAAGTGCAGGCAGCTGGTCTGTCTCTACACATCTGGTGGCCAACAATGGAGATCACGAAGGTCTCTTCCGCGGTGCAGTTGGAATATCCGGCGGTCCCTTAAAAGTCGATCCGCCATCGCGACAGCAGCCAATGTTTGACGACATGGCACAGTACGTCGGATGTGGCGATGCTGCCGACAAGATTGCCTGCCTTCGAGAGGCGCCGTACGAGCTCTTGTACGCTCACATGAACACCGTGAATAACTTCCTACTCGGCTTCCGAAGCCTTGCATCCGCCTGGACGGTTCGGCCGGACGGCCATTTCATCGCTGACAGTCCCGACCAGCTTGTGGCAGCGGGGAAGATCGCCAATGTGCCCATCATGTACGGCGACATGCGGGACGAAGGCACACTGTTTTCGCTCACAAATCAGCTCAACATCACGACAACCGAGCTGGTCAAGGACTACTTCAAGACGTATTGGTGGCCTAATATGACCGAGGCACAACTGGATCGTCTGATGGAAGAGTACCCCGAAGATCCCACCCAAGGATCCCCTTTTGGCACGGGCCTGCTCTACGCGATTCCGTCACAGTACAAGCGTCTCGCTGCCATCAATGGCGATTACAGCTTCGAGTCGCAACGCCGACAATTGCTCGCAAAGCACACGGCACCCAAATGGAACTATCAAGTTGAGGCTTCTCTTCCACTGTCTGATCTGGGAAGCACGGTACTGGGTGATCTGGTCGGAGGAGGAGGTCTCGGATTAACAGACATTCCCGTCCTGGGATCCTTTCACGCGTTTGATGTCTTTTTCAATTGGTTCGGGACCCTCCCTCCCGAGCTGAGTCTGAACAGTCGCCACATGATGGGAGTGTTGGTGTCCTTCATCCACAACCTCGATCCCAATCAACACGGCCAGGAAGACCTACCGGAATGGCCGCAATGGGACGCCGAGCATCTGGCGACGATCCGATTCTCGGAGACGGAAGTGGATATCATCAGGGACGATTATCGTAATGCGTCTATTGCGTTCTTGAACGAGATGAGAGACTCGATGCGTCTGTAGTGCGCAACGCAACCTATCTAATCTGCCAGGTACATAGCTCCTAGTGTCTGTAGGCAGGTAGGCATGTGATAGAAGATAAGCTCCGGGTGGGTGGGTGTGGTGTATAGGAGGATATGTATGGTGGTAGCCCTAGTCATCTTGTACGACGTAGTGCAGCGTGCGGCACAGCGTATACTCTCTGCCCTACTGCCTTACCGTACCTCCTATTGTACCTAGTTGGCTAGTTGCTAGCATCTCGATAGCCAGACACGTTGTGCCTCGTGGCGGCATGCCCTTGTGAGTGGGATGCAGACGATGTGTGGTGGGGCTTGGCAAAGATCGCACGACAGGTGTCTCCGCGGGCGTGTGACACTCGTCGCTGGTGCATGTGGCTGCGGCACAATATTATGAATGTTAGCTCCGTAGAAGAAGTAGAGGAAGGCGAAGCGGCACAGTAGAGGAAGGTGCCACTACTGTACACATCTTGCATCTGTCCCACGTCGCCGCCCTACCACATCTCACGATCGATCACAATCGCTACAACCTCCTAGGAGATACCCCCCCGCCCCTTTCAAGGCCCAAGGGATAACTTGGATAAGGCACAACGGACCACATATCATTGGGCAGCCAAGCAACGGAGCACCCGCGCGGCCGGCCGGCTGTTAAAAATACCCGTCGGGTACTACTACTCATATCACATCACACGTAGGTTGTTGCACCCACTTGCCACCAAAAAAATCTCGGCACTACTGGGACTGCAGCAGAGGATTTGCGGTCGGCATCTCTTGACTCACAGTACCGGCAGCAGCACCACACTATCGATACAGTGTATACTGTACGCCCTATCATCCTCGACCGACCTCACTTCGGGGGCTCTCATTCGCTCGCGGCAGGCTGGGAAAAAAGGCGTCGGGGGAAGCGAGTGGCGGTGTGTGAGCCGTGTTCCGCGAGCGCAGCAAGGAACAGCCTTGGTTATCAAACGGTTCAGCGTCTCGTGGCGGTATGTGACTTGAGCTTGCCACGATGGAGGTGAGGCTATCCCGCTCCTTTTTTGTATACAGTCAGCCGATGCCCGATGCCCGATGATGATGATGATGATGATGCTTTGCCCTGGTCGCCACCGCGTCTGTCCTCGCACCGCGTTGCTCGCGATGATGACCACTGCCCTCTCCCCTTTGCCTGCGTGCGAGAGCTGTCGGTGATGAAGCCGTGCGTGCGGACTGTGCCACTCTGACGCGAGAGCGAGAGCGAGCGAGTGAGCGACAGAGGGAGGGAGGGAGAGAGAGAGAGAGAGAGAGAGGAGAGAGAGCAGAAGACGCAGAGAGGGGAGAGACAGAGACAGAAAGACAGTGTGTGTGTAAGAGAGCGAGAAGAGAGAGAGCGCGACAGCGAGAGGGATGTGATCTATCAGACGGCTTCTCAGCGGCTGCCTACCGCCGTTGGTATTGTGTAAGTCTATCCATTCTACTCTCCTCAGTGCGGACGTCTAGTGTGGTACTACGGTCCTGCGAGGTCATTCATTCATTCAGTCGATCTCGTGAGAATGCTCGACCAGCAGCGCAACCTCCTGTACTGTGCCACGGCCCACTCGCACCTGCCCATATCTGCTCTCTTCCCGCCACCCTCCTTCCTCTCCAGCTTCTTCTGCCTGCCCTCCCCACCGCGTCAACAGCAAGCACTCCAGCATCCCTTCTGACACTTCCACCCACGCAGTCCCCGCCATGCGCACCCTCTTCTCCGAGAACATTCTCTCGCCTAAACCAACTCCCGGTCCCGAGCAGAAGGCAAACCCGTTCGAACTCATCTTCAACACAGGGACCTCGAGTGGTCCCAGTGTGCCCACCAGCTCGACGGCATCATCACACAGCTCGCCCAAGGACAACGACTGGCTGACGGCGTACTATCGCGAGCAACGGCGATTGGCTAATCAAGTACACATCCAGAGCAACTCGAGCGACACGGCCCAAGATGCGGCCAGTCGACCGTGCCACAGGCGGCGGCATGGCAACCCCAAAGTGCTCTTCATGGGCATGCGAAGGTACGGCGCGGCTTCATCTGCCATGGCGAGGCGGCGAGGGACTGACACGGCTGCAGAAGCGGCAAATCCTCCATTCAGAAAGTCATATTCGAAAAGTTCTCTCCTGCAGAGACCCTTTACCTCACTCCGTCCGAACGAATCGAAGCCGCGACGATGGAGTCATTCATGAAGTTTGAGTCGTTAGAAGTGCCACCCCACATGCAACTCATCTCGCCTGATTTCGATCGGGAAGCAGTCTTTGGAAACGCAGGAGCCATCATATGGGTCATCGACATGCAAGACGAGTACTTCCAGTCCATTGACCAACTGATCAAAACGGCCGGTTTCGTCATGGACAATTATCCGCGCATCAATTTCGAAGTCTTCATCCACAAAACCGACGGTCTATCAGAAGAATACAAATACGGCACCTTCCGTGACGTGCGCCAACGCGTCCAAGACGAGCTCTCTGATGCCGGTTACGCAAACCGGCCCGTGGCATTCTACCTCACCAGCATATTCGACCACTCCATCTACGAAGCCATGAGCAAAGTTGTACAAAAACTTCTCCCACAACTTCCCGCCATGGAGTCACTATTGAACAAGCTCTGCTCAGCCTGCAGAATCCAAAAGGCATACCTGTTCGACACAGTCTCCAAAATCTACATGGCGACAGATACGAGTCCCACTTTCCTAAAGGACTACGAGGTCTGCGCAGACTATGTGGATGTCATTGTAGACATTAAGCAGATCTATGGCTGGCAGAGTGGTAGTCGTAGTAATACTCGTGAGACTCATCCCCCGGACGAGAGCAACCACAACAACAAGAACAACAGCAACACGACAAGTGAAGCAGTAGGCGAAAGTCTAATCACGTACGACAAAAGTGGGGATACCTACATCTATGCGCGAGAGATTAACGAGTACGTTTTCCCATCTTACCTCCCATCCACCCAAACAACTCAACTAAAGCGTATGCTGACGGCGCTTTCTGCGAACCAAACAGCTATCTCTCTCTGATATGTGTCATGGGACAGGGAAGCACTGCTCAAAAGCGTGTGTTGATTGATTACAACGTCAGTATACTCCACGACGCACTACAGCAAATGTTCAAGCTATAGGAAATGAGACATTTCCTCGAATACGAATACGCTGTGGAGATTGTCTTGTTGTAAGGTAGTTGACGTGGAAACCAAAAGAAAAAAGTCATGTGCGTGCATGGACTGGACTGTGCATGAATAATACAGATATATAGTAGGAGGGATCCAATATGACGCTGTGTGGCACCGCCCACGAAAGACGAGACCCGAGGCTCACTCAGCAGGAGGTGGCGAGAGCGTTCATCATCTCCTTGGACCTGTCTAGTCACAGCATAAGGGCGCAAAAAGTGCCAAGTACTCGCAAAAGAAAAATCCACCGCTACAATAATAAGCTCTCTACATAGATACTCGTTCCAAAATTGCCGCATCATTATCCTCCGCTATGCCTGCGCTGTATAGTCAAGATGTATAGGTTGTCCAACGCCCAGTCCCGCTAGCGTTGTCGCGACTGTGAAGCGTTTCGTAGAACAGACAGACAAGCACACCCATACTTGGACTTGTGCCGCCGCTTTTGCTGTCATTCGGCAGCTGCCCGGCAAATACTGGTCTTGGCTCCCGGTAGCCTACTCAACCCAAGGTATTCGACTGCATCAGTATCATTATAGTCCGGTGATGGCCTCCGGAACAACTTTTTGACTGCACGATCCGCTCCCAGACGCCGCGTGCTGTGGTCCTTGCCCAGGTATAATGGCCTATCGAAACCGGGCAGAGCAGCGGCCCATGACTTCGCCTTGGCAGACCAGCTCAGCACTGAATTCGGAGCCGTCCAGAGTGAGGTAGATATCGAAGTACACACGATAGAAAGTACCTTGCGGAGTGTCCATGCGCTCAAAATCTTTCTCGAGATTTTTTCTGCTCAGATCGGATGTCAGGGTGACAACTTCCTTGATGCCTATCACTGTGGTCAGCTTACGCCCACGATCTCTGACGCACATCGCTTGCGCAACAAACAGTATGCAACTTACGTGGATCCTTGGTATATTCAGGGCAGACATCCTCGTCACAGGCATAAAGCACATCTTCATACATCAGTGTTGCGCCTGGGGCCACCTGTCGGAAGAACGAGACCTTGACTGGCTCGCCAATCTTGACTCGTTGGCCTTTCTGGACGAAGATTTGTCGCGTGTACTTGCAGCGGTCCTTACCATCAAGCGAAGGCACACGGTATTGCTCTGGATGATGGCCTTCCTTGAATGGCTGCAGAGTAGCCATGAGGTAATGTCTTCTCGCCACACGCGAAGTGACAACGCGCTCCGTAATGCCAGCTGTAACAGCTCCTTTGACGATGGCTGCAACGGAATCCATGGGTCGGACGACCTTGTTCTGGAATTGCGGAGGCACATGGAGCTTAATCTGCTGGAAAAGGTACTCCGAAGCACCAAAACCACCAACAACGAGCACGTTCTGCGGAAGAGTTAGCGAATTGGCTTAACCGGTTATGTGGTAGCTGAGTATGCTGACCTGTAACGATCTGTTCTGCGCTTGAATCGCAATGATCTGATTGCGAACGAGTTCCAGGATCCGATTGACCACTGGCTCAAAGCATTGCAGGATTTCCTCATTAGTGAATGTCATGTAGCCTTCCTCAATGCCGGCCTCTGGGAACTCGGCTTCGATTCCCACGTCCACAGCCCATTTCTGCCCATTGTTACGGAAATCGGCCTTGATCCGGTTCTCGAAGTCCATGATGCACTTGGCGTAGACCTTGCCAGCAGTTTTGGATCCATCGGGAAGTTTCATCTTTCGAATCTTTGCTCGCAGGATGTTGGAGAAGTTTCGATTGAGTGCCGTAGATCCACAAGAGTCACCAGATCCAGCAGTACATTCAGCAACAGTGAATGGGGACTCTTCTTCGACTTCGTATGCGATCAGATCGACCGTACCACCACCACAATCGACAATGAGCACCGCGTCGTGTACTTTGAGGTTGAGCAGGCCCGTCTTCGCGCAGAACATGGCTGCGGCTTCTGGCTCCGAAATCAGAGTCAGCCGATTGTCATTCTCGTCTCGCAAGAATCCCGCTTGAATAGCCGCTGCCCTTGTCGCCGCCTTGCCGGCATCGTTCCAAATGGCTGGTACCGTCAAGAAGTATTTGATGTTCCGCTCTTCTCTGTTGAACACCTCGCCCAACGTTTTCTGTAGCGAATTACGCATAGCTTGTCGAAGCTTAAACAGGTAGTCTGCTGCGACATCAATCTCAGACTTTCCCGGCGGAAGCGGCGGAAGGTTGATTGGGTCGATATATGTGTTGCCGGAGAGCATGAGCTGGAGCTTGAACCATTCCACTTTCTGCACGCCTGGCTTGGGATAGCCCGTAGGTGCCAGTGCTTCGGCGATGTCTGGGCCCCAGCCCACCACTTGCTGGTGCTGGTCGTAGTAGAGAACTGTAGGAATCTAGGCACGGGTCAGCAGAGGGCTGAGATGCCGCGCAGGAGCTGTGTCTCACCTTCTGTTTCGTTTGTGTACCAGCACCTGGCCACTCGACGATGATATCCTCTTTGGCTTCAGTGTTGGTAGCAAACGCGAATGCGACACCCGAGAATGTGGTCCCCTACGTCCATTGTCAGTCGTGTCCCCAAGGTGCCGGGTAAAGGCGACTCACAAAATCGATGCCGACAATGAGCTGAGCTTTGCTTCGCGAATTGTCACCTTGCACTTCGGCTGGCCCGCGATTATACGAGTGCGGGCCTTGTACCGCCTGTGGCCCGTAGCCATATGGCTGATGTCCCTGTGGAGGCTGCCCCATGGGATATCCGGGTGGCGCAGGCTGGGTGTAGAGCTGCTGCTGGTGTTGAGGAGCGTACGCATGCCCAGCGCCGGTGTTGATCGGTGGAGGAGGCATCGGACTCGACGGCCTGCCTTGATTAGGATGCCCTGGAGCTCCCAATGTCCCTCCCTGGTTGGCGTACTGGTATGATGGCGGGCGACCGAGCGGTGTGGGCTGCTGGTTCGGGTTCATGGCAAGCGAAGTCGACGAGGCCGAGGACGCAGGCTGCTGGGTCGCGGAGCCGTTGGGGGTGGCAGTCAGCTGAGCCGAATTGCGCGTGACTCCGCTGGGCGGCGGCGTCGACGAAGGCGATGCAGCGGTGCTGGTGGCGGCGGCGGCGGCAGCGACAGCGGTGCCGGTGCTGTCGTCGGAGGGAGCGGCGGCGGGATTGGAGGTGGGAGCGGAGCCGTTGGGGAGGGTGAGGGGCGATGGACTGACTCCGCCGCGACTGGGTGAGACGCGCTGTGTCGGCGCGGCGAGGTTGGTGGTGCTGCCGGCGTTGGAGCTCTGGCTGCCCGCGACGCTGTTGCTGCTGCTTCTGCGTGTCGATCCGACTAGTCGCTTGAAACGCTGGTTTATGGAGGAGGACATAGGAAGGAGCCTATCATGGGAAGCAGCCTCGTGCGCGAGACTTCAGGAGATCAAGCCAGAAGGAGCGGGCGGAGTTGCGCCGCAAAACCGGCAAGCAGGCAGACAGACAGGCAGGCAGGCAGGCAGGGAGACAGGCAGACAGGCAGACAAACGGACAAGCACGAGGGGAGGGAGGTAGTAGCGTGTCTGCGTGAGACTACCTGAGAGAGGTAAGGTAGGGACTCTGCCGCTGGGGTGGTGCCAAGTAGAGTGCTCACAGTGTCAGTGCAGCAGACGGTGCGCCCCCTCGGCCGTGTCGGGGAAGAAGTCGTGCAGGCGGACGGGCGGGCTGGCGGACGTGCGTGCGAGGGTGGAAGGGCAGCCGGCGCCGTGTGTCGCGTCGTGCTGACGGAGTGGTGGCGGCCGGGTGCGCCAGCAGCAAGCGAGAAGCGAGATTCGTGAGGATACGGCCGGGTGAGGGCTTGTCGAGGAGCCTGTCGTGGAAGCTGAGGCCAAGAATACCTGACCTGACCTAATGAGAGTCGGTGGTGAGTACCTGTAGGCTGTAGGACTAGGTAGGTGTAGGTAAGGTAAGGTCAGGTAGGTAGGTGCCTTACGAGCTCCTCCCTAGCACCTCATTCACTCAGTCAGGGTAGTTGGTAGCGATGCAGACCGAAGTGGGCGTCGACGTCGGTGTGTGATGGCGGTTGGCGGGAAGGGAAGGGAAGGGGATCCAACACGACGGTTGACGGGAGTGCGAGTGCGAGTTCGAGGGCGGTGATGGTCGATAATGCGCAGCGCAGTATAGAAGTGCAGAATTGAATTGCAGATGCCACCGCCGTCTCGCGCTCGCGTTGCAGATGGATGATTGAATGTTGAATCGACGCCAGGATCCGTGGGGACGACCGGCCGCCCCCCTCATCAGTCCGGTCGAGTACCTGTAGTTCTGTACACGCTTGACGCTACGATGGCGAAGCCTCGAACCACTCTCCATCTGCGAAACTAGCGACAACTCCACTACTAGTGCCCACTCCCCGTCCTATTATTATGATTTAATTCTTACTATGATCCTGCGATGCCTTGCTTGGCCCTCATCATCGACTGCAGAGAAGCCATCCAGATGATCCAGTTCGACAGACATCCCGATTGTTATGTGTGCTGCGAAGCTTATTCTCATGAGCAGGAGGACTGTCTGTTTCATGGCGACAGCTGAGACGGACACTTCCCTTCGCCACCGCCAACCGCTGTATTCACCACCAGACGTGGTCGACGTCAAAGCGTACATTTCGTCCTGTCGGTCTCGGTACCTGGTAGTTCTATACTACTGTACCCTGTGGTGGCGGAGTGTTGTCCGCTCGACATCATCATCATCATCATCTTCATCATCATCATTCATAGTTTCATACCACCACCTCCACCTCTACTCCTCTCCACCTCCCCACAAACTCTTGGCAGTGCCCACGAAGGGCCATTCGCGCGAGAAAGGAATGGCAGCTCCAACCACACGGTCTCGGGCTGGCGACGACGATCATTGCCGCCGACACTCGTACCTCCCAGCACATGGCATCTACCTACTAGGTAGGAGGTACCTCTAGGAGGTACTGTCCAGCTCTTATAAGGACATGTCATCTCAGCGTCCATCCCGAGGGACATGAGTCAGTCAGGTAAGGAGATGGTGGCGTAGTTGTGTATATACCTGACATGCAGAATCTCGGCTGGTGGCGTACCGGAGTTGGTTGTAGCTGTCACCTTCCATCTACGCTAACCTATCCCATCCCCTTTCGGCTACTCATCTTTTCCATCTCATCTCTCTCCAGCCACCCTGCGCTTTCCACTTTGGAATAATACACAAATCCGGACATTGGAACGGGAATGAAAGAATCTATTCGAGGGAGAAGATATTTCCACACAGCCAACGTCGCCAAATGGGGATTTATATCTAAGGTACGCTCGGACAGCACGTTCATTATTCAGCTCCGACAAACGAACGATCATTGTCCGCCCGGACCTGTTCTCCAGGAGAGAGGGTCCTATATCGCACGCCACAACCACTAGAGCACTGACCATCCTCATAATTCCTGAAGAGAAAAAAAAAAGAAAAAAGCTCCTTCTTCATTTTGCACAATCTCTCCCGCAAGAAAACAGCCCGCTTGAAACGCTTCCACGGTCCACCTTTTCTTTTTATCAAAAGACAAAACTCAATCTCAACATCTTCTCTGCACTACCTACCTTACCTGGTCATATCACGACGGCACAACCACATGTACCTAGGTACATTAAAGTACCTCCAATCCATTCGCACGACGCACATTGCGTACCTGTATACATGCACATCATAATCATCATAATGACCTCCCTCCCAGTCACTTCATCACCACATGTAACCAAAATAATACTTAATACTTAATACAATTGCTAACATATAGCCCGTCGCTGACTCGCACCAGCGGCAGACAATATTCATGACTAGAGATCCAAGGTAGGTACTAACTACAGGTACCTTAGGTAAGATGGTAGGTACAACGAGGTGCTTGATGTGAATTGTACGAGGAGAATCTGGGCCGCTGTGACAACTGACGAACCCAAGGTAGAGAAGAGAAAAGGAGTATCACTAGAAAAATGAGGTCCGTAGACCTCGATCAACGTGATTGATTCGACCACCCTACATAAAGAAGGCAATACGATAGTAGAGTTTCCGCCTACGCGCTGTTACCTCTCCATCAATTCATCTATCCGGCTTCAACATATGAGCGACGCCGAACAAGGATGACTGATGCTGTGCGCTCCATTGACCTGGTCCCGTATGCTCTTTTTTTGTCGTTTTCTTTTCCCTATTGCGTCGTTCGTATTACTAACCTCCACGGGAGGGAGACGCCTTACCTTAATCATATTGTTATCTGCCATCCGGGAGGAATTGGTACCCCCCGCTTCAGGCTTTTCGACAAACGCGGAGCGCTGATAGTCCGCGAAAAGAGCTTGGCGACTGCATTGAACTGGCCAGTGGCGTGGTTTCCGTCAAAATGGCCATTCTGAGCCGCAGCTTGGTTGTCGACAAGATCCTGGGCTAGGTAGTGATGTTAGAGTACTGGGGTTAAGAACATCCTAACCAAAATGACGCGAAGAAGCCTTCACCAGGCTTTCAACCAGCAGCGCCGTTGGTAATGGGCGTGCCGGTCCCATTCACTGGACCAGACTGTCGGCGCTTAGCAGGATTCTGGTTCTCCTATAGTTCAGACATCAGTAGTTAGCTTCTCGTCGAATGTTAAGGCGGGATGGTTGGGCCAGCGGTTCTTTTGGCTGACTGTGCGGCTCGATCACTCACGTCCAGGCCTGCATTCGAGACGCTACGCTTCTTTTCCAAATTTTCTTTCTTCGATTTCTTGATCTTCCTCACAGGTCGCTTTTCACCTTCCGAGAAAAGGTCAGGTGGCAGCTGATAACTGAGGTTGAATTAGCGAACAGCGAAGGCATGGCACATCGGTGACAGCATACTCGCGATAGTACTTGATCTGCACTGAGTGCACATCTGGATTGTAGCCTGGCCATAACTGCACATTGCCCTTGAAGTCGTTGACTGAATATGAGATGTCGAGGTTCTTCTCCCCTGGGATCTGTGTCAGTCTTCTCAGTCATGCCATGTAAAAACAGTTGCTCACCTTTGAGGAGCTCGATCCCGAGATAGAAAGTGGTCGTCCACAGCTCCAGTTCGCTGTCGTCCTTCTTCTTGTCCTTGCTCTCAGCATCATCGTTTGTCGCAGCCATGTCGTTGATGACATCAGCGTCGCCTTCAGCAGCGGCTTGCTGCTTCGCGTCTGCAGTCTCTTCGGTCGTAGTAGCTTTTTCCACGAGCCCATCGAGCCCTCCGCCCAGAACGCTCTCAATCTCCTCCTTAGTCTTGCACTTGTGATGCCTCTCAATGCCTTTATTGAATGGCTGCACAAGATTGACCTTGTCAGCACTGTCCTCTATCCCTTCAACTAGCTTGAATCTGAGCCGTGATGTCACGAGGCCAGCCCAAGCCTGCTGATCATCTTTGGTTTTGGACGCAGTCACAATGACAATGTAGTGCTGATATGCCGAAGTGAAGAATTCGTGCTTAATGAGGAGGTCGCGCCACTGTTTTTTGCCGCTGTAGATATCGGCCATGATCTCATGGCCACGATTCAGCTCGCGAATGAGAACCTCCTTCGTCGAGCGCGTGATGGTATGTGTGGCATTCATGACCGGATATGCTGGCGTAATCACTGGCATGAGATGTCGCTTGTCGCGGAAGTTCTTCTGAGGGTCCCATTCCTGCTGATTGAGCGAAGGCCCCTTTTCACGGGCTTGGAGATAGATGGGCGAGGGCCATTGCCAGTTCTTGACAACCCAGAAGAATTTGGCGACAATGGTCGAAGCGGCAGCTCTTGGATACAACTGACAGACCCTCGCGACCATCATGGCGTAGGCCACACCGCCTGGATAACCATACACATTGCCATAGAGACCACGCTTCTGCGCCCACATCTTGACCGCACGTAGCGCAATGCGAAACGTTCTTGTCTGTGGTACTAGCGATAGAATTCTGTCCGTGACACGAGTGCCATTGACGCACTTGAGATCGGTCTCGCTGAGCCCTCGAAGCAGCTCGCTGTCGTTAAGCTCGAGGTTTGGAGGAACTCGATCCTTGTGCAAAGTACACCAGATGAGATCGATGGAGATGCCCTCTATTTCAGTCTTGATGATCGGGACACCGATGCCAGGCACAGGGACTAGCTCAGTAATGTCCTCCGCCGGTATCGCCTGTCGTATCATGTCGGGCATGTACTCGAAGAAGTCCTCACGAGTGACGTGCTTTGGACTCAGCATCAAGGTATCGATATCAGAGCCCGGGCCATACACTCCAAGGCGAAAGCTGCCATAAGTGAAAATCTTGCCCCCAGCCTCCTTAAGCAGCTCTGGATTGAGACCTTTCTTCTTGCCGACTCGCTGAACAAGTTGCAGGAGCAACTTCTGCAGCTTGACAAGTACGTTTTGTCTATAAGGCAATCAGCGCGGCATCTTCAGACTCGCAAAATATAGTACCAACCTCTTTGCCGTCTCCTCCGGCGACTCAAAGTTGTTCTGAGCCTTCAATTCAGCAAGCAACTGATCGTGCAGCTCGTTATCGCGCGGCTTGGGAGGTTCGGTCGACAGTGGTGGGCTGACGCCCAAGTATTCGGCGGTCTGTGATGCCATGTCGAAGACGAGGAGAGGCGGCGGCGGTGGTGTTGACTAGGAAGAGTCGGGAGGGCGGAGGTGAGGAGAGCTCAATGCCTCATCGGAGCATGCGATGCAGGTTTGGGCCGGCGGAAGCGCTGGTGCGGAGTGGGCGGTGATGGCATGCGCGACAGCGAGGTATATGGATACTTGCGGATGTCAAAGCTGTATTCAATTGCGCGCAACGGCACAAGCACAATGATACCAAATTATTGGCGCATGTAGTGCGGATTGAAGTGATGGCAGCAAGGCAGGCTGGCTGGCAGTCAAGCACTACTGAGGCAGGTGCAAGAACAGAAAGTTACCTTAGCGTTGAAGATCCGGAGGCAGGAGCCGACGGGGCAGTCCCCGTCGCCAAGACCTGCGCTAGTAGAATTGAGTAAAGTGGTGTAAAGTGTGGAGGTTTACGTGCTTTACTGGGTGCCCAGTTCCGTAAGCCACGTTACGAAGCGAACGGCCCGCTTCCGCGCACAGAGCAGGGCTGCCTCCCCTAGCAGAATGCGACATTCCATCAGAACACAGAACCAGGCAACCAGGCCGCTGCACGTGAGAAGTCGCGAAGCTCAGCCAGACTCGAAGAAGTCCTTGAGTTGCTGATCAAGCCACTTCACATCCTCGGTAGACTGTCCAGGTCCCCCGGCCCAATGTCCCCTAAAGGTGGGATCAACACGTTTGTCTCGTCATGTAGATATGAGATATCATCGAGCTTACCAGATTGACTGAAAAGGCACACACTGACCGATCCCCGGATGCATACGAGCCACCTCATCCTCGCTATCCTCGGGAGCTGGGGGAATGCATCAGAATTCATCGGTAAGACTGCTTCGGGACGAACTTACGAAAGTATAGATCGGTCATGCTCGGTAGCACGAGGGCTTTTGCTTTGATGCCTTTCATTGCAGCATCGAAGTCGCCGTTGTATGGCTCTTGCTGCGAGACGTCGCCACACTGCCAGGTGTAGAGCATTGCAATCATATTATCGGGATCCTTCGACAACGCCCACGTTTCCCAGAAGTTCACCATGAAGTCCTCGATGTCCTTGAAGCCGAGGGCACTCTCAAACAGTCTCTGTCGATAGAATGCTTGAGAGAAGCCCCAGCCAGAATATACTCGACCGAGAGCTTTCAAGCCAACCACCTTCTCATGATCGCTCCACGCGCGATATTGGTTGATGGTGGCCTCGCCCTTCCCCACTCCGCCGGATGCGGCACCTTTGCCGCCCAAGACCGCCACCTTTACACCTTCAAGCATAGACTGATTGTGGAGGCTGGTCTTGGCCGACCCGCAGAAGGGCACAATGAAATCCATGAAATCAGGGTATTGCGTGGCCCATTGATACTGTGATGGATTAGGGCTTTTGTGTCTCACGATGGGTCGTGTCCAAGGGAACTCACTGTTTGTCCCGCCCCCATACTCCATCCTAGCACTGCTTTGGCATGCTTGATATTGAGTTTTTTTGTGACAAGCTCGTATTGGGCCCGAACGTTGTCGTAAAAGGTGACTTCCGGCCACGGGCGAAGTTCCTTTCGATTTGACGGACTACTGGACTGGCCATTCCCAAATCTGCCAGCGACTAGAAGTCAATACGGGACTCGGATATCTTGTAGGGGCATTCAGATGGAGAGTGTACGCACAAAGCCACAATCACGATGAAATACTTCTCCGGACTCAAAGTCTTGTCAGTGCCGATAAGCCACTCATTGTCTTCAATCGTTCCGGAGTACCAGCTGAACAATGGTGCACAGAAGTCAGTGGACAGTATCAGACAGGAAGTGCATTCTGTTGGTCAAGTGGGGACCTCACGTTGGATAGATGATGGCCGGGTTGCCTGCTTTGCCGAACGACTTGTACGCGATCCTTGCGTCTGGTATCAGTCCTCCATTCTTAAGAGAGAAGTCTCCCAATGGGTAGGTGGAGAAGGGCTCGGTCGCCATGTCGTTGATTTGTTTGGCCAGGTCTGGTAGGCTTCCTGACCGCTTGGAAGATTCCTCGAAGGACTGGCAGCTCCGCAAAATGTTGGCTCGCTCCATTCAAGCGCGGAAGTTGTGATACGTTGTGGTCGATACCTGTATCTTCCCCACTCTCACTGCGCTGGACCTCTGGATGAGATGGAATGGTCCCTGTCACGATAAGACGACCCCGCTACAAGCGTTGGATTCCTCCCATCGCCCATGGTGGGGTACATCGATGCTACATGCTGGATCCAGATCGAGCATACTTTTTTTACCGTGTTGGACAAGAACAAAAATCGCTTCTTCGTGACTACTACATGTAAGTTAGGGGGTTGTGGGAGAGACTACATGCGTGTGGGGTGTGACATGTACAGTATAGTGGTATCATCAGTGCTCCACATCGCCGACAAGAAACGGTTGACGGCTATTCCAAAGGGTGGAGAACAGAAGATGGAGCTGCCGATCCGGCTTCGCGGAAACAAATCCATTACCAAATGACGTTACAGGGCCATTGAGCGGAACGCCTTGTGCTGACTTAGCAATGACCTACATCTATACAGCTCTCCTCCTCTTCATGTTTTCATCCATAACGGGTATAAAGAAGCCAGGTAGTCAGTCACCCTCTGCATACTGTGCACAGCATACGAAGAGCCCAGATTATTCAACTTCGCCCCCCTCCCACAGGAACAAACACCAACCATGTCCGGGGAACCAGAGCAGAAAATGGCCGACACGGCAACTCACGAGCAAAAGTACGACGCCGAAAAAGAAATCAAGCGTAACCCGCACGGCAACTTCAAAGAAGTCGAAGCATCGCGGCCAGCGTGGGACGAAGGATCGAAATGGCGGTACATGCAGACCAAAGACCCCAACTGGAAACCCGGACAAGGCGGCAACGATGGAGGCGAGAGTCTTTCCAAGAAACACATCTCCATTGATCCTTACGAAGAAGGACGACCTGCCGTGTTCAACTACAAGCTCCTCATCAGCGCCATCATTCCGCGACCCGTAGGATTCGTGAGCACACGATCCAAGGACGGCTCCTCGACGAACCTGGCACCATTCTCCTACACACAAGTAGTCAACCACGATCCCCCCGTCTTCATTGTCGGCTACGCCGGTGGCATGTCCCAAGCCAAAGACAGCTTGCGAAATCTGGTAGACACGGGAGAGTGCACCATTAACATCATCAGCGAACACTATCTGGAAGCCGCCAACGCCACCTCTGTCAACGCACCATATGGAATTTCCGAGTGGGCATTGACCGGTCTGACTCCCGCCGAGAGCGAAGTCGTGAAACCCTCACGAGTGAAAGAAGCCGTGTTCACGGTCGAAGGCAAGCTGATGAACACGCAAGAGTTCGAAAGCCGAGCAACTCCAGGCAAGAAAACTGGCGTGCTCGCTGTGATTGAGGGTGTGAGATTCTGGGCTCGAGAGGATGCAATTAACAAGGAAAAGAACATTCTTGATCCAGCTGTGAGTACTATTGAAAAGAAGAAGAAGAAGAAGAAGAAATGTGTCTACCCTGATTTTCTTCAACAATCGCTGACTTCGTTATTTTTTTCTTTTTTTTTGACACAGGTACTGAGGCCCATCGCTCGTCTGGGTGGTATTACATATGCTCGTGTCACGGAAGGCATCGAGCTCCCTCGACCAGACTGGGAAGAAATGAAAAAGGATGCCGAGCCACTAGGGCTGGTCAAGCCGAAGCGTGATGAGCAATGAACAAAAACGACAAATTCCTACGCGGAGAGCGTCTGAAGGAGTCCTGATCATCATCATCATCATTATGTAGATAAATGTATAGATCGATAATTACCCTAAAAATGCGTCTTGTACAGCGCAGACTGCCTGCCCACTACTCGACTGTGACGAAGAAGAAGAAGAAGTAACTCCCAGCATTTGCTCCAGACACGACACTTCCTCCCCATCACGCTGATAATCCACGACACGGTCCCTCTTCCCACCATCCCACGCAATTCCATGCCACAAGAGAATCCCAATCGTACGTGACAAGCACATGGCGTGCCACATGTCGCTTCTGCGAAACACATGAACCCGACCAAGTAACTGATTCCAGAACATCTCACGCAACATATTCGCTTCCTGATAAAACACAAAACTAGCACTATCCTTCCCGCCCCCGCCCTCTCCCCCGGGAGACATTTCTGTCATATCCCGATACATGTATCCACCCAACAGATGCTCAATCCCATAGAGAGTCATTCCAAACGGCAAATATTCCGCTTCAGCCCAATCCACCACACCCGTGAGATGCCATGTGGAGGGATCCACGAGAAGATTGCACGGCAACAAATCTCCGTGGTTGAGCACGATTGGTAACATGTCCAATGTGCCTTGCGCATACGATTGACGGGAAATGTGTGCGATGTGGCGGAGTTCTGGGGAAGGGAGATGTTGTTCCAAGGATTGCAGTCGTTGGGGGATGGAAGATCCGATTATGCCAGTACATTTATGCTTTTGCCATGATCTTCTGTTCTCTTCGTCGCTCTCATCCTTCTCCTCCTCCTCCTCCTCCTTCTTCTCGTGTTTGATCCCCTCGTAATAGGCAGTCGCAAAGAAGCTGGCCATATCGCCAAGCAGATTTTCCAACTTGGAGAGCACCACTTCACCCAGCCTAGAAGGAAAAGAAGTAGAAGAAGTAGAAGAAGACATCTTCTCATGTACCATACCAACAACATCATCAAACTTCATCCCACCCACAAAAGACATTTCCAAAACTTGTATCATCATCCCCCCATCACCCAAATAACCACCACCCAGCGCCAAAATCTCATCTCTGATCAACTTCGGCGCCCACCGAGGAAAAATTCGTGCCGCGTCTCGTAAAATGGCACCCACAACAGCATATCGAAGGCTTCTCAGCTGAAGCACGAGTCGGGATGCGCCAGGATCCGTGCTGCTGCTCCTGCTGCTGCTGCTGCTGACGACGACGACAACAACAACGGTATACGAACAGCCGCCTTGCGTCGCGACCGGCAAAAATAATACTGTGTTGTGACCTCCTCGACCATAATCATCACGACAAGAGGAGATCAAGTCCGCGGCGGAGATGTGGGCGTCTGCAGAGGGCGCTCCGCACGTCGTGGCGAGAAATTCTCGAATTCCGTCTTCAGCTGCTGTCACTACAGGTACAGGTACTACCGAGGCCATTAGGAGGAGGTATCGATGAAATTGTAGATTCGCCTCGAAAAAGATTCTTCTCGTCTGCTTTTTTCCCGACAGAACGAACGGGGTCAGACGTGACCAGCTGGGGGGCAAGACGCAGATCCTCGTCAGCAGCAGACAAAGAGGGTGCACACAATATGGTGTAGCCGTGTGGCCCCCCACGCAAGGATCAAGGGAAAGCTGTGCAAAGCGATCGAATCAAGCTCTTCCTTCTCACAGCTATGTTTTCATCGTTGAGGAGCTGCCCTTTTCTGCCCAGCGCAGCGTCTTAATGCCGCAACGGTCGTCCCGCGCAGTAAACCGAGGGGCGCAAGAACCGCACCGATCGCTTACGTTCCAGACTGTGCCTCAGTAGAAAGAGGGAAGAGTCACTACCTAGCTTGACCATCATTGCAAGGACACCATTGATCCCTTTTCAATTCGCATCAAGTTCTCCACTCTTTGGATAAGTGGAGATATCCCGTCAGTGCCGTTTCGCTTCTCATCTGGATCCCATCCCATGCACCAACTATCAATATGCCGCGAAACAAAGCAAAGGGTATCTGGTGCTCTATTCAAGCTTGAACGTGATTCTCGTGTCAAGAACCGAATACTTCGAGGCAGATGTCGCTGCTGATGCGAATCGTAACATCTCTCGCATGCGAGATTGTCCTGCGGTATAGCCAAGAAGCCGTGATGCTATCCCACAGTTGTTGTGCTGTCTGCGGTTGACTAATGCCGGAATGCTACAGAGCTTCTCACGTCGTGAAGACGGGCGCCTTTACGAGTATAGACCGCCCTCGGACAGAAACGCCAATGCCAGCTGCCATGCGCACCCGTGGTGGTTGATCTTCCTTCATACCTTGAGCACTCTCTGGCCGACCTAGGCTGCCAGATGATACGCCAGCATGTTTGCTCGGCTTGGGCTTGCCTGTGATGGCGCTCAGCATACTTCGCTTTCCTCCTCGCCCAGACCCCTGGTCAGCATTGCTATCGGTCATGTCTGTGACATCGCTCGCGGCGCTCTTCATGCTCGCGCGCTCCGTCTGATCGTCTGCCACGGATGTTACAAGAGGTGGAATGCCGGACTCTGTCTTCATCTGGTCGCCCATGATTCCGTGGCCGGGCTGGAAGTATTCAATCGCAACGTCTCGACTTTCAAGCGGGAGATGTATGGCGATGCTCACCACGAGCTCAATAATCATGTGCACCCCACCTTCGAGGTCAGATGGTGGTGGGTCTTGTAGATGCATCGACAGTGAAGAGACCAGACCGTCCTTGAGGGAGTCGGTCAGACGTTGCCGATTCTCCGGGCACTGGGGTGAACGGAGGGTCTCTGCAAGTCCGTCCAGAGTTGCCAGTCTCCAGTTGACAACCTTGGACGTCAGATATTCCTCCTCTTCTGCACTCTGGGCCAGCGGCGCGTGCCGACGTATGTTGGTCTGGATATTCCTGAGTTGAGCGGAGAGAGCCGGCTCAAGGTCTGGGTGGAAGTACTTGTGGAACACCTCATCGACCAGCCAGTTCGAGATGAATGCTCTGCCAGCGGCGGTCATTTCCTGTTTTCCTGTCACCACTGCATCTCTGTTGACCGATCCCACCAGCCAATGCGGTATGCTCTTCCAATTCTTGCGTATGCTGAACGCCAGCTGTGCCACCAAGCCGTCGAGTCGATTGAAACGTGTCGTATACTCGCTATCGTCGAGCGATGTTCGTGATTGTGCTAAACGTTGATGTGCCAGGCTGTTCTGCAGTTGCTTGACTTGATCCTCTTTCTCGAAGTAGTACTTCTTGACCTTTGTATACTTCTCCCCTATTCAACATGTTAGCATAAGCCCGCGCGGTAAGACTGCGAAGCCGGTCTTACGAAGCTCCTTATGGTCCTTCAGCAACTGTGACACCTCATCGTCGTTCATCTCGTCCGGCACCGACAGTGGCTGGGGAGTGGCTCGGCCGACCTCGCCGTGCTGCTGCTGCTGCTGATGCGCTTGCGGCGGTTGTTGCTGCGTTTGTCCACCATTGCCCTTGTAAGGTTGCCCTTGGCTACTAGGAGGGACCACTGCCGCACTGAATGCAGGCATTTGACTTCCCTGGGTAGAGTGTGATCCTTCGCGTGACCTTAGGTCGTTGTGCACGCTCTGCCTATTGTTGCCATTACGCACAGCCTTTGGCTGTGCCATAGCACCATTGTTCGACATGGAAGACGAGTCGTCGGTCTGCGCCGAGAAGCTTCGCGCTGAATTCAGGGCAGGGCGATCGGCGTTGTCAGCAACGTAGTGAGAGTGGCTTTCCGGCGGCGTGTATTCTTGCTGTTGTTGCTGCTGCTGCTGCAGCTGCTGGTGCGCTTGCGCTTGGCTCTGAAAGGCAGGTGACCTGAGTGGAGGGATTGTGGAGGTCTGTGTTTGTATGACAAGGCCTGGAGCGGTGCGAGAGTTCTGGTAAGCAGCTTGCTGCTGCTGAGGGTGCGGCTGATGGTGCAAGGGTTGCTGAGGCTGAGCGTTCACGTTGGTGTGCTGTGAAGGACCACCGCTAGACTGGATGTAGCTTTGCTGCTCGACGGGGGCAGCGGTGGCAGGAGGACTGAGCACTGTCGGTCCACCCTGCCGTTGCTCGCGAAAGCCCTGCTCGGTGTTCAACCGCTGCAGTCGACGCTGCGACCAGCGATCCAGGGCGACGGCGTTGGTGCCGGAGTCGGAGGAAGTCTTGCCCGGCGCACCTCCTGCGTGCGTGTTCATGGACAGCGACGGCGAAGCGCTGCTGGGTAGGTTGGCGGGCGAAGTATGGCAGTACTCGGGCTCTTGGTGCGGCCAAGGATGGAGATGGAAGCCTGCCGGGTCAACCTCGGATGACAAAGAAACGTCTGCGCGGTAGGGTGAGCAGTAGGCAAGATGAGAGCTCGTACTGGCGCTGTGGCTAGGAGTCCCGCCGTCGCCAGCTCTTCGTACTGTCTGGGATCGCAAAAGGCCACTTCCGGAGTGCGCTTGATCGGTGAGAGGGGGCGTCGTTCCGAGATCTGTTAATAGGAATTAGATTATGGGCAAGCGCTAGAGGGTCTTGCCGACAGTCTTTCTTCCCTGAACCTGAAGTGACGATGATGATGTTGGACGCGCTCACAGGCCGGATCAGCCTGCTGTTGCTGTCGCCGACTCTGTTGCTGTTGCTGTCGCTGCTGCTGCTGGCGGCGGCGGCGGCGGCGGCTGCGGTGTTGGCCCGGTTGTCGGTGCCGCCTTTCGGGATGGCTGGGCTGGGCGCGACGGGCAGGTCTTCGATAGAGTGTTAGCACATGCGCAGTGTGTCGAGTCAATCGGCCAGCAAATGAATGATGAAGGCGGCCAGAAACGCGCAGCAGGGATGTAACAGCGGACGCCCGCTGAAGAATCTGGTGTACGCGGAGTTCTGTCGCAGAAATGATAATGACTACGTGATAGTAGGTAGGTAGGAATCTGTGGTAACAGGGCCAGCAGAACCAATTTGATTGTGTTGTGTCGCGAAGGTCGCGACTCGCGCCCCGACCCCACTAGGGTGGTAGTAGCTTCATTACTGCCCGACAGTTTGCGTGCTCGTGCTACGGCTGCGCTGCTGTTGGCGTACATAGGACAACCACAATCACGCTCGATCATATTGCTGCCGCGTGCCCCTACGCGGGGGAGAAAGAGAGAGAGCGAGAGAGATTAGGTGTGTATGTGTGTGTGTGCGTGTGTTTGTCTGTGGTGGAGAGGGGTTGGTAACGGTATGCGATGCTTACCAGGGTTGTCGAAGCCTCCTTTGCTGTTGCTCTTGGTCCCAGAAAGCGCCGCTCGAAGGTGTTTCCGCATGGCTTGCACGACTCTTTTCGGGAGATAGGCACCTCCCAAAATACCTCCTGTCCTTTTTCCTACCGGAGGCGTCCCCCACAGTAATTCGTGTGGTGGAACAGAGGAGCGGCGGTGGAATCCCGATGAGTGTGATTATCGAAACGCAAGAAAGTGAAGCAATTGATAATTTGATATGCTCAGCCCCGGCTCTTCCACCTGATGAACTGTGGCTGCTGCTGTTGCTGCTGTTATTCCTGTTGCTCGTGGTGGAGGCGAAGATGGAAACTACAATAATCCTGCATTCTCTGCAGATATGGATGCGGACCCAAGACCTAGTGCTATCTAGCATCAATTCCCATTACGGCCCGCAGTTCACTCCGGCGAAATAGAAGCAAGCTCCCGCCGTCGTGAGCAAACTGCATTCAGTCTGCAGGTGTGCTTTTCGATACCCTCCTCCCTGCCTCCCTCCCTCTGCTACTGTAAGGTACATGTAGGTACTTATTCTTGAGGTATGATGAGTCCTGACTCCTCTTTTGTCGAAACGTTACAAGTAGGTAGGCTGAAATCTGCTGGCTGGCTCCCGCCTCCAATCGTACCTCCTCGGCAACGTACTTATTTCTGCTCGAATCCAAAGGCGTCTGCGGCTAAAGAGGTGTGACAACGGCCTTGCACACTCGCATGCAACGTGCAGCTGTGAGCCTATGACATGCTGCCGGTATTACCAACGCAGGACAAGAATAGAAGCGGATCGCGCCAGCTGGGCGTGGAATCGTTCTCACCTTAGGCCCCGTCTACTCTGTCGATATGTCGATAGTTAAATTGTCGATAGTTGTCGGAAATTATCGTCAGCGTCTATCTGTCGATAGTAACGATAGCTGAGTAGACACCTATCAATAGTTCTATAGGGATACCCTTGTCTTCGCGCCGTCGTCGCCGCAGAACCGACTGTATTGCTGCCTTAGCTAATTTAATACACTATTATCCGAGACGTGTCGTACCTCCTCTACGTATCGTTCTATATTATCTCTATCTAGACGCGTCGTATCGGCCGAGTTCTACTATTGTCTATTTTATTTTAATCTACCTCTTTCTAGCCGTTGCTATTATATTATTATACCGCCTATACCGCTAAGCGCTACTAAGAAGCCCCGAGGCGTTAAAAAACCGAGAACTGCGACTTAAACGAAGGCCGCTATAAAGTATAAAGCGATACGCGACGCGAAGAAGGCAAAGGATATACCAAAATACCCCGAATTATTACAGTACGAGGACACTTATATCGACTTCTTCTTAAGGCGTTTGATCGATTCTAAGGCTAAACAGATATATAGAAAGAACTTCCGTAGTAGTAATCTACTAGCGATCGCGTTAGTAATACGCGAAGAGTTCAAAATTCACTTTACTAGCGAATCTTTAAAGGCTAAATAGTAGAACGATATCAAGCCGACTTAGGGTATTTAGCTACGATACCTATTATATACTTCTAGTTATAATAGCCCCTTAGATAGAGCACTAACCGCTATCGCTGCCGCTAGGGAAGCGTACGAGGCAGCGTACCCCGAGTACTATCGGTTTATAAACGGTACTAAGCCGTAATAGAAGTACTATATAGAAGAGCTCGTCGGTAATAAGATAGCAACTAGTAATAAAGCTACTACTACCGTAGATCTCGTTGCTCCGTAGGAGGACATAGATACTATAGTTATCGACGATTCGAGTACGGATTCGGACAACGACGACGATGTCGACCTAGACGAGCTATTAGATATTGAGCGTAGTACGGTCGTCGTACGGCGAGCTAAGAAGGTATATATATAGGCTAAGAAGAGAGTAGAAGCGGACGCTACGAAGAAACGAGTATACTACGTTACTACCGCTAAGAAACTATAGTCTATAGTAGCTTAAAGAGTACTTAAGCCGTTTAATAGGATACTTGCCGAGTATCTGAAGACCTAGGAGATTCGTACTACGCTACCGCCGCCGCGGCAGAAGAGCGATATAGAGCTCCTATTAGATAGAGTATTAGATACGACCTTCTTACCTATACTTACGTTCGACCGGAAGATAGAGGTATTAGATTAGGTTAGGCCCGAAGCATATCGTATTAGTATTAGTATATCGCTACTAGCCGTAGGAAGAGAGAAGGAACTAGAAAACTTCGTTTATAGTACGCTCTCGAGACTCGACCGGCCGGCGTAGATACTAGAGCGTTTCGTCTACGACTCTAGGACGTAGCCGTCGTCGTATAGGTATCCGTATATACTATACAATTAAGATCTACTTCTAGAGGGGCGTCGGTAGTAATATAGAAGCAGAAGAAGAGATAATAATTCGAAGCGGAAGAAGAGATAATAATATATAATACAGCTCGATCGATATTCCTATACTACTATCGCCGCTGCTCCTACTTATATCTCTCTATAGAGATATAGCTACTACTCTCCTTCCTTACCCTATATGCTTAACGATCTTATTACCTACAAGTCTATTAACTACCGCGGCCTCGAAAATCTCAATTATTGCCTCTAGCGACTCGACGACGTACTGTCTAATCGGCCTATCCCTTATATATACTATTGCCCTCTGCCTTAAAGTATAGCTCCTAAGAAGAAATTGAACTACCGCTATACCCTAAAGTACGATAATCCTTATCGTTCCTCTCGTTATATCTTGTTTAGCTACTCTACCTATAGAATAGATATACTAGTGTCCTTAGAGTTTTATTACTAGTATACAATGCTATTAGTTAGAGGCATTAGCTATACTATATAATTAGTATTAGCTAGCGCAAAGAAATACCTATAGGATATCGGCTCTTTAATATTGTAAGGCCGGCTTTATTACTAACTATACCGATGCCCTAGGTACAACGCTATATTGTTAGCGATCGTTAGCGTTTTTAAAACAGAGTACACTCTAGGTAACGAGAAGGACAGGGGTTTCTTCTATTAGTAGGACGTCTAGGAATTCCCTTAATAGCCTAACGGCTACTAGCTATACTAAGCAGTCGTTATTATACTAGACCAACGCTATTGCTATACGCGCTGTCTGTACAAGGGCAACGGCTATAGTATATAGTATGTAGTAGGTAGTAGGTAGTGTATAGTAGGTAGTAGGTAGTGTATAGTAGGTAGTAGGTAGTAGGTAGTAGGTAGTATATAGTAGGTAGTAGGTAGTAGGTAGTATATAGTATATAGTGTATAGTGTATAGTGTGTAGTGTATAGTATATAGTGTATAGTATATAGTATATAGTATATAGTATAGTAAGGTATATAGTGTAGTAAAGTGAGGTTATAGCGAGCATCTCTATAGAAGTAGAGGGATATATAGCTGCTATAGGTTAATACGAAGAGACAATAGCGATACTATAAGACAATAAGCGAGATAAAAATACTATAAGTAAACAATAGTTCCTTTCAAGTATAGAGAAAACCCCCTTTATCGTAAATCGATCGATAAAGTATTATTTCTTATAGTATAATAGAGGAACCTGGGCACTATTGTTTTCCTATATTATACGCGCGAATCGTGCGATCAAAATAGTCTACTTAGTATCTCGCTAGGTCGACGACAACTTATAATATATATATATCTCTCTCTTTTCGAGGTCGATCGATCGATATAGTAATATATTAGGTACTAGAATAGAGGAACCTAGGCAGTATTATTTTCCTATATTATGCGCGCGAATCGTACGATCAAAATGGTCTACTTACTATCTCGTTAGGTTAACGACAACTTGTAATATATATATATCTCTCTAGTTTAGGTTAAGTAAAGTATAGATTTTAATTGGAATCTAGCTATTCTCGGTCGAAGTTCGTATAGCCTTAGCAGTATATACCTCCCGCTGTATACTTTATAACAGTCGCAGAGTTACTTCTTATCAACTATATACTTAATGCCTAATTAAGTATAGTCGTCGGTACATTTCTATCAAAAAAGGGTAAGATTTGGACATATTTTGGCTAAGTAATAGGTATAAATGTATTCTTGTGTATAGTACTTAGCGATAGACCCTAGAATTGTATACTATATACCTAACGTTACGTCTCCTACCTCCTACGACGGAGCTCTAGTTAGGCTAAGGCTATCTAAATTAGAAACGTAGAATATAGAAACCCCGAATATAGAGTACCGAATACAGAAGTATAGAATACAGAAACGTAGAATGTACGCTATTCGTAGTATCTTCGGAGGTTTATACTATACCTTCGGGGGTAGGTTCAAACTTTTATAGGTAGGTATTCGTTATAAAAGTTGTAGTAGTTTTTTACTAGTATTTATTACGTACGTATTAATATACTTTATATACTTATTATATATACGCTTATATATGCATTCGTTGATACGTTTATTCGGACGTACCTAGGTAGTATTCGTTGTAAAAGTAATAGTAATTATTATACTATTCTTTACGTACCCGATGTATTCTCTATTTGTTGATCCATTCGTTAATTGATATATGTTTCTATATACGAATAGACGGTAGCAATATAAGTATCTACTATATATATTATTAACTTAGGAGCTACGTCCTTTGTCTTCTTTTCTCTGTTAACAATACCGATACTAATACTAATACTAATACTAGCACTATGTCTCCTATAGCTATGTAAGTTATCCTAAACTCTACTTATAGTATATTCGTAGTATACTAATATAAAAGGGTATAGTTTGGACGCTACCTCCGCTGCTATCAATACCTCTACTATACTTGTATCCGCTGCCTCCGCCGCCGTTACTACCTCTACTATACTTATATCCGCTGCCTCTGCCTCCGCCGCCGCCGCTACTACTAAGGTCGTTGCCCTCGAAGAGAGGGTAGCTCTACTTAAACGTCGCCTCGAATATAAGACAAGTAATACGAACTCTCTTCGTATAGCCCTATTAATATTAAAGAAAGAGTTCTACGAGCGCTACCCTAAGCTCGAAGATAACGACGACAACGACAACGACAACGACGACGACAACGACAACGATAGCGATAGCGATAGCGACGACGACGACGACGACGACGACAATAGCGAGGACGACGTCGTTAATAGCGTCAACGACGATAACGACGGCTATAATAATAGCAACGCTATCGAAGAAGATGTTAAGATAGTCTTTAACGACGAAGACATTAAGATAGTCGTTAATAATAAAGACGTTAAGATAATACGTTCGTTCTTATAGTAATTCAGACAGTTATTTAGACGGTTATTTAGACGGTTATTCGGATAGTTATTCAGACGGTTATTCGGTATTAGTATCGTTGTTAGCGTCGTGATTAGTATACTATTAAGTATTATAAGCTGTATAAGGTCTACTACTCCTGCTTAATACTAGTACGGTCCTAGCTACGGTACTCGAGCAGCTCGAGGTAGTCTTACTATATATCCTCTACTATCTTATCTCGGAACTTTAATATTCCTTTGTCCTCCTCGAAACCCGGTGCTTTATACTCTATACTAGAGACATCGTCGTTGCCGATATAGCCGTCCGATTATAGCAACTACGGCTCTATAGAGAGTAGTTGTTCGCCGTACGTAAGAATGTAGTTATAGAGGACAAAACACGCTATAAGAATACGCTTTTGGTCGAGTATAGAGCGCCCTAGGTACGGACTAACACGGACGTACTCAAAGCGCTTCTTTACAATACTAAATATACGCTCAACGCAGTTTCTTAGCTACGCGTAGCGGAGGTTGAAAAGCTCTTCTTTTATCTCTAGTTTAGTATTCGACGCGATCTGCTTACGTAGGTAGTATCTTATACGCTAATATAGTACTAAGAGTCGATTGTCCTTCGGCAAATAACTACTATCTGCGAGATAATAGCGGCCCTCTAGTATACGTAGACCTCTAACCCTAAAGGCTCTATTAACGACTGTCCTATCGTTCGCAGATCCTTCGTAACTAACAAGCGTATAGAGGAAGTTACAGCTAAAATCGTATACTACTAGTACGTTCTACGCGATAAAACCCTTCCGGCAACGCTACGCAGACTGCCTCTCTTCCGGAATAACGGCATTTATATATATACTATCTAGCGTACCTAGGGCTCCTTTGAAATAGCTGAATTTAGGGTTTCTAAGAATTAAGTAGATAGTAGTATTATCTAGTAGTTAGATATAATCCTCGGCTATTCGATATAGTACAATACTAACTTTATCGATAATCCTCTCGAACGTCCTCTATATATAGACATACTGCCGCTCTAAGTCCGAGATACTACGGTTATATACGACGAAATCGTAGAATATAACTACTTGCTTAGCAACCGAAACCCTCGCTTTTCTATAGTCGTCGAGGCTACTACGCTCGGTCAATTCCTCGATTAACGATATTAACACCGGCTGTTTTAGACGCGTTATATAGTAATAGTATCGCTCTAGACTATATAAGCACTTGTATGTCTCTTTCCTACCTCTCCTAGGCTCGATTTAAGTTATAATTATACTAGGTAGCCGATACTAGCGCTCTGCGATAGGGGTTGCGACGATTAGTATAATAGCGACGAGTACGGCGGCAGCGACAACGCCGAATAATACAGCGATATTCGTAGTATCTATAGCTAAAAAAGAGGAGGTAAGTTGGTTGCTAGTATAGTACTACTATATAGTCTTAACCGGTGTCGATATATATAGTATATACGACTACGACGCGTATATAGACAGTGCCGCCGCCCCGGAACCTAATTGAATATATACGGAGCGCAAAATATACCTTTAGGAGGACTATTTAAGATAGTAGACTATGTCCGAGCGTTTACTAACCGGATATAGTATATAGGCAGCGACGGCGACGGTTTACGAGGCTATACGAGCGTTTTACTATCGACAGGTAACTATCGTCCATTTTTGGTCGATAGCTGAGTAGACGGGTATCAATAGAGTAAGCGATAGTAACCGGAAACTATCGACCTGCTTACTATCGACACAATTATCGACAGAGTAGACGGGGCCTTACCTACCTACCTAGTTACCTACCTTACCTGCCTACCTACAGCTGTACTTACATGTCATGATACCTACATGTATACCGTACTCGGCGTCTCCATACACGTACCTCATACACGATAGAACTCCTATACACATACAGGGACGCACTGCCAAACGTCACGACTCACGGAAATGAGATGGCCAAGACCGGCTAAAGTACGATGAAGTAGTGAGGACAGATCTTCTCTTGGCCTGACGACCACGAAGGGAATGCAATCCCATCCAGCGTTCCGCCAAGATCTGCTTCCTGGACGTCTTACAGGAGAGGCCTGTCCTTTTTCATGTCTGTTGGAGATGTTCTGGTCGGGCTTCCAGAGTCACGCCTGGTAGTGAGGCTGGTACTGTAGTGCGTTGGAAAGGTGTGCTCAGCGTCTCTGCAGTAAACGAAACCGTATGGTATGCCACACCAGTGTGACTCGCTACCGTATGGAGCAGACTGAAGCAGCCTCGGGAGGGGCAAATGCCCTGCGATGTCACCGTGGGCCAGTCGTGGGGCTTCAGCGTCAAAATGCATACCTCCGTGCAAGACCGTGCTTTCGCACACAGTAACACGGGCTCACGGCCCTGGAAGAACCTGGCAGGCTTTAATTCCAGAGAGCCAATGGAGAAAACGCTGGCGTCTTTTTGGCTCCAAACTGATCGTAATGCCCGCCAAACCCGCTGTAAAACAGTATCTTGGAGACGCAGTTTGAGTTGTCATGTAGGGACTAGGGACTACTAGGGTCCTGGTCATAGTGTGTCCATGCCCTGCAGATCTGATGGTATATACATTACTACTACTACACGAATCCGCAGACGCCGCAAAGAGAGCGCTTCCCAATTTACCTACCTATATTCCTACTCTGTGTGCACCTCGGGGTTGTGGCAACGCAAAAGTACTGTGACTTATACCTACCTTACCCATCTTTTCGCATACTGCTCCATCGACCACGGCTCTGCATCACTCCTCACCTGTCCAACGCCCCTCATATACGACCCCTTTCCTGCCCATTCTATTGCCATCGCAATACTGCGCACCGCAGGTCTTCAATTCTAGAGAGCAGTTGACTATTCCTCTCAAGAGGATCACGATTGCAATCAACATGCTTTTCATGTCTGCTATTAGCAGCCTCGCGCTTCTCGTATCAACGGTTGCAGCATACCCACTCGCCCAAGCAGAGGCAGTCGTCACGGAGAATCCAAACCTGGAAATCACCAGTCTTGTCGTCAACGATACCACGACCGGAAACACTTTGTTGACCTTCAACGTCACCAATCCCGAACCTCTAGCCAACCAGGCGGTTGCAAACTGCACGGGATCTTGGTCACACGAAGCCAAAGACTGGCCAAGCAGTGCGCAATCTGTATGATAGACTGAACGCAACTTTGCATACCATTTGCTAATCTTCCACGCAGCTCCGATGCGACAACTCTGACACAATGACATGGTACATCGACAGCTGGACGAGCGCGAGAGACTTTGTCATCGCCGTTCAAGACAGATATACCGATCCTGAGTAAGTCTTTCCATGGCTGAACGCCTAATTCCTGAGCCTGACTATTAGTACCTAGTATTGGAGAAGCTCCATACGATCGCGTCACAGTCTTTACCAAAGCCACAATCAATGCTACATACGTAGCATACTCCAGCAACGACCTGGCAGCCGATCCCATCTCCGGCTCCCAAATAGCCAACACGACCATATATGCCCCGATATACGCGATTGCGGCAAAGTAGGCGGGCTGCACATGGTCAAAATTTGGAGGCAGCACAGCTCCGCGTCGATCAGATTGACCCGATGACTGATATGGTTATACGCATGATTGGGAGGTGACGGCACAAAAGTCGACTATTCTTCCACATGCTGGTATCGGGAAGCGATTGGAGGCGGCTTTTGAAGAGCTTCCCAGAGCCAGGCTCCCTTGTGCTTGTTCACAGCATCTGCCGGCATCACGCTGTGACCTAAAATAAGGTCTGGCGCTATACTCCCAATAGCCTTTCGTGTGAGGCTCTGGGTGATGGGAAGTTGGGAACACACCCAAGACCCTGAGGTCCCTGACCATGATGATGATACTCATAATCTCCATAGAAATGATGATAATAATAACGTAGCAAGAGATGATGTATACATGGAAGAGTCAAAGCTACAAACATGAGATGACGGTGCAGGGGGCGACGCGGAAAAACTCTTGATTCGGTTGCTTGTTTTTTTTTTAATGGGGCTGCGTCACAACCTCATGACAGCTTGCGCTCTCCAGAGAAGACGACGGTCTGCGAGCGAAAATAAAAAGGTGTGTATAAAAGGTATGGAAGAGTTTGTAAAGTGTCGGAGAGTACGGTATACAGAACTAGAGGTACCGCTCTATTAGTGGCGGTTCATCTCAGGCGGAACCCGGAGCGTCGTCACATGCTCGTGTCTTTCTCTCGCTGTTTGTGAGTCACGTTCACGCTAACCGTCACAGTGTAGTAGTACCTTACCTCCTACCTCCTAGTACCTCTCCTAGTAGTAGTAGTGACTCGGGCGCCCAAGATCAAGACGGTCGAGAGAAGATTCTCGATGACAACATGAGCTCCGACCACGATATCCCGAGCTCGGCCATAGACTCATATCCTCAAGTCATCTGATATGTCGTTCGACACTCGATCAGATTCTATATCTACGTGGCGTGGCGTCGTCTGTTCCCGGCGTCGAAGTATCAAAAAACCACATCTCCTTGCACTACATGTACCACTACTACTGCTACAACAACAACAGCACAGTCTCTACCTCTACTCCTGTAATGACGCCCTCACGCTTCGATCTGCCACTGCTGCCTAAATACCACGATATACCATACGAAACCATAACGGCCCCCAAAAACCGCAAACGAATTCGCCACCGATCAAACAAGTCGAGGAGGGCACAACATCAGAATCCTACCACTACTAGTACTATTAATACCACCACAACAAGAACAACCTCCTCCTCCTCCTCCTCCTCATCCTATCCCGCCTATTACGGCTCCTACTACCACAACCGCGGAATCAGTCCTCCAAGCAGCGAATTTTCCTCCTCGCCGCCCCCAAACTACTACCCGGAATACACTTACGCAACTCTACCAAAACCTATCCGTCTTGCGCCATCGAGCACCACCACCGCCACCACCACCATTCCAAAAAACTATCATCATCACTATCATCATGAGCATCATTATGAACATCCACATCCTCGAGACCTCCATCTCCTCAATCACGTATTCCGGGAAGACTCTTACTCTTCTTACTCTGCAACAGTAGGAGGAGTAGAATCGGCAATCACGCGGGATAAGAGAATGTTTGGGGGAGAAGATGGTGATTCGGAATCTGCTCTGGAATTGCGAGGGCCCATGTTGGATGTCGTGTTGGGCTTGTTTGATGGCATTGATTACGATGATGCTTTGTTGTGTTAAGAGAGAGGGGAGAGGGAGAGAGAGTGATTGTGTCCTCTTCTTCCTCTTCTTCCTCTTCTTCCTCTTCTTCTTCTTCCTCTTGGGATCCTTGCGAGGGCACCATTGAGCGAGTGAGCGGGCAGGGTTTTTGGTGGGAATTAACCTCACAGGCCTCTTTTTTCTTTTTTTCCTTTTCCCTTTGGCTTCTTCTTTTTTTCTACCAAACGCGGGAAGCATGCGCGCTACCTCTTACGACGACAGCGCTAGAACCAAGGGAGCTTCCAGGCCAATGATGAGCGTTCGCCTGCACATCAAAGAATTTGCGTTGGATTCGGAGAACTTTTATGATTAAAGAGCTTTTGGTTTGATCAGACTACCAGAACCATTAGCCAGTATAAGGGCTTCACATGAAGAATGCTATATATAAGGAATATATGAATACAGGCGTCATGCCATCGAAGCTATAATGCAGTAAGACGCTGCTGTCCACCCATTTGTACAAGCCCCTGTTGCAACAATATGCACACAAAAATCACACGCTCCAGAACCGCTCAGGGTATCGCTGATCCTCCAGTATGCCGGGTCGTCAAGTCATCAAATAGTCATGCGCCCCATGTGCTCGGCGCGAGTGCTTCTAATACTCCAGTCGCAGCTTTTCCACGACCCTGAGCACGCTTACGCTAAAACATAACAGCCACGCCAACAGCGTAATCAGTAGTACTCCAGACAATGCTTTCTGCTTATAGCAGATGTTGGGGTTATTCGGGCACGTCTTGGGAATGTCGATGTATTGCTGGCCAATAAGCATTTGGCCTGTCTCGAAACAAGCCCAGCTACCATCGAAAAGAGCAGAGAAGGCCAGAGAGAGGTTCGATGCTGAAAAGACAATGAAGTAGAGATCGCAGAGTAGTAAGAGGACTTTGGCGGCAACAGAACGAAGCCCGAGTCTGAGAAAAGCGTTAGCAATGGGCTGCAGATAGGAGATATGAGGTGCAAACGTACGGTTTCGAGGTATACTCGTCCCACGTCCTAGAGATGACACGTCGAAAATTAGCAACACTCCTAGAAATCGTTCATGGCTGAGCATGGCCTGCCTCCCAGGTCGCCGCTCCAATACGACAGTCACTGCACTTACACATATCCAATGTATGGTATGGCCACGGCAGGCACGATGATGCCCATATATGTAGAAGCGCGTGGCGCGCACTGGTTGAAAGCGTCGTTGTCCCGATTGACACTGTTCACAGACTTCAAAATTGTGCCTGCAACCCCCAATGCAGCGCACGAAAAGGAGAGGACGAAGACGCGAAACCCCAGAGGCACGAAGGCATTCTTAAGCAACAATCGCCAAAAGAGTCGTACACTTCTTTCCTGTCTTTCCGGACTGATTAACCACTTCCCTCGAAACAGAAGGCCTGGCAAGCCACGGTGTCTTTTGCTTTCCGGCATCATTTCGTCCTCCTCTTGCCACGCCCGGTTGAATATGGGCACATTCTCGCGCATCCACGAGTCGCTCCGTACGATGCGTTGATCACGCTGCTCTCGTGGGTTTGGACCCGACTGCATGAACGGAATCCACCGCACCTGGTGATCTGCTATCGGGGCAGACAGTAGGCCGGGCTCTGCATCCCGATAGGCGTCCAGCTTCCTCCCGGGCTGGTATTTCGGAGGGACTTTGTAGTGTCGGGTATTGGGCAGTATCGGCGCAGGCTCCAAGAAGGGCGCTGCCTCGTCGTTGACATGGATCCATGGCGGCAGCGAGTTTGCCTGGTGAGGATCGGAGTCCGCGGCGGTGGAGGACGAGGCGTGCGATGCAGACGTGTCGGGCAGACGCCGCTGCTGAGGTTGTGACGGAATGAGGAGCGCGGAGCGCTGCTGCATCTCAGGCATCGTCGCCGGTCTCTCCTGTGGACTCTCTCTCTCTCTCTCTGTCTCTGTCTCTGCCAGCGCCGCTCACAGCACAAGCCCGGTGCGCTGCGAGAGGCTGGGTATACCTCCTAGCAAATGAAGTGGATGCATGCAAGTCGTGAGACGGAGCGGTGCTTAAGCGGAAGCGGAGTCTGGAGATTTGAAGGCTCCAGTCTAAAACCTGGAGGCTGCTGTAGCCGCACCGCATATGACACAAGCTGACGGATTACATAATCAGAGTGTCTCACATTCTCGTGTACTACAGTACAGGTATCTACATGAATCCTCATCACACTAGAGAGGTAGGTATGTAACCATCCAGTATCCTAACTCAGGACCAGATGCCACGCTGGTCCTGTTTCCCCATACGAAGCACCTCGAGCATCATTGCGCTGATTGCGCTGGTCTCGTCGTTCTTTTACGCTCTTCCTTCTGCTTGCATAATATCGTTTGCTTTTCGCCGGCACGTAACATGGTGGGTCGTCGTCCGTAGGATCACTCGTCGTCGCAGTAGAGGCCATCAATGTTCCACCGAGTCTCGTGGTCGGGTGGCTCCTATGATGGGATTAGTTCCACGGCCGCCTTCGTCTGTAACGAGCGTGACTGGAACACCTCAGGGTTACTGAAAGACATCTGGGACAAGTTGAAGCGCCAACAATGTTGCCCTCACTGTCTGAGGCAGTATAACGGTGAACTGGTATCACCTCAACGGCGGCTGGGCATCACCGGCGAGCGCTCGTCGAAAAAGCAAAACCAAATGCTGAGGAGCCTTACCATCCACCGCGTCCCTCCTCTGCGATCTTGCCGCTGACTTCTCGACGTCTGGCAGACTGCTGATTCAGTCTATAGACGTCCATGTCAGCAATATCTGCACCGGACCTAGATACCACTCGACTGGGTTGTGTGGAGTTTGGGTCAGCTCCGTTTCTGATCCCACGAGTCGCGGATGCCAGGTCCCCATACTGTTTCCTGCCCGGTGTGCTGTTATTTGGTCTGCCGTTGCTGGTCATGGTTGAGGTCATCAGTGATGGTGCAGATTCTGAATAGACTGATGAAGTCACGGTAGCTTGGGATGCTACAGTCAATTTGCGAGCCACTCCGATCTCGACGGGTTCGTGGTTCTCTTTGTTCTCCTGTGCAAGTGTGGCTGCAAGCTCACTCTCAGCATCAGGCGGCGTTGGGGGGTTCATCTTGAGTGGTTGGACTTGCGATGGCCCGAAACAGTCGGCCTCATTGAGATTGGTGTTTGGCAGCGTTGGAGTTCGTGTATGACGTTTCTCAGCACGCACATGGCCACTTCGACGTTGTCTGCCCAAGTCCGATGCATCCCCATCCGAAACATACCAGCTATCATCCAGGAGACTGGACTTCTGCTGCGATTGCACAACCTCTCGTGATGGCGCCGATACAAACCGCTCCGGTGTTCCCTGAGTGGACCGCGGACGATCGGTATATGCTGGGACTGGAGGAATGTCATCGAAATACAGCGGAGCTCCATGCTCAGAAGGAGACACAACGGTGCCGGCGCGAGATCTATGCCCACCACCAGAAACTGATACACGCGAACTCCTCGCCGAATGTGGTCCCTGGTGGATAGTCACTTCATCGAACTGTTGCCGTGACAAACGCGCCGAGTCTGGGTTGTGGGGAGAATATGTGTGGTCTGACTTCATCCGGCTGTGCTCCCAAGGGACAACTCTGGCTTCTGGATCTTTCGCAATCGATGTTCGCGAAACATTCAAAGTACTACCACTGTAATATCCTGCCTTCTTCTCCGACATGTTTGTTGACACTGACGATACCGTCATCTCCGAGTTCTTGTGTTTGTGCTTCATGGACTTGCGGCGAGTGCTGCCGGTCAAGTTATCCTCGAGTGGGTTCATATCTGGAGGTAGACTGGCGATCTTGCGGAAGATCATGATCAGATAAATGTCAAGACCGATGCTGACCAGATGGAGACCTCCCACAACGATGCTGGCAACGAAGGTTGTGAAGATGACCGTTGTGGTTGCGAAGTTCGTGGTGAAGAAGCTTGTCCACCGGCTGGAGTCGTCCACCTGCATGTTGTAGTTCTGGTTGGCATATAGAGCGATAAACACATAGAATGGAATCAACCCGACGTCCATGAACAACGCGAAAAAGTGGTAACTACTACTGCTGTTGGGAGTACGACCTTTGGCGGGTCGTAGCAGATGGTAGATTGCGTACGTGGTGATGACCATGTCCCACGCGACCTAAGTCGGGTTAGCAACTCCTCGCAGCAACACTTCGATCATGTTCCTACGTACTGGAACTCGAATGACCCAGCTAGGTCCATTGTTCTTCATCTTGAGACAAATCACGCATACCAAGATTCCTATCGCCCCCAGCTCTTGAATCACTCTCAACGCGAATTGCACCCATCTGGTCCAGACGATCTTCGCCTTCGTACTAGGTGGTAATGGCTCGTGGTGAACTTGCGGGTTATTGACCACCATATAGCTATCAGGATGCTGGTTGAAATTGATGAGCGGTCGTCCAGCCTGCTGGGACTGTCGTTTCTGCCTTTCAGCTCTCTCCGCGAATGCTTGATAGTGTGCCTGCGTGGCTGCTCTTGGATTGAAGTCGGAGTAGGGATAAGCGATCGAGTTGCGCGAGCCATGCGCCGGTTCGTATAGGTATGGTTGGTCAGGCATGGTGATGGCGAGCTGCTAGACAGCAACAATGCTATTGTTGCTGCGTGAGCTGCCTGCTAGTAGTGACTGTCGGGAGCGAAGAAGTGCTGAACTGAGAAAGCGCAGCTGAGGAATGTAATAGGTACAGGTATGTATCAGTGAGGTGGTGATACTCCGGCCAGTAGACCTAAGAGGTAATGCTTGTCTGTCAACCAGGATGTTGACTTTATTGTGTTGGGTTGGCACGACAACAATCTGAACCCTATTCAGCTGGGAGGCGTTTTTTGTCTTTTGCCGTCACCAAGGTTCATCACCGCACATGTATTCTCCGACACTCCATTTTCGCTATCCATGTCTGGGAGCACAAAAGTATCTTGGGTATGCAATGGCTGCCAAAGCTCTGCACGGCTCCATGGTGCCAGGCTGAGGCCACGGCCACGGCCACGGCCACGGCTATGGAATGCTGAACATCATGGAGTTCGAGCATACAGCGTGGCGAATACACGACAACGACCACTGCATCTCGCCATCATCGGAGCGGGACCCGCGGGCTTTTATTCTGCGTATAGACTTCTGAAGAGCTTACCAGATGCCCGTGTGGATATGTACGAAGGTCTGCCATCGCCCTATGGCCTTGTGCGCTTCGGCATTGCCCCCGACCATCCAGAAGCCAAGGTGCGATAGCCGGCATCGACAACAGCATTGGAGAGATTGCTGATGGGTAGGTCATGCTATAGAAGTGCTCAGAAACTCTGATAGACGTAGCCAAATATCCAGGATTCACTTACATTGGCAACGTACCCGTAGGAGATGAACCACACCAACTACCCCTGACTTCTCTGGCACCGCACTACGACGCTGTGCTGTTCGCGTACGGAGCATCCAAAGACAAGAAGCTGAATATACCCGGAGAGGACCTCCGCAATGTACTATCTGCGAGAGCGTTCGTAGGCTGGTACAATGGACTTCCCGAATACGCAGACCTCCAGCCGAACCTGCGAGCTGGCGAAACTGCTGTTGTTATTGGACAGGGGAATGTTGCTTTGGATGTCACGCGGATGCTGCTCATGAGTCTCGAAGAGCTCAAAAAGACGGATATTGCGGAGCATGCCGTGGAGGCTTTGAGCAAGAGCAGAATTCGAGATGTGAAGGTCATTGGGAGAAGAGGGCCGCTGCAAGCACCGTATACTATAAAGGAGCTCAGAGAACTGCTGAGCCTGTCTGGCTTGGGCTTTGTCCCGCCACCCGAAGGCTGGGAGGAACTGGTGCAGGTTGAGAGGAAGAAGCTTCCTCGACAGCTGAAGCGTATCGCCGAACTGTTAGAAAAAGGGAGCAAGACGCCCATCGAGCGAGCAGCAAAGGCCTGGCAGCTGGGATACCTGAGGTCACCCATCGAGTTCTTGTCCAGGAACGGTCAAGACCTCGATGCTATCGGGTTTGAGAGCACTGAGTATGTTGCGCCTCCTGCATCAAGCATGATACCGGGTGAGCCAGAAAACACCTTGAATGCACTGCGCTCTCTGCAAGTAAGACCTGTCGAGCCTGTGAAGCGAACCTCGATAGCTGCATCCATGGCCTTTCGCAGTATTGGCTACGAATCAGAGCCCATCGCAGGCATGGATAGGCTTGGCGTACCCTTTGATACGAAGAAGGGCATCATTCCTAACGATCGCTACGGTCGTGTGCTTACGCCTGATCTCGGACCTGGCAACTTGACGGCTGGTCACGTGCCAGGCATGTACTGTGCGGGTTGGGTGAAGCGAGGGCCTACAGGGGTCATTGCCAGTACCTTGGACGATGCTTTCACCAGTGCAGACGTCATCGTTAGTGATTGGCGGAAGAACGTGAAGTTTCATGATGGTATTGGGGACGACAAAGAGGGTTGGCAACAGGTGAAGAAGGCCGCTGAGAAACGAGGCATGAGACCGATAAACTGGCAGGATTGGGAGCGGATTGATGCTGAGGAGGTGAGACGAGGGCAAGCAAAGGGGAAGGAGAGAGAAAAATGCAGGACTGTTGATGAGATGTTGAGAATACTGGATGCCTAGCGACCAGCGTAAGGTACCTGAGTTTATAGACGTTGGCATCGCAAAATCTAAACCCCAGCCAGCTCTTAGCAGATTTGAAGCCTAAGAGCTACGTAGATTTACCCTTCTTCAGTTGACGAGGTTAGCCATGTGCAATGGCAAGTCGCTCCTAGTCTGTAGGAGTTAGGGGCGACAGTGATGAATCGCTTGATGAGATCTGCGCACGCTGGCGTGGTTAGGTAATGTAGTTATTATTGGGCTGATGCCTGAACAAGCGTGCATACCTGAAAGAAGCATATGATGCCGAGCCACGATGATGACATCCGTACCAACTTTGAAGATTATTGTTTTCTCTGCGGCCTGCACCCACTTCACGCCTTCACCCGTTCACGATACGTAACGACGAGCTGCTGTGTGTCGAGACACCTTTGCGCAATTCACGAGGGCAAGATCGCGCCGTTCCCTATCACGATTCACGCGCGCTCGCCGTGGCCTCGATTACGACCGCGTCAAACACGTGCCATCCACTGGCTGAGCGGTCCCGCGCTAGTCCGGGGCAGCACACGAGGACGAACGACTCTCCGCGAGCAGGAATACTTGGAAGTTGTACAACAGCACCACAGAAGAGCAACGGGCCGGTGCTAGATAGCACTGCGGATTCGAGGGCGCAATGACCAAGTCCAAGAAGGACGTCAAGTTCAACCACCGGGAGAGGAGGATGAGCAAGAGCAGCATGTCGGACGTGAACTACGACTCACCGAGCGAATCGAGGAGTCCCACGCGGAGAGTAAACGGCAACAAGCATGGCGACCACAACGGTAACCTCAGCAGATCTCGTGAAGACCTCAGACCAGGGATAGGGCGAACGGATACTACAGCTAGTGGGTGGCAGACAGAGAATGAGGATGACAAGGTAGGAGGGGAACGCGTAGGAGACTGCGCTTTGATATTCTGCTGACCCAGGTACAGCAAGAAGTGAAGCCTCAATCCGAGTACGAAAAGAAGAAGCAGACTTTTATCACCAGAGCCATTTGGACATTCGTGATGATAGCCATTTTCTTCGGCGGAATGTTCGCTGGCCACATTTACATGATCATCATCGTGACTGCGTGTCAAATCATCTCGTTCAAGGAAGTCATCAACATTGCCAATGTTCCCAGTCGAGCGCGATCCTTACGCTTCACAAAAACGCTGAACTGGTATTTCCTGGGGACCACCATGTACTTTCTCTATGGCGAGAGCGTCATCTACTACTTCAAGCATATTGTCCTGATTGATCGCGTACTCCTACCGTTTGCGACACATCATAGGTTTATCAGCTTCATGCTCTACATTTTGGGTATGTCGAGCGTCACTCACGGCAAACGCTGAGCAGTACTGACCGGTCCCAGGCTTCGTATTCTTTGTTGGCTCTCTCCAGAAAGGACACTACAAGTTCCAGTTCACTCAGTACGCTTGGACACACATGGCACTATACCTGATTGTCGTTCAAGCGCACTTTATCATGAACAACATCTTCGAGGGCATGATCTGGTTTTTCCTGCCTGTCAGCCTGGTGATCATTAATGACATCTTTGCGTATATCTGTGGAATCACTTTTGGCAAAACGCAGCTCATCAAACTGAGTCCTAAGAAGACGGTCGAAGGTAAGCATCGTGGTGGAGACGCTGCGGTGCATCCATTATAGATGTACCTATCATACACATCATGCTAACCTCGCCTACTTTACAGGATTCGTCGGTGCATGGATCTGCACCATCCTCCTGGGCTTCTTCTTCACCAATATCCTTATGCGATCCAAGTACTTCATCTGTCCGGTCAACGACCTCGGCGCCAATATCTTCACTGGACTGCAGTGCGAACCGAACCCAGTCTTCATTCCCCACACTTACACGCTGCCATTCATCCCACATAGCTGGGACTTCTTGCCACGCACTCTGACAGTGTCGCCCATGCAATTCCACATTGTCATTTTGGCCTCGTTCGCATCGCTCATCGCGCCCTTTGGTGGATTCTTTGCATCCGGCCTCAAACGCACGTTCAACATCAAGGACTTTGGAGACTCGATTCCTGGACATGGTGGAATGACGGACCGCATGGACTGCCAATTCATCATGGGATTCTTCAGCTTCATGTACTATCAAAGCTTCATTGCACAGTACAAGGCCAGTGTCGGCGGTGTCCTGGAGACAGCGATTACTGGCCTCTCGCCCGAGGAACAGATGGTGTTGGTGAAGGGCTTGACGCAACATCTCTACAACCAAGGCAAAGTTGGCCACCAGGTAATAGAGTACCTGAGCGAGAATTTGGTGGTCGCGCTGAAGAGAAGGTGATGGAATGTTTGAGCGATGGACTTGCATAATGCTACAGCTTCGTTGAGAGAGAGAGAGAGAGAGAGTCCCAGACGGGTTTGGACTTGCGGGTAATGTACGTGCTCGGTTCCAAGTGCACTTCAATGTTGTTACAGTGTACATAATCGTCGTTGTCATGGTCACGAGTGAGCTGATGAGTTGGTTCAGGCGCTTCTCTAATATGAACACTACGTCGTGTATGGAAGGGCTGGATCCTTGTGAGACAACGATTACAGTACCTGTACCTGGGGCACCTTACCTTACCTTACCTTATCGCTGCATGTGCTAGGTATTGGAGGGAGAATAATCAGCGGGCACAGTACATACATGTAAGGTAGTCGTTGCCTCGTCACCCTTTGTGTCCACGTGCATGCATGTGTCTAATATGTCTTCGCACAGCTACATCCTGCACGGCAGTGTATGCCAGCTGCCTGCCACCAACGAGACACACAGCTACCTTACACGTACCTTAGGAACCTTAGTAAGAAAGCCTACCTTTTCTCATGCATGAAGATTGGAGAGTGCATGAAGAGTGGATCATCCCCAGCCCTGAACCTGGCAACAGTCACCTCACACCAGAGCCGAGAAAGCCAGAACTCACGCCATGACGGAAGTCTTAGGGTAACCTCCAACTTGCCTTCCCACTTCCATGGCTGGCGGGCATGCTCAACCTGGAAAGGCGCCAGATGGTCACCTACTGCCTTCACGGGTCTGAGCCTATGAGGTGTTCAAATATTTCAAAGTTGGGAGTCCACTCCACCTGCTGGCAGCACCTTGAACACTTTGAAGATGCACGGAGTGACGGAGTCTGCAAGGCCGATGTATACAGTACCTAGATCGACTGTCCCAGCTGCCCAGCCCCAGCGCCAGCACACAATTATCATCACCACACCACCTCGCCGATCGGCAGCCGGCAGCCACCGTCTCGCACTAGTTTCACTTCTACAGAACTACCCCGCAGCCCCACGACGGGGAGCTCGCTCCACAACAATGCAAGTGCAATGGCAAGCACGAACGGACGCGTTGAGCTCATCGTAAACACACCTCCTTCCACTTCCTCCTGCACCACTACCTGACCTTCCCAACAGCACTCCCACTCCCACTCCCATCATCCTCCTCAATCCCATTTGCACCACGCCCGTCTTGAGCATCCCAAACGTTGCTGAGCCGGGACCTTTTCTGGAGACTGTCGTGATCATACACTTCTTACACCGAGACAACTCATGCCAATAAACATGGCAACGACAAACGAGACTCCAGCGCCTCGCGAGAGGAGGCCAAGTACTAATGCGCCCATCACTGACTTCCAGGGACCCATTGGGCCAGCTGGAATCTCCAGGCCAAAGCACAAGCGTACAGTAACTGGATTTGGCGCCCAAGAAATCAAGAGCGTAGAGGCGAGCATTCCGGAGCCACAGCGAGAGGCCTGGCGGAAATACGTCAGTCTTCCTGCTTCCACGCCTCACCAGTACTAATCGATTGAGAGTGGAATACGCTGACGTGGGAATGTAGTCAGCATCCGAGTTCAAATCCAAGGACGAGTTCGACCGAGATGTTGTACGACACATCGAGACAACGCTGGCGAGATCGCTTTTCAACTGCGATGAAGCTGCAGCGTACTCGGGAACGGCTTTGGCCTTTCGTGATCGTCTCATCATTGAATGGAACAGGACACAACAGCAACAAACATACGCTGATCCCAAACGGGTCTATTACCTCTCGCTCGAGTTCTTGATGGGAAGAGCATTGGACAATGCTATGCTGAACACAGGCATGAAGGACATTGCTAAGGGTAATTGCTGCGTCTAACAGGCAAGTGTGCTAGCTAATGTCGTGGTAGAGGGTCTTCATGACTTGGGCTTCCGAATGGAAGACATCATCTCCCAGGAGCGCGACGCAGCTCTCGGAAACGGTGGGCTTGGGCGTCTTGCAGCCTGCTTCCTCGATTCCATGGCCACCCTGAACTATCCCGCTTGGGGATACGCCCTCCGCTACCGATACGGCATCTTCAAGCAAGAGATCATTGATGGCTATCAGGTCGAAATTCCAGATTACTGGCTTGATATGAACCCATGGGAATTCCCAAGACATGACGTTACTGTAGACGTCCAATTCTACGGGAGCGTGAGAAAGTACACGGACGACAATGGCAAACAAGTCAGCGTGTGGGAGAATGGCGAGCTAGTCACTGCCGTGGCATACGATGCCCCAATTCCAGGATATGGCACATCCACAACGAACAATCTTCGACTATGGTCGAGCAAGGCCTCTGGAGGCGAGTTCGACTTCACGAAGTTCAATTCTGGCGAGTACGAGGCTTCGGTTGCAGATCAGCAGCGTGCGGAGACGATCTCGGCTGTGCTATATCCAAATGACAGCCTAGACCGTGGCAAGGAGTTGCGTCTAAAGCAACAGTACTTCTGGTGCGCGGCTTCGCTTTTCGACATCGTTCGTCGTTTCAAGAAGTCGAAGAAAGCTTGGAAGGAGTTCCCAAACCAAGTCGCAATTCAGCTGAACGATACTCACCCCACACTCGCCATTCCGGAGCTTCAGCGGATCCTCATTGACCAAGAGGGTCTGGATTGGGACGAGGCCTGGAGTATTGTGCAGAAGACGTTCGGATACACAAACCACACAGTGCTTCCAGAAGCTCTTGAGAAGTGGTCGGTACCCCTTGTCCAACATTTGCTTCCACGCCACCTCCAGGTGAGTAAACCCCGTTTTCTTCTGCAACCCACAAAAGACGTCGCTGACCATATCATTCCACAGATAATCTATGAAATCAATTTGAATTTCCTCCAGTACGTCGAGAGAACTTTCCCAAAGGATCGCGACATGCTTGCACGTGTCTCCATCATCGAGGAGTCGCAGCCCAAGATGGTTCGCATGGCGTACCTGGCAGTTATTGGCTCGCACAAGGTGAACGGCGTTGCTGAACTGCATTCGGATCTGATCAAGACTACTATCTTCAAAGACTTTGTGAAGCTGTACGGCCCAGACAAGTTCACCAACGTTACAAACGGCATCACACCACGACGATGGCTCCACCAGGCCAATCCGCGGTTATCCGAGCTGATTGCGAGCAAGCTTGGCGGCTACGATTTCCTCCGTGATCTCACACTTCTCAACAAGATCGAATCGTACGTGGATGACAAGAGTTTCCGCAAGGAGTTCCAGGAGATCAAGTATGCCAATAAAGTACGCCTTGCCAAATACATCAAGGACGCGAACGGCATCACTGTCAACCCAGCCAGCTTGTTCGACATCCAAGTGAAGCGTATGCACGAGTACAAGAGACAGCAGCTCAACATATTTGGTGTCATCAATCATTACCTCGAGATCAAGGACATGTCTCCCGAGGAGCGCAAAAAGGTGCAACCGCGAGTCAGCATCTTCGGCGGCAAAGCTGCACCCGGCTACTGGATGGCTAAAACGATCATTCACTTGATCAACCAAGTCAGCAAGGTCGTGAACAATGACAAAGATATCGGCGATCTCCTCAAGGTTGTCTTCTTGGAAGACTACAACGTATCCAAGGCGGAAATCATCTGCCCCGCCAGCGATATTTCTGAGCACATCTCGACTGCAGGCACGGAGGCTTCAGGGTAAGTGATGTGGCGCCCGATACATAGTTCTAATGGCTGAGATATACTGACGCATGCTAGCACCTCCAACATGAAATTCGTCCTCAATGGCGGGCTCATCATCGGGACGTGTGATGGCGCAAATATTGAGATCACTCGCGAGATCGGAGAGGACAACATCTTTCTTTTCGGTAACCTGGCCGAGGACGTGGAAGATCTGCGCCACGCTCATTTCTATTCCGAGTTTCACCTGGACCCTATGCTTGAGCGCGTCTTCAAGACGATCCAGCAAGGTGTATTTGGTGACGCAGGTCAATTCTCGGCTTTGGTCAATTCCATTGTCGAGCATGGAGACTATTACCTGGTTTCCGACGACTTCAAGAGCTACGTTGATACTCAAAAGCTCATCGATGAGGCGTACAAGAACCAAGAGGAGTGGCTGACCAAGACCATTACTTCTGTCGCAAGAATGGGATTTTTCTCCAGTGATAGATGTATTGATGAGTATGCCGAGATGATCTGGAACGTGGAGCCTTTGCCGCCCAAGTCACAGAACGCCTAGCAAGGCAACTCTGCGGACTGGCGTCAAATGAGTATCTAAAACGGGGCTAGGAAGTATCGCGAAGGGCATATAAATCAGAGGATAAAAGCGTTCCATAATCAGTGAATCACCCATGATGACATTTGCTTCTAGAGCTCTGTGGAGTCAGTGCATAAAGGAGCTCGATGAATTCTAAGAATGAGGTGGTGGCCAAACAAGAAGCCTCATGAAGTGTGACTACCTTAATTGCGATGGACAGTCGTGAGGAGCTGTCAGCATCTGGAGCGAGAGGTGGGCAAATATACAGGCCTAGTACCTCTTAGACCATATGCCTACCTCCTAGGAGGTAGGAGGGAGGTATCTACCTGTGTACCTGATACATGAGACAAGATCTACACAGCCTGTGCATGACGCACGCTTACCTAATACGTGCTTTCACATGCTTTCTTTCTCTTTCTCCGGCCCTTATCGCATGCATGGCAAGATCGCACACGCGGCACCTCTCTTCACTGCTCGTGCATCGCACTTTCCAACACCAATATCAAACAACATGGCAGGAGAAAAGTTTCCCGCGATAGAGGGCGGCGGCTCTTTGATTCTGGCGTGGCAAGTCCGCAACAAGAAGGTCCTCGTTGTCGGCGGCGGTGAGGTGTGTCGCACGCGCAGACCACATGCACTTCCCATGACGCATACATTCTGATGTTAACATTATAGGTAGCAGCTGGACGGATCTTGAATCTTCTCAATGCCGACGCGAAAGTCTTGCTCGTATCGCCGCGCGAAGGTCTCAACCCCGAAGTCGCATATCGTGTGGAGCAAAAGCAAGTGGAATACATCGATCGGGTGTTTCAGCCGTGGGACTTGGACGACCCGGACATCAGCATGGTACTGACCGCGATCGATGACCCGGATGCGAGCAGTCGGTTGTGGAAGCTGTGCAAGAAGAAGGGGATACCCGCGAACATTGCAGACGTGCCGCCAGAATGCGACTTTTACTTTGGATCTGTGCACCGCGACGGACCCCTGCAGATTATGGTGAGCACGAATGGCAATGGACCAAAGATGGCGAATATCGTCAGGAGACGGATAGCAGGGAATCTGCCGCCGAACATGGGAGACGCCATCAAGAAGGTTGGGAAGCTGCGGAGGAGGCTGAGAGAGATGGTGCCGGAGGTCGAAGCGGGCCCAAAGAGGATGGGCTGGATGTCCAAGGTCTGCGTGCAGTGGAGTCTGGAAGACCTCTGTGAAATGGACGAGGATGACATGGAGAAGCTGCTGCAATACTACGCGCCGGACCAAGTCCCAAGCTTCACAGATGTACGAGGGCCGCCATGGGAGTTCGACGGTAGTTTTGGCTGGGCCTGCGTCGTGTGATGATGATAGTAGTTCGCTTTGTTTCTCATACCATGTAGCCATAGGAGTATTTGCATTGTGAGCTGCTATTGTCTCTTTTGAGCTTCAGTATGGTGCAGCGTCTTACCTCAAAGAATTCTCGTTGCTCAGCAGTGCTCCATCGGGATGCGCGAGCATACAGCGAATATTTGAACACCATGCAGAGACGACATACATCATATGGAGAGAGAGAGAGCGAGAGAGAGAGATACATGTACCTGATATAGGTATATATTGCAGGGGAGCGACCACCTTTGGCCTATGGTACCTTTGGACCCCCTGACCCCACCCCACCAGATCGGCCCAGGCTTCCACGCGGCACCTGGCCTAGCCTGGCTTGTGCTTGCACTGCTCGTGACGAAGGACTGACATGGCCACCGACTGCTTCCGCTCACACACAACTCAACCTCATCCAGATCACTCTCACCTCACAGCACTTGTATGCGCTGGCGCAGCATGGATGGCAATTCTGAAGACCAGGAAGCTGCCATATAAACTCTCCCGACATGGCTGCGCGCAGGAGTCTGGGGGGTGGTCGGGTCCTTGGTAGTGGGAAGAATCTCGCACCTCCAACACCATCAGCATCGCCTGCGCTCAAGCCCGGCCTAGCACTGCAGCGACCGCCTCTGCTATCACCCTCTGACAGCTCTGTCTCGCTGAGCTCTCGTGCCTCGAGTACGCCGATCACGACCGACACCGAGGATCTCACTTCGCGTATCGCGCTCGACAGCGATGGGGTCAATCATGCGGCTGCGGCAGCCACGAATCGCATGGTCTGCCCCATCTGCAGTGAAGAGATGGTATGATTCGCGAGGCTGCTATCGATGTGCGGACAACAGGCGACTGACTTGATCAGGTCACTCTTCTACAGCTAAATAGGTAGGTATGCACAGTCTGCACAGCTGGCTGCCTACTGTGGACAAGTCTGACCATGGCATAGACACATCGACGATAACCACGCAAATCTCGAACAGATTGAGCAGCAGGAAGCCCAGGATTGGTTCAAGCAACAAATGACAAAAGCGAAGAAGTTCCAGCCGCTAGCTTTGATCAATCAAAAGTTGCGGGGGCTCGAGGTGTTCGAGTCCAACAATGAGATTGCCGCATCGTCTGTGACTCCACGCGTCCTCTCAGAGGGTCGTGAGGCATCGCCGGCCCCAGTGGCAAGGGTGTCCGAGGCCTCTGATCCTGACGAAGTTGTCACTCGTGCGCACTGGCAACGTTCTCGAGGAAATGATGCTTGCTCTGATCCCATGTGTGGAAAACGGCTTGGACCTGCGAACGGCCAAGTCAATTGTAGACATTGCGGCAAGCTTTTCTGTGACGAGCACACCATGTACCAGATGAAACTCTCACGATCAGCACAACATGAGCCGGTTCGTGGTCTGTGGTGTCGTGTCTGTGAGACCTGCTACAAGAGTCGGCCAGGTTACAACGACCACCGTGGATTAGAATGGAGTCACATGGATTTTTTCAGCAAAGTACGGCGGAAGAATGTAGACAAGCAGTATCTGGAGACAAGCCGACTCGAAACCAGACTCACGAGACTAACACAGCTACTTGCTGATCCGCCTCCCATGGAGCAGACTCCCAGTGCAGGCACCTTCCTGTGGTCATCCATCGCTGGGAGCAAGCCTCAGATACGTGCTCTTGAGCAGTCTGTTGTGCCCTGGGAAGATGATACCACAGTTTCGGAATGTCCCTTCTGTCATCAACCATTTACACAGTACAGCTTTCGACGACACCATTGCCGCATCTGTGGTCGGGTAGTGTGTGGAGATCCTACAACGGCATGTTCCTCGGAAATCGGGCTCGATGTGGCCACAAGTAAGTCGCTCTCTTCCAATTTCACTACTGTGCTGATGTCAGACAGTGGCTAATGCCATGACAGAGAAACCCGGGCCTCAAAATGTGCCGGTCGATGTGCGCATGTGTAGAGACTGTCAGCGAACGATATTCAGTAAGGCAGACTTCGCACGAGAGCTGAACGCACCGACTCCAGATCAGCGAGCCTACAACAATCTCATGCAGTTTGAGCAAGGCATTCGCTTGCTCCTGCCGAAGTTCCAGCGACTACTGGGACCACTGCAGGACCCGGATCATCCGCCCTCTCCCGCACAGCTCGCAGAAGCGTCCAAGGTACGAAAGCGACTCACCGAAGCATTTACGCAGTACGACGTAGCTGCACGACGTATCAGAGATATGCCTACCGAAAGCCCAACGCAGGAACGACTTCAGAAGGCCATCTACATGCAGGCTTCAACCTTCCTCCATATTCACATGCTACCACTCAAGTCGTTGCCAAAGATTATGAAACATGCTACCCCGAATGGGGTGCGGCACGCCCCTACAGGCTCCAACAAGCCCCAATCTGCTCTGGCAGCCATAAAGTATGACTCCATCGCCAATGGTGATAGCCATCGGCCAGGAAGTAGCCGGGCCAGCAGCGTGAGCTCTGTCGCCGTCACGGCTTTAGAAGCAGAGGAGAGAGAACTAAGGGAACGTCTCATTATATTGGAGGAACAGAAGTTCATGGTTTCTGAAATGATTGCAGAGGCCAGTAAGCGAAGGAAATTCGACGAAGTGTCTGCTCTGTCATCCAATGTCGAAGAGATATCAAAAGAGATCGATCACCTGCAAGCGCAGATTCAGGCCATGGACTTTGCTGGTGCATATGCTGCAGATCAGGCTATAAAGTGAAGCAAAAACCAGGTGATGAAGATATCGATTCGAGCATTCTGAACGGGCCGAACCCGTTGCATGAAGGACGTCGTCAGCCTCTGGATGCGTCAGTTGGTCAAGGACAGCAACTATCGCATGACTCTGAGGAACTGCACCAATGTCTGCTGCGAACGCTGTCCTACTCGGGAACGGTGCCGCACGCTGTTGGATCGTCATGGTGGTACATGATGGAGTCCATTATGGCGCGATTCACCTCCTTCGCATCATCACTAAGGCCATGGTGAAGCCTCTGGTTGATCGCATCCCGAAGAGAGGCGACAGGTGCTTAATCTATCTGAGCATGGCGCAGAAGAGCGAATTTCACCGCATTCTCCAAAGCGCGCCACACGACTAGTCGGAGGAATGGGATGGGTCTCCAAACTGATAAGAATTCAATGCAGATCATGATGGAATCTGCTCTCCGCTTGATTTTTCTTGTTCATAATTCATACTTCAGCCTGACTAGCCATGGACCCTAATTCAATGCCTGCCAAGCTCCACGGGCATGCTCATTGTCCCTCGCCACCACCACTCGTATTCCGACAATCCCAAGTCATCTTGCTTCAAGTCATTGTCGTAATCGTCATTGTCATCATCATCCTTACCATCGTCATCACCACTATCCAAAGCCCGGCAACAAAACAAAACACAACACAACACAACACAACACAACAAGCAACCAATCAATAGTTACCAACCAGTCTCCATCCCCCTAACCTCCTCCTACTTCTCCCCATTCGAACTCCCCAGCAGCCCACCAAGAGCACATCCCAACCCTTTGAGCAACCCGAGACATTGTTCGTTTGGAAACGCGTACCACATGCCCTGATAGTAGTAATAATAGAACGTCCGTGGTGGAGGATTGCTTCCGATACTAATGTCTAATCCGAGATCGAGCAAATTGGGCTCGTCTCGGACGCGCAGTACGTTGGTGGTGGTGGTGATGTCTTTTGTTACTGCTGCTTCTGGAAGTGGAAGTGGTGCTGCGGCTGCGGCTGCGATGGGAAGGGGGCTGGCGGCGATTTGGGTGATGGTGGTGGCGCTGGTGGTGAAGAGGACGGTGAGGTACTTGAATTGCATTTTTGGTTTTTTTGGATGGGGGAGATGGATGTTGTGGTGGTGGTGGTGGTTGGTTAAGTGATTGAGTTGATTGAGTGGCTTGTCTTGGTTGTTGCGGTGGCGATTTTGTTGTTGTTGTTGTTGTTGTTGTTGTTGTTGTTGTTGTTGTTGTTGTTGTTGTTGTTGTTGTCCGAGGATCGATGCCACAACACAAAGGCACCGATGCTTCTGATTGCTAGTGTGGAGGAGAAGGAGGAGAAGGAGCTATTGGACTTGGAATTGCTTCTTGTTGATGCACTCTTTTTTGCAGTGTCGACAATGGCTTCTTATATACCCTAGGCTCACCACATATCTCCTTCTCCTCTTTTGGTCGACTGATGACATGTTTACTTCATGGTATTTTCCTCCGGGGTGGTGGACTATACCCAACAGCAGCCGATCTGTTGATGCCTTGCCTTCCTGGAGCTCCGCATGTTGTTGGTTGACGATGGGCAAGTAAAGCTAACCTACTCTGTCGATTGCGAGTCTCCTTTCAAGAGAGAGCGAGACGTTTCGAATCAGAACGTTTGCTAGCGCATGGGTGAACATGGCTCGATTCGGCAAGCTCTGACGTCGGTCGAAGGTGTGTGAGGGTGTACGGTACAAGGGCATTACCTCCTAATCCTAGAAACATCAGTCTGAGGTATAGAACAGGTACAGGCCCCGTGCGGTTCGTGATTCGTCGAGCAGAGAAAATCAGGTAGTCGTCCTTATAGTATGGACGTCACTACACAATACACTTTGACAGCCATCACCACCCAAGAATAGTATCTCTTTCACTGCTTGCGGTTCAGCGTCGAGACTTGGCAACAATATTGGTCCAGGGTAACGCAAATGGAAGTTTTGTTGCTTTAGGTTCGCTCGGCTGGCTTGTTTCTGGGGTGAGGACGCCGAATGCAAGCGATTCGCTAGTTGTCGGTTGTCCACAGGAGGTAGTTGCAGATTCTCATACACCCATGCTGGTATTGATGGGCGTGAGTGGGGATATACTGCTAAACACATGCCATGGAGAGCTACTATTTCTGTGGTATGGGCAGCTCTGCAGATCAGAATACTGGCCACCACGCCATGGCGGCCGACGGGCTTGGACATGACATGGTGCTGTGTACCTGCATTGGGATTGAGAGTTTTTCAACTGTGCTGTTTTCAGAAACACACCAGAGCTTCGTTATAAGTGGTCTCATGACTTGCACTCACTCTAGACATGCCGAGCACGAGCAGGATCCCAGCGCAGCAGCAACACCCGATGCATCCATTCTTCAGCCAACATGTTGTCCGAGCGTCTATTCGGTCATTGGAGCTTCTCGGTCGAAGGCCATCCATGAGCCGTTCCAAAGACATCACCAGATGTCTGGTTCGATAAAGTCGTACGCGAACAAATCTTGATGAAGCCCTGGCCACTTCGTCGCTCTGAATCGGGCAGACTCGCGCTTCGACGCAATGGCTATGTCTACCTGCCGAGCTCGTAGCGGCGGTCTTGTAGTGGATGCTGCGTATTGGCGGATTGTTGAAGCCACCCTAGTATACTGTGGAGCTGAACTACCTGTGTAGGCCAGTCCGCTTCGCTAAAAGGTGCGCGTGGAGTTAAGAATTGAAACAAGTCGCGCTGCTACAGGGTAGGACTCGGAAGACTCGCTCTTGCCCGACTTGGGATCTATTGAATCAAGAATATAGCGAAGCGCCTGTTACTTGTCTATAGCGGACATTAGTACGTATATCTCTCCCTTCTGAGGGTCATCGCTGCCTCCGTTGGCGAAAATTTGTGTTTATAGAGCCGTAGCACCATTGCAGTTGAAATCAGCTAATAGCTAAATCTCAACTTTCGCATACCTAGTACTTGCTTTTATACGTATTAATACATCTCTCCACTGCAGTCTGAGGTAGAATCTCGTACTATACCGATAACTCTCCGGTCTCGAATCCGGCTCGACGTGCGATACGTAGAACTACAGTTGTCGGTAATTACGTCCATACCAAGTCCTTACAAGGAATGCATTCTCAAGCGCGGTTCTGATAGAGTCTGTGGATAGTGTTGGTATTGGGCTCTGGATGTTGGTTGAAGTAGGTAGTCAGTATCCACGAAACACGGTTAGAACTATTTGCAATGCAGGCACGACCTGAGCACAAGATTCTCGAAAAGGCGAGCAAGAGTGTTGCCAACGGGCAGGCCTCGCATGCAATTCATTCCTCTGTACATTACACATCTATTGACCTAGATTCGAGACATATCAGCATGGCACCGCTCACGCAGGCTTAGACATTACTCACCGATTCTGGAATGGGCGTATATCTGCTTCTTTCGCAAATGCACAGGAACCTCATTCTCTGGCGCACCCGGGATCTTCTTCTCCAAGTTCCTACCGTCCCCATTAGTACACTCTGCTCTCCCATCCACCACCATCAACAAGCACCAGCGGCTATACTCACAGCTTCTCGAAAGCACACTTATTCAAGCGCCGCTCCAGCCCCCGACACTGCCACAGCTGCTGGTTGTTGTGATCCAGACACTGCCAGTGCTTCCTGAACTCCTCCAGGCAGCTCTTATTCAAATCATCCAGCACTGAGGCGGCGCACCGCGTGACCTTCCTGCCCTCTTTCAGACAGTCTGACTCGCCCTTGCCATTGGACTCGGTCTTGCAGTGCATAAAGTCGTCATTGTATGGTTTGCAGCGGGCGCCGATGAAGAACGAGGCGGAGAGGAGAGGAGCAGACGAAGCGCCGATTTCCTCGACCTTGGGGATGGAGTCCGGCAATGGAGTCGTGTCGATGAGGACTTGCTGGTTGAAGCTGTTCGAGGTTAGAGGAATGGGTGACCGCAGTGGCGAGGAGGGGGGTAGGACGCTTGTACCGTGGCTGTCTGGCCGACATGGTGGCGGCGGTGAGGTGCTGGTGGAAACAATGGGAGATCTGGTCGGCAGCAGTCGAGAGCTCGAATGGCAGTCGGCAGCCATGTAGTTAACCTTAGGTACGATAGTCACTAGCTCCAGCAATGCGGGAAGCGCCGCCACGCGCCGCCCCGCCCGCTTACACCTTCACGCGTGCCCTGGCTTTGCGTGTCTTGGAGCTGCAGCTTCAGCTTCGCGCGCTCTTCGACTTCGACAAATTAATTAGGTACTGACTTCGCACACGCGCTCTGCCTGTCTGTTCCATCAACACCTCCGCCTCCGCCTCCGTCTTCTCGACATCCGCCTCCGTAAACATTCTCACTTCTTCTTACTTCACACACATTGCAGCGCATCGCATCCCATCGCATTGACCACGACGATGGGCTTGTTCGACGGCCTCGGCGCCAGCTCCAACACTGCCGCTACCACGACCGCCGGCGGTGGTCTCTTTGGTTCGAGTGCAGCGCCTGCAACCAACACAGGTGGAGGACTGTTTGGTAACAACAACACCAACGCCCAGAGCAGCAACAACGCGACTGGCGGGCTGTTCGGCTCCGCTCCTGCGCCGACAACCTCAGGCGGCGGGCTATTTGGCTCACAGCCAGCGGCAGCAAGCAGCAATACTGGCGGTGGGCTTTTCGGATCACAGCCAGCGGCACCAGGCAGTACCGCGGGCGGCGGGCTCTTTGGCTCTCAGCCCGCGGCAGCGAATAACAAGACGGGAGGAGGTCTGTTCGGATCGAATACTGCTGCTAGCTCGAATACTGGAGGAGGAGGCTTGTTCGGTAACGCGAGCAGCAACACTGGAGGGGGACTCTTTGGCTCAAGCAACACGAATAACAATACCAACAACAATGCTGGCACATCATCTCTGTTCGGCGGAGGAAACGCAAACACAAGCACAAACAACACTTCCTCGCTATTTGGAGGAGGTGCGACGCAGAATCAGCAGCAGCAGACTGGTGGTGCTTCCCTCTTCGCGAACAATGGACCCGGCGCATCAATATTCGGCAGCGGTTCGACAACGAATGGACAAGGCCAACAGTCAGGGGCACTCTTCGCTAATCCAGGTCAGAATCAACAGCAGCAACAGCAAGGCCCAGTCGCCAATTCCTCTATTTTCAACCCACAAACAGTCTCTGTCGGCGGTCTTGGCCACACCATGACCAATGCACAACTCCAGCGTCTCCAATTCAGCGGCGCATCGACTGTGCCCAATGAGAAGAAGATTTCTGAACAGATCCAGACAGTTGTGAAGAAGTGGAACCCTGATATTCGAGAAGATCCGAACAGCCAGACCAACCCTCGACGGACGACGCTACTGCAAACGTACCTCTACAATGCTGTACCGAAAGAGTACGCGCCCTTCTTCTATCCAGACGCTGCTAGAGGTGAAGATGAGAAGAGTTGGGAAGAGGCTCTGAGTCAAAAACCAGAACTGCCCAACGTAGACGGACAGGAAGTTGCGGGCCTATCTTATGTACCAATCCTTGTGGTGGGGTTCAAGGCATTGGGCGATCGAGTAGAGACACAGGCAAAGATCATCCAAGAGATGCGATCGAGATTGCACGAGATGAACAACTCGCTCTCCGCGGTCATGGATGCACATCAGCAGAAAATCACAGTCAAAATCGCATCAGCCAAGCGCCAGCATCAGGTTCTCTCACAGCGATGTTTGCGTCTGGCAGTCAAAGTGCAGGTCTTGCGGAATCGTGGCTACGCGCTGGATGCGCAAGAGGAAGGTTTGCGGAAAACACTGTTGAGCTTAGAGCGGCAAGTCACCGACCCGACGTATGTTGGTAGAGAAGACGAGATCTGGGCGAGAATGGTGTCTTTGCGTGAGAGAGCCAGATGGCTGGAAGAGGAAGGCAAGAGAGTTGCCAACCAGGTCAATCAACAGAACCAGCAGGGGCAGGAGGGTACTGCCAGCGCTGGGTTGTCGGAAGACATACTTGCCAAGACGAGAAAGATTCTGAAAGACTATGATGGGCAGCTGCAGCATCTCAACAAGGAGCTGGAAGAGGTGAAGAAAGAGTTTGCAGCCTGGGAAGAGATCAAGGGCCGGAGATGAGGATTGATGAAAAACTCTGAAGGCAGAACTTGACTAGTTTCTGGCATTACCGTGACACCTCTTCGGACTAATCAGACAAGCTAGGCCTTCAACTAGCTATAACTCCTTCGACCTGTAACTAAATCGCGGTGAAATTTCACGCCTAAAATGGGTACAGCTATTACCCACCAAACCGATCCCCCTGCCCATAATTACGATTCTGATGATCTTTTCCGTGTACTAGCTTTTGGATGTTTGGATGTTTGTTGTTTTGCGTATTCTTGTTGTTGTATGTTTTATGTTGTTATTATGTATGTTGATGAACAAGAACTTACATTACTGTACTGTACTGACTGACTGACTGGCAGGTAGGTCGTAATATCTCTTGCGCTTCTCGATGGATGGATGGATGGATACTAGGTAGGTGGGAGGTAGGAGGTAGGATGGGATGGTAAATGGCCTCGCGAATACAGATACCTCTTGCTTGGCTGACTTCTCGCTTGCAGACTTGCAAAGATAGAGACAAGATGACGCGTTTCTTTCTTTTTTTTTTCTCTCTTTCCTAACGCTGTAGGAGTGGTTTGGTCATTCTCGTTGTCGTTTATCATTCGTCGTTGTCATAATCGTTTTCGTTGCCACCTAGCCATCATCATCGTCGTTTCCTTATCACCATCGTTAGCAGCGGTTGTCATCGTCGTCCTCATCGTCATCGTCTTCGTCGTGGTAGCAAGCAAAGAAGAAAAACGCGTTACAAAAGAGGAAGTTTGTTGATTTTCAAAAGAGTGGAAGAGGCAGCTCAAGAGGGTTGTTTGTTGATAATATGTACCGTACCATAATCATTAACAAAACAAAAAAACAAAATGAAGAGGTTGGGGACTGGAACTGGAACTGGACAGCGTACCATCTTTGTACGTAGGTACCTTGGGTATGCAGGTCCCGTGGATCGTGATGGCACTAGTAAGGTAGGTACATGTATGTAGGTAATGTCATGTAGGATCCTTTTGCATTTGGTTTTGTGGTTGTGGTCAACAACAATTTTCTGGATTCTGGAATGAAATGACATGTTATGGTGGCGTGGTTGATGTGACGTTCGTTACCTGACTGTTCAGAGTGGTACCTACCTAAGGTACCTATGGCAATTACGATGCGGGCAATTTTTTTTTTTTTGGCGGGTGGAAGAGGACGTTATACGTTCGTCGGTTGCAGACTTGCAGTAGGAGAAAAAATCATGTGTAATAAAACGTCTTCATCACCTAGGATGGGCACTCAGGAGTCAGCAGCTAGCTCACACAGTGACGACGGGAGGCTGGGAGGATTCCTTTTTTTTAAATTCCCCGAGAGACAAAAAACTGACAGACAGAGACATGGAAAGGGAGAAACATGAAATGGTCGGAGAATTAAATTACGCAAGAAGTTTGTGTGTGTGAGACATGTGTGAGCTGCACCATGAGATGAAGCATGTCTTGGAGAATGCATTGTTGCATTGCATTGCATCGCATCGCATGTATGCATAAGATGCAGTATCATCATCGGGATCATCATCGGGATTCAGGGGCCGCGTCGATCTCAGGGTGCCCACTCGTGTGGCGGTGGTGGGGTGGTGAGATGAGATGTTGATGTATATGGTATTGCAATGATACATACTGTGAGAGGGATCGGGAAGAGAGAGAGAGTGTGTGTGTGGTAGTGGTGGTAGTGAGACAAGATATCAAACTGAACCTCCCAAAACTTCCTACAGACTACTACAGCCTCCGTCATATGTATCTGTCCGCCCATCCGCCACTACCACCACCACCTTTATAAAAAAACTGTCAACTCCAACGACAAACGACTTTTTCCTTTTCCCTTTTCCCCGTGGGTCACGACGTTTATTCGGCAAGCAAGCGATCGTTTTCTAGGAGAAAATACAATTGTACATATGTACGGTTGTTGATGATTTACGCCTCGTCAATCGGTTGTTGCGCAATCGAATGGGGGAACGACGGAAAACGGCGCGCGAAGGAAGGTCGGTCTACATGTACCTGATCTATCGTCTATCGGAAGTTGAGAAGACGTTGAAGAAAGACGACAAAACGGCCACGAGGTTCCGCTGATCTGGGTGGGGAAGGGGGAAGAGGGAAGAGGGAAGAGGGAAGAGAGAGAGAGAGATGATTTCCATGGAAAAAGCAAGTCGTCCACTATACTACTAGAGGTAGTAGAACTGCCCCAGCCACGCCGTATTCACCTTCGTTTACGTACAGACGTAGGACGTAGTTGCGTCAACGTGTTTGATGATTTGAATCTGCTCAAGAGTTTAAACAGAAAAAAGACCGACTGCCGACAGACAGTGTCAGACTGTCAGACACTAAGAAGAAGCACGACCTCCGGTATAGAAGAAGTTTTGTGCCACAAACGGCGACACTAGACTATATCAATCACATTCCCGATATAGAAGCACAACTGTGTTTGTTTGTTGCTGATGCTGCTGCTGCTGCAAGCCCCGTATGCATGACATGACCACGGACCGACGTGCTCCGACTCGGAGTTGGCGTTGGATGTGTAGGAGGTACAGTAGTAGAAATCGCCTAAAAAAGAAAAGAAAAAGAAAAGTATACATGTCTCTCTGTTCGGTAGAAAGCAACCAAACTTGATATATAAAGATGCGCAGACTGAGGAGAGGTCTTTGCTTGAGAAGAGGAGAGGAAAAGAGAGTAGAAAAAATGATGATTGTTGTCCTCTCCCCCCTATACCGTACGGACTGCTTCTTTTCTAATCACTGGTGCGACCCACGCCTTCTTCTTTTTTTTGTTTCTTCTTCTTACGATGGATGCTACAGGAAATGCTCGCTCTCCGTCCGGCACCGCCATCTGCGACTCACTCACACTCACACAGTCACCCACTCAGTCACTCACATATATGTATATATATATATATATCTCTCTCTCCATCTGCCGAGGCGGGCGCACTAGCTGCAATGCAAGAGTCAGCAAAGCCAGTATAGTTTCAACATATCAAACAGCTAATGCAATGCATACACTACTGCACCATGTAAAACGTGCCCTTTTTCTTTTTTCTTTTTTTGTTCTTTTTCGGAGAATTGTACCTACTACCACATGGATGGGGGGGGGGGAAAAACAGGGGACTCCCCAGGAAACAAACAGTCGCGAGTATATTGAGTCAAGTCACCAACAAGTGTTTTGTAGGATTTTTTTTTTCGATTCTTATCCGTATTATTTAGAATTTCTTTTTCTCATTCACGATCTATCATCATTATCGTCGTCATCATCATCATCCTTCCTGTGACGAGTTGGATAGGTAACTCTGCTTTTTTTCCATTGAGAGTTTATTTGCCCATTGAGTTTTGTTTTCCCATGTGCTTGTTTTACGTTTTACAACGAGGATATTCCCCGTTTTTGATTATGTCGATTCTTGACCTCACTCACTCCAGTCTGTTTGGAAACTTATTCAAGAAATACAAAGATCCACTATGATTAATCATCAGATACTATGCAGACTATAGTCAAGCAAACCAGTCCCCGAATTTCCCTAGATCTCTTGGCAGTTTCCTCCAAAACGAAATTGGATCGTCGCAAGGATAAAAATCTTTTGGGTAGCCGGTAGTGTGTTGCACCACAACACAAAACAAAAACACACACACAAGGCCAGTCGCTTGCGGCTTTTGGTATTCCAAATTCCACCCCGGAAAAAAAAATCATAATATTCATAATAATTAATCATGAATAATTAGGTAGAATATAAAAGATTTGTGAAAACGATCGTAAAAGCACATGGCTAGACAGGGTTTGAATCGGTTGATGAATTGAAGATTCGTATACAGTACCCTTGCTCTTGCTTCAATGCTTTACACTTTACACTGTTACAGGCTCCGCGACGAGGTATTCCCTGTCGGGCATGTTGTCTCTTTATGTTTCTTTCTCAGCGAGCATAATACGGATATACATATATACATACAATGCAGTATAGCAAAGAGGTAGAGGATTTCCCGCTGCATGAACAACTGCTCGCAGCTGGACGAGATTATTGTACCGTACCAGTCGATTAGTATTAGCAGATACATACTTTCTCTTTCTCTTTCTCTTTCATGCACAAATACTCTGAAGTTTGGTCTCTGTAATGTCCCAAGTCCCACGGGAAGGAAATTTAATGATCAAAATAATGAATGACAACCCTCATTAAAATGCAGCAGCCACTCTTTGATGATGACCGGAGGAGGGAGAAGAAGAAAAAAGATTCGTACCGTGCGTGCATGTGCATATGTGTTGCATTGCAACGCCCGTATGAAACGACCCCGGAACACACGTATTGTACCCGTTTGTCCATGTTTTTTTTTTGTTACGTTTGTTGAAAATACTCCGCTGTAGAGTTTGAGACATGTCGCCGATATCAGGTGGACTGACTGACTTGACACGCAGCAGAAGTAGCAGAAGGAGTAGCAGAAGTAGTAACAGAAGTCGTTGTCTAAAAATTGATATAGTTCAAGGAGAGTTTTTGGACCAACAACAACAACTGCATCCTCGGCACAGATAGACAAGAACCATTCATTCATTCATTCATTGTCCATTATCATCAGCGGCCGGACCGACAGGTCAGAAACGATGCTACCGAGAAACTGACCCTTCGTATCGCCCGCTTGCAGATATGCCATGCCCGATTCCGACATCAAGGGTTTCCCCATGCTCATAACATCCCCATCCGTGGTATTATACATCGGGTACCCAACCAACCCAACTAACAGGTACTGTAACTGAGAGAAGCGAGCGAGCCAGCCCAGCTAGCCGTTCAGCTACTGACTTCACATTCAAGTCTTCGGTTCGCGGGAATTGTCAAATCAGGTTCGGTCTCACACATACACAGATCGGTAGATATCGTGTTGACGGAGAGAGAGAAAAAAGAGAGCAACGCCTGTCAGCAGTGCTTCATTGCTGGTATGTACTGTCCTGTACCTTGGCATTTCAAACTTATTTCTTCTACTTTTTTACTACTACCTTACTGTACAAAACCACTTTTATACTACCTCCTACTACTTTTCGATAATTTCATACTAAAAACACTACTACTGTACATACTTCATGTCAGTGGGTAGCCGGTTTGTAGCCCCTGGTGAGAGTGGCTGCAGGAAGCGTGCAAGGGAACCCCTGTTCGCTCCGCGACGTTACGCCAGCGCCCTGGAACCGTGGACAGGACTAGTCTATACCTACCTACTAGTCTACTACTACCACTGTGACGGGCGACGATTGGGAGGGGGAGATGCTTCACTTGTGAACCGGTATTACTTCTTGACTGGTGGTCGTGCACATTCACTGATGGGAGGGGACTACTGGTAGACCGTAGGAGGGAGGCTGGGACGGACATTGGTTTCCCTCGCCCATGGAGCCAAACATTGTTGTTATTATTATTATTATCATCATCATCATCATCCTTCTCCCCATCCTCCTCACCATCATCATCCTTCCTCATCATGTCAACCGTGGTTGTCGCAGATTTCGTTGCCGGTGTGTGAAATGGCTGTAACTGCTCGCTCGCATCCCGTCCCTTTCTTTTCACTCTTCCTCTCCTGGCGCTGCAACTCCATCGGGAAAGGGGGGGGGGCGGAGAAGACAGTCACCACTAGGAGGTAGTTGTAACAGGCGAGCCCAGAAATTTCCGTGAATGAACAGCCAACTGCCATGTACCATTGACTACGGTATCCATACACACACACACAACATCATGGTCGACCACGCACCCTCCCTCCCCCCCCCGAAGCGACGACAGTGTGTGAACAGTCAGTGCGCTCTCCCTCCCTTTTGGTGGGATCGGATCCACACTCCATGCACACGGCCCTCTGGTTGAAAGCGTTTTATTTTTCTACTAGGTACCTTATGCTTTTTGTGTTTAGACTTCCGCTGTTGATCGACCACACTAGCGGCAGAACGAAAGCCTATTAACATTTGTCTATCCGCACCACGCAGCGACCACTGACTACGCTGGGGGCCTGAGTCAGCTTTTCTGCACACTGGCCTGCTGCTCCTACGGGCCCTTTTTCCCTCTCCAAGTATTATATACATAACTGACTTGGGATCCGACGCTTGAAACTACCCCAACGTCAGATATCCGCTGCTGCTCGCCGTCGTCACTGTTCTTATAACGGCCCTTCAGCAGCTGCAGTTCAGTTCAACCTGTTGTCCAGCCGTGGACTGGAGCTCAGTCAATCGATCAATCAATCAATCAAATCCATCAGTTCAACGCCTGCAATCGTCTTGCAACTTCGACACCACCAACATCACCACCACCACCACTACTACTCTTCTACAAATTATGCCTCAACACAAACGCGGCCCCTGGTCGCAACAGGAAGACGATCTGCTCTTGGCCCTCGTCGATCAATATGGCGCTTCCAATTGGGTCCGCATCTCTAGCACCATCCAGACGCGCTCGCCCAAGCAATGTCGCGAGAGATACCACCAAAACCTCAAGCCTAACCTCAACCACGATCCCATCTCACCAGAAGAGGGTGTCTTGATCGAACAAATGGTCAACGAGATGGGCAAGCGATGGGCAGAAATTGCACGGCGGTTGCGAGGCCGTAGCGACAATGCTGTCAAGAACTGGTGGAATGGGGGAATGAATCGACGACGCCGCAACCAACAACATCGTCAAGCCGAGTTCCAAGTGCGACAGCATCACCACCACCATCATCACCTCGCTCACGCTCACCTCCCACATCATCCACCACCCATGCACAGCCTTCCGCCGTCCATGCAGAGCCTCCCACACCCCATGCAGCAGCAACAGCCCCTCCCTGGCGCGCCTTTTTCGCAACAGTATTTCTTTCCACCCGAACAGTACATGGGCCACCCGCATCCTCCTCCCCCTCCTCCTCCTGCTCCGCAACAGTATACCCACTTCCCCGTGGCAACGTTTGGACGTATGGCGGTAGATGCTCCTCTGGCATCGCCTTCGGCCTTTTCACAAATGTCGGCAGATGGCGCGCCCTCACTCGTCTCCGATTGCTCTTCGCTCGACAATCGCTCTCCTCGTCATGGCCCTTCTCCCAACCCCATTGAGCTGCCTCCCCTCACCGGATCACGGGAGGAGCGTCGTACATCGATTGCACCCACGCTTCGCCTAGGAGTACCGGGAGCTTTTGCACCTGATGGCGATTTTGCTCTGCAAAGTATGCCCATGGACGCCTACAGCAAGCCTGTTCTGCAAGAGCCTTTTATGCCACAGTCGACTTCTCTGCCTGCTCCTACTGCTTTTCTCCCATCTCAGCATCGCCAACCCTCGCCATACCAGCAGCAATCACTCCACATGCAGCAACAGCAACAGCAGCAGCAGCAGCAGCAGCAGCAGCAACAGCAGCAAGGCTATCTGATGTCCCACCCACAGCAGCACATGCAGCGTCGTCAACCCCACCACCCCATGCATGCACAACATCTCCCTTCTACGCCCATGAGCCAACATCAGCATCTGCCCAATGACAAGTTCCCATACGGCGGCCACGTCGACTCGGGCATGGGTACGCCCATTCTCGCGGGTCCCTCGCCCGAGGATTCGCCCAAGGCGAAGATGAGCTTGAGCAATCTCACCCATTGAAACCCCACCTACTGAAATAAAGAAACAGACGACAGACCAACCCCATCAACAGACAGACTGCTTCTTTTGTACACTTGTTCTTGTTCTTAATTTTTCATTAATAATGGACAAGCAGAAAAGAAGAAGAAAAAGGAAAATTACCAAGGAAAATGGAGTTTTTTTGACGATACCCAGGAATGCGGATGAAGACTTGTGCGTGTATGTGTGTGTGTGTGGATGGATGGATGAAGCCATTTGAGGCAAGCAGCGTGATGACAGCGTTCAAGCGATTTTTTTGGTGTTCCGAGATGAGCGACCAGCGTCTGTCTGAGGATGAGCCGGCGCGCGCGCACCTTCTGCTGCGAGACTGCGATGCTCACTCAGTACATTTGTAGTGTATTGTTTTGCTGTACAGTTCATATTACAAGTGATGAAGAGATACCAGTACCTTTATTCTCTCTCTCTCTCTCTCTCTCTCTCTCTCTCTCTCTCTCTCTTTTTCCTCTTTTTCCTCATCTTCCTCGTCTTATTCTTCCTCATCTTCCTCTTCCTCTTCTTATTCCTCTTCTTCCTCTCTCTC